TATATATATTATAAGTATATATATATGTATTATAAGTATATATATATATTATATACCCCAGTAATCTACTTAGTGGTTTCAAAGGTTCACTATATGGCTAGGGAGCAACGCGATACAATTTACCTTAGGGGATCAACAAACATCCATGAATCCCAGCTATTTTGGGGAACAACAAGGGTACGGCTTGCGACTCATCTTCATCTTTTAGGAAAACCATAGGAAAACCATAGGAAAATGGTGATTTAACCAGCAACGATGGAGATTTATAGAATTCTGGGTGGTGGTTTGGAACATGAATGGACTATGACTTTCCACATATTGGAAATTTCATAACCCCAAGTGACGAAGTCATATTTTTCAGAGGGGCAGGTATACCACCAACCATATATATATATATGTATACTGTATATATATACATACATATTGACAAGGCAAGGCGAAGCTGAAAACTCTGTGATAGATGGATTGAAGGCTCTTATCATGGAAAGTTTTTTAATATTCCATCCCCATATCTTTTCAAGCCTCAACCAATGGGATGTTTTCAAACCTCAACGGGATGATCATCCCAGAATCGAGGCGAAAGTTGAGCAGCCAACTCAACTCTTGGACTGGTCCACAGGCTCGATGGCTCAGCGCGTGCTGCACGGGGGTTGGATGGGTCGTTTGGCATGGTGAAAATCGTGATTTCTCCATGGACCACGGGTAAATGGCATGTTTCACCAGCCTAAAAATACTGGGACTCCGACTGATGGGTAGGATGTTTAGGAACTCATTCAGTACCACTTAGCCTTCAGCCACTTTGTTTTTTTTGCGTCGAACGAGGCAAAGAACATGATGAGTATCTCAGATTAGCATGCATAGATTGGCTGGGACATCCCAAAAAAATGTGGGAAAGAACATCATGCAAGAATGGATACACATTGAGTAATCCCCTCACCCCAATATTAAACAATGGCCCAAAACAAAGCACCGCTTTAGTATTGGATTTGTTCAAGGATGGTTAAACTACGTTGAAGCCAAATTTTGATGGTTAAACCATGTGAAATCTCGTGATAATCCCCTTAAGATTCCAATGTTTCATTGTAAAATAAGGAGGTTGTTTCTGAAATCACCATATAACATATCTATATATATATATATATACATACTGTATATATATATACACACTGTATATATATACACACTATATATATAATATTATATATATGTACTGTATATATATATATATACATATATATATATTTCATAGTTGGACCTCCTTCAAAAAACAGTGGCTGGGATGGGGATGGTCCTAAAGCTCCAAAGCGAAAGCCCTCGCTCGACGCCAGGATGGGGTGGATTGGACCCTGGAGAGCAAGGCAAAGTGGAGAAGATGGTGCCGAGCTCGCTCGCTTTCGCTCGCAGTGGAGCAGTGGATACAACTGATAAATTATATCAATAATGGGATTTTTTAGGGATATACAAAATGATATACCAATAGTAAAAATGTGATATCTCAGGGATATTTGATGGAATACTATAGATATACTCATGGATATACTCTACATACTGTACATGTATATATATATATGGTTAGTGGTTTGGAACGTGAATGGATTATTTTCCATTTCATATATGGGATGTCATCCTTCCCATTGACGAACTCATATTTTTCAAGATGGTTATTGCACCACCAACCAGCAAGCATCATTGGGGATTTTTTTCTCCATATATAACCAATGTTTTGGATGCCATATTTTTCATCAATGTTTTTGGGCTATATATAGTCTCCACCAGAATGGTTGTCGAATTGGGATAGATGAAACTATTCCATGAGTTTATCACGAAAAACATGTGATTTCATGGGGATTGAATGTGATACATATGGCCTAGAATGTGGAACCAAATGCTAATGATTCCTAACGTACTGGGGAGAGGACGAGCTTGAGTTGAAAGGTATAGTAAGTCCAAAACGATGAAGTAGTTTATCTTGGGGTTATACTGGGGTCTACTATTATATATATCATTTTTGTAGCAGGAGACTTAGTTACAGAAATCCGAAAAACAAAAACATGTCTTTGGACAGTAATTTATGGTTCGTATCTTTAGTAGGACTTATTAGGATTACTATACCCTTTTCTTTTGTTTTTTTGGTTATTATCTTTGGTAGGAGGATTTTTCCCGGGGAATATTTTTTAAACGAGGTCTACTTTAGACCCTCATCAACATACCGGAAAGAATTTTTGAAACAGCGAAGATCAGGTGAATGGTTGAATGGGTGATTTAATCCCTGTTCCCTGATGTGAAATATTTTGCCAAATGAAATCCTTGTTCAGTATTGGGTCTGTACAATCTTATGTTGGGTTCCCAAAAATAAGGACGAAGGGATTGTATTGTACCCTCTGGTAAACTAACATAGCTATGGAAAATCACCATTTTCAATGGGTAAATCCACTATAAATGGCCATTTTCAATAGCTATGTGAAATTACCAGAGGGTATGTCCTTCAAAATGTTCCAGCTAAAGACATTTCGGACATATTTTTGTCGTGGATTGATGGTTAACATCTAGCTAGAAAATATTGAAGGAAAGGGAACAAAAATGCAGGTCATGGTACATACTTGGAAGATCATCCCACTTAGTAACTGATTAATCACCATATTTATAGCCCACTTATATATATATATGTGATAACCCCACTTAGGGGACTTACTAAGTAGGGTTACTGACCACTTACTAAGTGGGATGATCCTCCAAGTATTCAAGTGATCAATGCCTTTTATGCGCGCCAGTTTCAGCTGAAGTACCAACCGTGGTAGGAAGGATTGGTCATGATATGGTAGACACTGTTTGTTCGGCAGGCGACTTCAGGCTCTCACAGTGAAAAGATGACATATTTACCCTCTGGTAATTTAACAGTTTGCTATTAAACATGGCCATTTATAGTGGATTTTCCCATTGAAAATGGTGATTTTCCATAGTTATGTTAGTTTACCAGAGGGTAAGTGTTCATGGGTGCATGTAATACCTGAAGTATCATACACCGCACAGTCAAAAAGAGCATTACTGGAACCTCCTATGTGACCAAGAGGACAAGACATAGTTGTATTTTTTCCCAAACCAAGCCAAAAGAGACTGTAGATACTTGGTGCCCCCCTGATGTTTGTTGGTTTATAAACCCCATTAAGTATAGTTATATCTGCCATAAACCATAGTTATTATTAGAGTTATGTGCACCAACTTAGCTAACTATGGGGCACCACCTGACACCGCACCTCTCGGGATCATCCTGAGAGATACATCGGTCAGGTGTCCACAATCACTTGTTGATACCAAACAAATCACCACCGAATACCAAAATGGTTTAGATAACAGTGCTCAAGTTCGGGATACCAACATTAAAAAAACAGAACCGTGATTCTTTTTTTGTGGGATACAAGTTGTGTATGGGCCTGGGATACAAAGTTTTATCATGTTTTATAACAGTGTAAAACATCAGGGTCTAAGTCATCTAAGTCGAAGTATGATCTACCACTGATCTGTGGCGAGGTGCAGGACGCAAAAGATCGAGAAGAAGTAGCACGCAAGGCGCGCTTGCAAGCGCTGGATAAGAGATACGCTGGGACCATGGTCACAGTCACCCTCTAATAATGTGGATGTAAGCATCAACAGAATATTTTTTTTTTTAAGGAACTTCACATAGACTTGTCCCGCAAAATGGGTTTCAATGGCATATTCATAGAATATGAATGGAATATTACAGGCATCCTAATGGCATATTTAGATGGGTTTCATCAGTTAATAGGTCATCTGGTCATCACAAATATGGGCGGAGGGGCGGATTTCTGGGAAATCCGGAGCCTTTGGGAGATTTGTTCAGCAGGGTTTCCTTCCAGTCTTGGGGGGTTATCTATCAATTTTCATCGGCAATTCTCACTCTCCAAGCGGGGAAAAAAAAAATATATGGAAGAATATTCCAAATAGTGAATAGTAGAAGTACTACTATATATATATTTATATATCTGGTTGGTGGTTTCAAAGATCTTTTATTTTCCATCATAAATGGTATGTCATCCGAAACCCATTGACTTTAACTCCATCATTTTTCAAGATGGTTATTGATTGCACCAGCAACCAGGCTGGGATGAGCACCTACTTATGCCATGTTTTGACCACGGGACACGGATCAATGTCTGAACAACGGGGATTCAGGGATCAATGGGATTAGTAATCCGGGATTAGTGGGATATAACTGATATAACTAACAGTCTATGGGTGGATTTTTCCAGCGAAAATGGGGATTTAAGATGATTTAACTGTCAAAGATGGGTAGTGAACTATTAAACATAGGGATTCAACCAACACGTATCAATATTCAAGTACAGTTTTTTTGGTATTCCTAGTAGATTATCATCCTATATTATCCTCATTAACCAAAGTGTGTGCAAAGCAATAAACATAATAGTATAATAATAGTATTTAAAGCTTGGTTCTTAGCAATATTTTGGATCGCAGGGTGTGGCTCATAACCATGGCCCCGCAACAAGAAGCAAACATCCCCGTGCAGCCATTTGAGTGTCATTTTACATCCCAAATAAGGTAAAGAGTATGTCATAAGATATAATGGATGATTGATTAATTGGATAATATGGGGATGATAGTTAGTGGGATAATAGTGGGACAATTAATTATCCGTTATTATCCCACTATTACCCCATACGATCATGATCCCCTACAATATACCGTAAATAAATATAAATAGTACATATTCCCTACTTTGGTACACCCACTAATGTGATTCTGAGGAACTCGACAGTCCTGGCGGTAAATATTAGGGGGCTGACTCTGTCACACAGATTGGATGAAAGGCTACATTGCTGGATGATTCTCCCATGGATTTCCCCCATGGTCTGCGGCTTTTTGGGGAGATCCCCCACCCGGCCCACCCGGCCCACCCGGCCCACCCGGCAGCGCAAAAGGAACTGATGGAAGCGAGAGCGGATGAACAAAAGGCGCAAGACATGGCGCAGTCGAAACATGCCAAGGGCGGGGAAAGCCAGGCGCCCTGGCGGCTGGAAGGGTGGAAGGATGGCTGGAAGGATGGCTGGAAGGATGGCTGGAAGGATGGCTGGAAGGATGGCTGAAAAAGCCAGGCTGGAAACGGGAAAAATATGAAGACGTGGGGTCTGAAAGATGATTTCACTTGGATAAATATGGGTTCCATGTTGAATTTAGGGGGGTGTAACAACAGTGTAACCTTCAAGAAAAGAAGCTGGTTTCCATTGCTTCCTTGAACTACCAGTGTGGCTGGTGCATGGCTTTATTTGGGGCCTCAATTTAAAAAGTTGAACATGAAAGATGACTTCCGGGTCTCTGCTTTCTCTCCAGTGGTCTTGTGATATTTGAATCACTTGGTAATCATACCATTTGGACCCCAAACATGGCCAGGAATGCATTCTGTGGTTCAATGTTGGGTTTCTGATCGGTGGAGGGGTTGGGGTTGGGCGACCAATTGTGACATAAGCCATCAACGGTATTGGGCGCTGTGGATGATCTATACAGTACCGGTTCCCACACCAATCAACGGAAATCGGTGTCACAGTGGAGAACCCTAATATGATCCCATAGGTATACAGTAGATGTATTACTTTTGCAATAGGCCATATAGTCAGGGTGTTAAACTGGTTCCTTCCATCTATCAATCGGATAACGCCAGATATTTGGTCGCTTAAAAACTACACCAATCACAATTTTGACTGGTCTTTGTGGCTTTGTTTTGGTGGCCCCATTCGAAACCAGGTTTTTTGTGCTTGGCACACCAATACCCATCCCCAACACCCCTTCATCTCGTGTCTGCCAGCCTTCCACCGTCTATCCCGTGCACAGTGGCTGTTCCCAGAGGGTTTTGGACGCAGGGGGTGACCAAATTGAACTGTTGTGTAATCCTATTCCCCAATAAAAAACACCCCGAATTTGGGGGACCCCACAATGAATAGATCCAGTACTTAAAACCAGGATTTCGAGCGGTGTTTCTTTGATATTACGGGGAAGGGATTGCTGCAGGTGGCTCAACCAACAAACATGGGGATACAGTGAAGAAACACGAGGACGAACTGATGAAGCCAGCGAAGTCAGTCCAAGCGGTGCATGAGGAAATTACTTTTCTGCATTTTTCCATATTGTTCGAGAGCTATTCAGTTCCAAGTGGATGCTCTGCTGAAGAGACCAATCGCTTCAGTTTGGATTGGTGACAAACCCCCCAAAAGAACTGGATATAGACTCCAACTCTGGACTCGACTCTCGAATCTTGACCATGATCATGGCACATATATGGCACAGATCTACTGGGAAAGCCTATTTCCGAAGCTTTTGTTTGCGAGGTTCCAGGCTACTTGTTGTTGGTCCCCCTGATGCTCAATGTTTTGGGATGGTCGCAAGCCGTCTCTCATACAAGGTGGTGCCCCAGGTCGTGAGCGAAGTTGGTAAACATATCTAAGTCCAACAACTAAGGTTTACGGTATCGAACTAGTGAATGGGGTGACACAAAAATCAACAAAACATCATCATTGCTGCTGCGTAAAACATAATTCCAATCCCAATTCTTGTTGGTGATATCCCCATGTATTGGTGTTTATATCCCCATTATCAATGGATTGGTTTAAGGGAAAAATCTTAACCATGGTTTTTCCATGGGTTTTTTCCATGGTTTTCCCATGAAAGCTAGGGATTCCGTAGATTTTTTTTTCCTTAAACCAATCCAATGATATTACAACAGCGTGGGCTTTTTGCACTTCGTTCGGTTGGCGCCTGCGCGAGGCAAACTGGTGCACGCACCGATTCCTACGATGCCGGGCTGTGGGATTTAAGGGGATCAAAATGGACATGGGATTGGTGGGGCACCCAATGGATAGCCTCTGGTATTTTAATAGTTTGCTATTGAAAATGGACATTTATAGCCATAGAAATACAGTGAGTTTTCCCATTTAAAAAAACGTGATTTTCCATAGCTATGTAAACGTTTACCAGAGGGTATCTACTTGTATCTATTTGTTTGATGGTTCCAATAAGTTTTTAGGACATGGTGAAACATGTTCCCTCCAAACCCCGGGTTTGCCCACACTCAAACAACACATCCAAACAATATGATATACTTATCACCAGAGGATGAATGAAAACACTGGCTATACGCAGTGATTTTGACTTTAAGTTTTCAGGATTTAGGGTTTTCATTTAGGGTTTCGTGTTTAGGGTTTTAGGGTTTGTTATCTTGGAAAGTAAAAATCAAACCCTACGCAGGGATTTGAGCAGGTCAAAGGATATGCATGATATGCGGGATTCGCCGCGGTCAAACCTAGGGTTTGCAGCGAACATGTTCTGATCATTCTAATCTTTATTTGGTGTGCACTCTTCAATAACTTGGATGACAACTTGGGCCCCCATTCTCAATGGGAGATCTCCAGGATCCTAAAATGGAGGCACGTTAGTACCATATAAGGCCATAGAAATTGGGGGTATATCCCCTTACATAGCCCTAAAAAATAGGCCTACATTCCTACATAGGCCTTGCACATGATAGGTACCTCCAATTTGGGTTCCTGGAATGGCCATTGAAGTAAGTTATAAGCTGGTTTATAACCCCAACTAACTCTAGATATATCATGATACCTTTACCATAAACCCTAGTTATTGGCCATTGATTCTTGGGGAAGCGTTCCCCTGTCCCCGGAACGGGGAAACCCGTGGCGAGGGAAGAGGTGACAGCCGCCAAACACCGAGCCGATGAGGCCGATGGTGCGTTCACCATTGCATACCATGACAACATTGGTGTTTAACCATGAGACCATGAGACTAAGAATGGAATATATAATATATATATATATTGTACAATATATATATATATATAATATATAACATTATTATATATATTTATATATTATTACATATTTATATATTTATATATTATTATATATTTATATATTTATATATTTATTTATATATTTATATATTTATATATTTATTTATATATTTATATATTATTATATATTATTATATATTATTATATATTATTATATATTATTATATATATATATTTATTTATATTTATATATTTATATATTTATATATTTATTTATATATTTATATTTATATATATTATTATATATTATTATTATTATTATATATATTTTATATAATATATAATTATATATATATGTATATATTGGGATTGTTCAGTTGGATTTTGAAAGGATAAACGGGGACTCCACCAACCAAAAGACATGGGATTTCATGGGAAAGATGGGGACGGATCAGACGAGAGCTCCTCGGTTACTGAAATGGGAACTGTTATTGGAATATCATTGGAATATTATTGGAATATTATCAACCTAAGATTATTCCAATAATTATAGATTATCTGGTTGGTGGTTTGGAACATGAATGGAGTATGACTTTCCCATCATATTGGGAATGGAATAACATCCCAACTGACTTTAACTCCATCATTTTTCAGAGGGGTAGGGCGAAAAACCACCAACCAGATTATTATTAACCATCATTAAGCATGTAATAACCACATATTAACCATTATTAACAGTATATATTCCAATAATTAAACCAATGATTAGAAGCGAAAGTCACATTGACCATGAAATCTGGGGCATCCAAACGCTTGGTGACGAGGGTACGGTTGGTATAGGGTCATTGCCCAGTCAGCGTTTGCTCATTTCAGCAACAATCGGTTAAGTGACCTTCAAATCAGGAGTAATGGGTAATAAGTTCACTTTTATTTGTTTGGTATGTTTATGATAGATACAGGTCTTTGTGTATAGTGTTGCAGACATATGCATTGATATACATATAGACCATATAGATATAAATATAGATATAGTCACAAATCTAAATACAGAAATCAAACAAACATATAAATATATATATATATATACATATGTATAGATAGATGTCTGATATCAAGATTAACATCTGTAAATACCCTCTGGTAAACTAACATAGCTATTGAAAATCACCATTTTTACTGGGAAAACTCACTATTTCTATGGCCATGTTCAATAGCTATGTTAGTTTACCAGAGGGTATATACATTACACATATATAGACCCCATGAGGAAAAACGGCTGAGCGCCCTTCCCATCAGGAGGAAAAACGTGCCGCGGCCGCGCAGCAGACAGCGAAGAAACACCTCCAGAAGCGGGGTCGGGTCTAAGCGTGGATGCTTCGAATCATTGGTCTAACCATGGTGGTTAATGATGGTTAATGGTAGTTAATAGTGATTAATGGTGATTGATGATGGTTAATGATGGTTATTATTGGAATATTATTGGAAGATAGACCCTGCCAGGGGTTGGAAGACTAGTGAAACCATTAAAAATGGGTGATTTTCAGGGTCTATGTTTATTTACCAGATGGTAATATGTGGTTATTACCATGGCAAATTGCCCCAGAATCAATGTTTATTGGAATATATACTGTTAATTTAATGGTTAAGATGTGGTTATTGGAATATATACTGTTAATAATGGTTAATATGTGGTTATTACATGGTTAATATGTCACAAATCCTATTAGAGACGTGCAAATCCTATTAGTAACCATAGGTTGTTGTTGCAGTAACCATATGTCAACAAATTTGAACCATAGGTTATTGTTGCAAATCCTATTACATGCCAACAAATAACCATATGTCACCATTCAATCCCATTATAGATTGCTAGATGATAATCACCATTAATATGTTGCAAATAGCATTAAATAGATTAATAGAATATTAAGGTGATAGAATCACCATTAAAAAAGGCATATTAGATGCATACAGCTTTGGTTTTTGATGCCAAACTCACCATTATATCACCATGAAATCCCATTAGATGCCAAAAACCATAGTTTTCCATAGGTTGCACCGGTTGGATCGTATGGGAGTAGTATGGGAATGGGGCTCCCAGAAAAGAATCCCCTATTGATATGGTAGTGGGATATGACTAGTTGATTAGTATAGTTATGACTATAGTTATTGTCATGGTTTTAATTCTAGCCATACTACTACTCCCCTAAGATCCTTGCTGTAACCCGTGGAAAACTACGGGAAAGTATGGACAATTATGTGTGTGTGTGTTTTAACGGAATTTAATAGGATTTTATGGTGATATAATGGGATATGCAACAATAATGATGTGTGTATATATATACATATATACTGCTCCTGGCTTGTAACCTCATTTAAGTGATATATAACCAACTAGTTGCAGGAACTGTAATCCCATGGCCATAACTGTTAAGGGCCATAGCTGCACATATTTGGAGGTTTTCTTAGAATGGTGCATCCCCCAGTCACCATGGGTTTCAATACTAAAACGGTCTAATGACTGGGATGATTTGGGGTATCCCCATTTTAGGAAACTGCCATATGCGAAGCTTATGAGACTACTTGGATATTTATCTAAGATTTAAAATTTGTGGAGGCTTGGGAACAAAAACATATACCGTCTGGTAATTTAACAGTTTGCTATTGAAAATACCACATTTATAGTGGATTTTCCCATTTAAAATGGTGATTTTCCATAGTTATGTTAGTTTACCAGAGGGTAAAACTGTATGACATATTATGCCATTAGATTCTTTTTGCATGTTAAACTATGCTGGATTTTAATGATGATGTTTGGATCTTAGACATTTTTTTCGCCAGAGAATGATGATGTATATTTTGCTATACCTGGAGTAGGAGTAAGTTATCACTTATCACCATTTTTTTTTGAATATCTGGATTTGGTGGGATGAACAATGAACAGAACAATGGGATTTGCATGCAATTTTCAGTGGGTCAGCAAATCCGAAATCCCAACATTTCGTGGATTTTGCGCTTGAAATTCAAATTTTGGATGGGGGTCGCATATACATATATGTATATATATATATTATACATACATATATATATAAATTAGGAATCAACCATATACCCTCTGGATCCTCTGGCAATCAATATATGGATTGTTTGATGGAAAACCATCTATATACCATCTATAAATGGGGGATCTTCCAGCAAGGCAATCCCATTTTAATCCCCCAAACCCACAATTGTTGGCAATTTTTGGTGGTTGAAAGCCCACAATCCCAATCCTATGTATCGATGATTACTTCCCATGAAATCCCATAATCACTATTGTTAATGGTTAACTCAAAAAAAAGACATTGATTGATTCTTCACGAAAATTCCAAGGTTCCTATCCCCCAAAAGATGTTTTTGTTAATCCCCATCATCAGCATACCATGATTCTCCCTAATAGGATGTGAAAACTCCCTAATAGGATATATATATATACGTATATATATATATATGTATAGTGGCACCATGAAACACCATATATAGGCTATAGGATGTGACATCTCCGGCCGTGGCGCCAGGGCGGAAGCTGCTGCGAAGGAAGCCTCTCAAAGCTCCGATGACCGGCAGCGTGAGAAGGCACCGATGACCGACAATCGGCTGATTCGAAGCCGTAGGGCCGTAGGGTTCACATCAAGGGTTTAGGGTTTAGGATATTTCCATGATATGTCCATAAAAAATCAGGAAACTTCGAACACAAAAAGACGTACATACAAAACACAGGCAAACATCAGATGTTCACATGTCATCACCAACAATACTTCAAGAATAACAAGAACATTCACCAAACATCACCACACATTTGAATGACTACCCTGGGGTAAACATCACTTCTAGATCTGGAAAATCCTTTTTTTCTAGATTCGATGGCTTTCGGAAAGCCATAAGTTTTCCACATTCTTTTGGTATATGTTTATCGCTGGTAGCCGAGAAACATGTCACCCGCGGAGGCCCAGAAGGAGGCAAAGTCTGAAGCCGCCTGGGGAACTCAGATCGGCAGAACTTGGTGCATTTTTTCGGAGCGGAGTTCACCCCCGAAAAACGGCCAGTGATTTTGCCAGAAAAGTGGAGATTTTACTGGGAAAAATGATGATTTTTGCCAGTAAAATGGTGTTTTAAGCAGAAAACATGGTGATTTCACCACCAGAAATAAGAACGCGTTTGCGAAATATGAGGATATAAGCATTGGGCTCTTCAAAAAGATGTGGAACAAAAACCGATCCCTGTAAGATTGTAGCAGCCCCCGTGAAAGACAGGACAGAAACAAGTCACTGACCTTTATTTTAGTAGGACTTTACTTTTCTGTTTTTTTCGAGGTTGCTATAAACGTTGGTTTATCTCAGGGTTTCTTATTTATTGGGTGTTAATCATCCATTCAAATGTTGGTTTGATAGTGGTTTTTACCACCCCAAAAGATGATAACTTCATGGAGGATTCATCCAGACTTGGGGCTTTATGCAGGATGAATCCTCACCGTTTTCACATGTTTTCACCGTTTTTTTGTTGCTCGAGAGGCTTGATTTTTTGCTGCAACTGCTTGGTGGTTTGATACATAATGTTGAACATTACTAGCCTGGATGATGATTTTAGTTGACGAGTATTTTTCCGGGAAGTTGAAACCACCAGAGGTGTATACATAATTTTAGTCTTATCATGGGGATAGAATGAAACTGAAATGCGTGTATTGACTTTAAAGATGGATCACTTCCTTCCCATTGATTAGCAATAATAGATGGTTAGGTTTTGCCATCACATCCGTGATTATTATCGTTGGTGGTTTAGATTGTGCCCCATCCATAGACCCTCAAAATTGGAGGATGGTCCCGTTGCAATAACCATTATGATGACCATGTTCCAACTTGAATCCCTGCTGGTATGTTTGATGGTAGAACGGTAGAACCATATTTCTGGGTGTTGAATCAACCTCCGGCTTGAAGTTGCTGCTGCTATGTTTGGCGTTTTAGCCCTTCTTTATTGATCATATCTGACCGCTGTAAGGGGTGGGGGCCCTCTAGATATGTTGGTTTATAAGTAGGTTACCATCTGGTAAACTAACATAGCTATGGAAAATCAGCCCTTCTTTATTGATCATATCTGACCGCTGTAAGGGGTGGGGGCCCTCTAGATATGTTGGTTTATAAGTAGGTTACCATCTGGTAAACTAACATAGCTATGGAAAATCACCATCTTTAATAGGGAAATCAAGTATTTCTATGGGCCATGACTTCAAGTTCGCAAACTGTTAGTCATTACCAGAGAGTAGCTAGGCTTCAATGGGTGATTATATATAACTTATAGCTATACTTCGATGGAGTTCTCAGAAACACAACATGTGGAACCACCGAACCACGACTTTTCGGAACATCGGTGAATTCCAACCCCTACGAGGCGCTGGCCACTGAAGCAGAGCACAACGCAACGGTGGGCGATGGGGCGATGGGATGGGTCGTTATGTATAGCTGGGCTTCTATCTACAGTGCTTCTTAACAGGAAAACCATAGGAAAACTATAGGAAAACTATAGGAAAATGGTGATTTAACCAGCAACAATGGAGATTTACAGTATCCATTACCCTCTGGTAAACTAACATAGCTGTGGAAAATCCACCCATTTTTAATGGGTAAAACCACTATTTCTATGGCCATTTTCAATAGCAAACTGTTAGTTTACCAGGCCGGGTAATGTATAACTGGTTGGTGGTTCGGAACATCTAGATGATTTTTCCCATCATATTGGGAATGGAATAACATCCCAACTAACGGACTCATATTTTTTCAGAGGGGTAGGGCGAAAAACCACCAACCAGTTATTAATGCATAAATATCTGGGTGAATTAGAACGACCGAGCTCCCTGTTCTCCCTCACTGGGATCATGTTTTTTTTTTTTGTTTTTTTCGAAGAATCATTCCCATTCATGGCCGCAAGATTCAGGTGAGTGACTTATCATAATTTACCCAGAAATATGTATAATACTGGATGAATAGTGAATGTAGAATTATGATCTCTGGCTGAGGTTCTCTACCATATGTCTACTGGATGTTTCATGATATTATTACATACTGGAATGAATAATGGATATTAATGGATAATGAGACCATGAGTAACGATTACCGCATATATATATATATATTACTGTAATATATGGGATGAATTATGATAACCTCTGCGTGACGTCACTGGAATTTGTTACGCGGGGAATCATCAATGGCCGCTTTTGTTGCAGCTGAAACTTTCGGCTGCTGCAACTCCTTGGCCCCTGGCATTGGAGCCCTGATGTTCTGCAACGCCCGGTATCAACGAAGCCCTCAAGGTGGAAGCGGCTGCCCCTGCCAGGTGTTTTCCGTGGCTGCGACTTGGCTACTCTGAGAGCAATGGCTAAGCAATGGCTAAGAAATGATTGCAATTCAGCCAGAATGACTGGGGTTTACTTACAATTTTTATTTTGGACTTCTCGAATGATGATTACTGGACGTAACGATGATTACTTAAAGTACCCTCTGGTTATTTAACATAGCCATGGAAAATGGCCCATTTATAGATGGTTTACCTATTAAAAATTGTGATTTTCCATGGCTATGTTAAATAACCAGATGGTATATCTTCATAAAATTCAGGAGGTGGTGACCCCCTAGTTATGTTCACCAACTTAGCTAACTTTTTTGGGCCCCACCGACTGTATGACTGTTTTATGGAAATATCATGGGGTTAAATGGGAGATGTAACAGCAATATGGTATAATCTACTGGGTCAATCGACTGGATGGGTATCTTAGTACAACTTGATATTTTACGAAAAACGGGAGATTGAGGTGTCAAAAAGAAATTGAGGTGTCAAAGATTGGCCATGCTAGATAGGAAAGGTGGTTTAAGTATGCGACTTAGCGGCTAAGTTGTAGATCTATTATTTACCCTCTGGTAAACCAACATAGCCATGGAAAATCATCCTTTTACAGGGTAAATCAACCATAAATTGCCATTTTCAATAGCTATGATAGTCATTACCAGAGAGTATCTAGGCTTCAATGGGTTATGACTGAGGGGGCCCTTCCATGTCTCTGGATGTCTTAGGTAAGTTGCAAATTTTTGATGATTTTTGCTGGATATACGATTCATACAGGATGGGGCCCCCAAGATAGCTAAGTTGCCTTATAAGTGGCTTAACTATGGTTTTGTGGTAGATATAACATGATAATACATGATATAACTATAGTTAATGGGGGTTATAATGGTTTATAAACCAACTTATAACTGGGGGGGGCTATCCTGTATATCTCTGCGTCCATTTGTGACGAAAACAACTGATTCACCTACACAAGTCCCCAAAATTTAGCCACAGAAATGTCTCACCCGCAGTGTTTTTGATGATTTTGCGATTTCTTTCGGGAAATCGACACTGTGATGATCTAACCTCGCAATGAACACTTCCTCAACTAACCAATGACCGCTTCCCCACGTCATCTTCCCATTTCTACGGGACAGATGACTGCAGAGCCAAGGGTTTTCCCCATTTTTTAGACAGACCCAGAGCCGTTATTACATCGCTATCAGTGATTCAATTCAGTTGTTTATTCACGTGTTAAATCCCTATTTTTGATGCTAAGATCCATATTTTTGATGCTACAATGACCTTTTTGATGGTTAAATCAGTTTTTTTGGAATCCAACTGATATATATGTATATATATATATCAGTTATACGCCAATCACTATGCCAAAACAATGGGGGTATTCCTCAACTTTACCATTTCAATTGGACACATGATGATCTGTCGGAGTTTGGCTCCATCTTCACAGGTCAAAAGACTTGAGGCCAAGATTGCACATGACAAGGTGGGCTGCATCTGCGTTCTTGGGGATGCAGAATTCCCCACTGTAAGTGGGTAACAGTTAACCATATTAACATCACGAACTGGAACATCACCATGCATTTATTTAATGGCTAAATCATGCTAAATCAACGATTTCGACTGGGCCATTTCCAATAGCAAACTGTTAGTCATTACCAGAGGCTAACCATATGTATCGATGATTCCATTTCCACGTGAAACCCATAGATTTCCATAGGTATATTTGCTGGAAAACGGTGTGGCTTGTCGTCGGGAAAATGATGAATTTATGGGGGATGGTTATCAATCAATAACTGGTTGGTGGTTTGGAACATTTTTTATTTTTCCATCTATTGGGAATGTCATCATCCCAACTGACTTTAACTCCATCATTTTTCAGAGGGGTAGGGCGAAAAACCACCAACCAGATAAGGATTTATATAATTTTATAGTAAGGATTCCCATTTTTTGGGATAGATGACCTTATGACCCCATTTTTGCCGTGTTTTTCTTGACCATGGCACTGCCATGGCAGATCCCCAGTATATCTGAGTCCCCCTAAGATTTGATGGTGTTGAAACACCATGGGAAATCCAGAAGACAAAATACCTTGAAACATGAACAGATTGAAAAAAACATCCATGAAACAAATCCATGAAATGATTGATGTTCAGATTTCTATATGTGTCATGTTCAAAATATGCAATATTCTGTCTGGTCATCGATCTCACAATTGGAATCCTGATAATCGGGGTATAAATCGCTATTAATAGATGGATGATTATCCCCGGATAAGGACACTTGACCCACGTTTTGACCATGGCATCCCACAAATTCCCAGTTTTTGATGCAGTCCTATTGCTGGGTTAGCAATGCCAGTAGATCTGCCATCTAGATCATCACTCGCACCATTTGTTTGCTGGTCGGTGGTTTGGAACGTGAATTTTATGACTTTCCATCTATTGGGAATGTCATCATCCCAACTGACGAACTCCATCATTTTTCAGAGGGGTAGGGCGCAACCACCAACCAGATAATAAACATTAATTAACCATCATTAACCATCATTAATCATCATTAACCATCATTAACCATCATTAACCATCATGAACTATCATTAACCATCATTAACCATCATTAACCATCATTAACCATCATGAACCATCATGAACCATCTTTAACCATCATTAACCATCATGAACCATCATGAACCATCATTAACCATCATTAACCATCATTAACCATCATTAATCATCATTAACCATCATTAATCATCATTAACCATCATTAACCATCATTAACGATCATTAATCATCATTAACCATCATGAACCATCATTAACCATCATTAATCATCATTAACCATCATTAACCATCATGAACCATCATTAATCACTATTAATCACCATTTGTTTACCATTTTTCTTTGCATTGCAGGTGCGATTCATGGAGATTCAGTCTCTTCGTGGAGGCTGGCAGGTGCCGTGAACCGTGAACCTGTGGGACGATGGGCTGCGGTCAAGGTCAATTCATTGATGGAATATCTTGGGGCTATGGGGATTCAATGGGGATAATAGTAGGATACAATTATATATATATGTATAATTATATATATACATACAATTAAATTATAAATGAACTACATTCTAGGTTTGTTTAACCCTTTGCATAGCTTGAACGGACATTTCCATGTTCAGATGATCATGAAGAACATTGCACCATCGCAGAAATCAGCTTTTCCGACAGGGGATTCATCCAGAAAATGCAAGAAGAGGAAGAGGAAGAAGAGGAAGAGGAAGAAGAGGAAGAGGAAGAAGAGGAAGAGGAAGAAGAGGAAGAGGAGGAAGAGGAGGAGGAAGAGGAAGAGAGCGAGGGCGAGGAACCGACAAAGATTGAAATAACCCGGTTTGAGACCCATTGTGCCGTCATAATTTTAGAGACCGCAAATTCACGTCAACAAAGCGCACGTGCGGAAATGCTACGTGAAACACTGTCCGGGTTCCTTTCCAAGTTGCCGAAGACTGAACAAGAGGCCAGAGTCCAAAGTGCTTCCAACCGTCGATTTCTATGGCCCCTTGAAGCTGCCCAAATGAGGCCAGGTCAAGGCTTCAATGATCATATTGCCATGAAGGTCATTGATGCGGGGTGGATTGGACCTAGGCCTTTGAGGTGTATCCGAGTGTATCCATGTATATTAACCTTTGCACTCAAGAGGGGTTGCCAGTTGCCAGTGGAAATTGGGCTTCCTCAGTCGCTTTGATTCTCCGACTCGGTCTGGTGTAACGTGCAATCAAGCTTCCGGTATCTATATGACAAGACGCTATAGGGCTTTAGGGTGGTCACAGCAAACGTGTCAAGCTCATCAAGGCTACGTTGCTAACCACTTGGATATATTGCTTCAACGGTTCCATATGGTATTCCATATGGTTCCATGATGTTTAATTCCATTAAGACAAGAGTTTTTAAAATTGCTCTCGTGATGCGGGTGAGCAATCTATCTCTTGCTCTCCCACCATCAAATGTGCTTGGTGTAGATAGATTGTAGATAGAATGGTCACGGGGCTCAATCTTGATGGTGCCGACTCAAGGGTCAGCTGTGGAAGACTTTGACTCGAGAAATAAATGCTCTCTTTCTGTGATAGTGCTGGAGAACCGCACCATCTTGGTTCCAGGTGGGCCTTGTTATGTTTCTTAAGCATTGTTTGTGGAATCCTGAAAAAAAAAGACCTGGGTGCTGCTTGCATTTCATATTGTTATGCTGAACATGACTGTTTGCAGGGCAACACCAATTGAACCTATTCATAGAAGGCTAGAGGAGAAAATTAGGACAAACCTGCGTTTTGCTCAAACATGGTATTCTGGAAATCCTCCATTGAGTTAATTTAGTGGTTGGTGGTTTGGAACTTGTTTTATTTTTCCATGATATATGATATATGGGATAATCCTTCCCATTGACTTCCATATTTTTCAAGATGGTTAAAACTACCAATGAGATTTAGTGAACGATGTTTTTCCCCAGCTCTAAAGCTTCGGACATATTTCGGAGATTTCCCCACAGGGACGAACAGTGCCGGCCGAACTGTCACGCCGCGCCACCGGAATTTGCTATCTCTGGAGCCTCTGGGAAACTAAGCGAACTATGGAAGATCACCATTTGAATAGGTAAATCAGTGACAAATGGACCATTTTCAATAGCTTTGTCAAATTGCTGGAGGGTATCAACTGCTTAACTCATTCAAAAACTGTGTTTGATTATAATTTGTCGATGTCATATTACCTTTCTTGCTGCAACCACCAATTTTGTTGGTTCACACCCTGGGTTCAATGAGAAATTAGTTGGTGGCTGCCAATCCCCATTTGTCGATTTAGTCGGTGATGTCTATATCTTTCCAATAGGTGAAATCTCCATCTAGCTGCTCAACACCGCTGTTTGTTGGTTGTAGAGGATTTTACTATCCACTATATTGGGGATTGTCATCATCCGCCAATGGGCCAATGGCTAATCAACGATTAGAATGGAATGACACAGGGTTTTGAACACTTTGTTTTGATTAAGTCGTACTAAAATTACTATTCATTAAGTCAGACTAAATTTACTATTCATTAAGTCATACTAAAATTGCTATTGAATACTAACATTACTATTGATTGAATCATACTAAAACAACCTAAATCATATAAATATCAGCAACTCAATTCTTCTTTGTTCCTCTCTTGATCCACCAGCCTGCTGCAGACCGAGAGCCCATCACAGTGGGTGGAGTGTTGGGGACCTTGTGGACCTCGGGTCAACCTGGAAGGGTCGATAGAACTAGCCATCTTGATATCGACTGGATGAGACCATCGATAGTTATTAAGCCATAGATCTAATAACTGGAATAACTTACTAGCCATCTTGAGTTCTGACTATCCATAATACCTGTTAGTTCAGTAATACTAGTATTATGATATTAACAGGCATTATGGATGGTCAGAACTAGCCGTATTATGGATGGTTATCGACTGGATATTAACAGGTATTATGATATTGACAGGAAGATGTGATCATCAGCTAGAGATTCATTTATTTTATGTAAATGGATGTAAATGGACATAGAATACTCCTCAGCTAAAGAGAGATAGATAGTTTGCACATGTTTGCACTGGGCTGGCACAGTGAGGATCTTAACTGGTCCAGGTCAGGATGTGCCATACTAGTCGTGATTAATGTGGGTATCCCAAGATAGGTAGGTTGGTCGGCTGGTCCATCACTTTAATAGGATTTGTGGTGGATATACAATTGAAATCCATTAAACAGGTGAGTCTAAGACAACTGAACTATGTTTATATATATATAAACTATTATTATTTATTGTTTATTATTATTATCATTATTATTATAGTTATTATTATTATTGTTAGTACTATTATTATATTATTATTATATGTATTATGCACATAACTTACATAACTTACATAACTTGGGGAGCACGGCAGGACCGGGGTTTACATCTCCGGCAGGACTGGTTTTTTCAGATCATCCCGGGAGGGGTTTGAGTTTGTGTGGCTCATCCCACGAGACGTGGGGGAAAAAAACAGTTATAACAGTTACCATCTGGTTATTTAACATAGCCATGGAAAATCACATTTTTTAATAGATAAAGCCAGGTAAACCATCTATAAATGGGCCATTTTCCATAGTTATGTTAAATAACCAGCGGGTATAAATTATGGGATAAGTTACTAGTAAAACCACAAGTTTTATAGGATAAGTATGGATAAGTTACAAGTGGTTTAAGCCCAGTTACAAGTTATTTAGCTTAATCTACTTGCAACTGGGTTTTGTTACTGGTTGGTGGTTTGGAACGCTTGGGTTATTTTTCCATTCTGGGAAGAATAATCCCAACTGACGTTCATATTTTTCAGATGGGTAGGCATACCACCAACCAGCAATGTTGTTGATGAACTTCTTTTTTTTGTGGTTGATTTGTAGGTTCGGTTGGTCGAATCTTAGTCAAATCGGGAGTGGTCTTCCACTAGTCTTGCTATGCCAAATGATTGCTGGTTTCTAATATCCGGGGTCCTCTGGTAATTTAACATAGCTATTGAAAATGACCATTTATAGTGGATTTTCCCATTAAAAATGGTGATTTTCTATAGTTATGTTAGTTTACCAGAGGGTAATTAGTTGGGATTTCCCCACCAAATTGATCCGGTACTATCTTAACTTCAAACATGTCTTTCTCCCTATGAGATGAACGAGTCAGCATTCATCCTGGGTTGACAAACTTCATTACCAACAAGGATTTGTATCTAAGCAACTAAAAACGGTGGATCTGGCCAGGAAACATTTGGATTTAGGCATATTTAGCCACAGTACATTGGTTGCATCTTAGTGCATCTTCAAATGCTTCGACAGTTCGCCCCATTGCACCATGCCAGATGCATCTGTGGGAGCTGGCATTTTCGCGTGCGGGGGCCTGGGGTCAGTGTTGCCTTGACGAGGAGAACGAGGAACCTACGACCAGAAAGATGTAGGATTGGGAGATATTGGGAGAATCATACCCAAACTGACCTTACTTCAGTTTGGAGAATTCGTTTTTCTTGATTACATTTTCAGATACATGGTGTTTTAAACCATCAAATGTTTTTTTTAAAGAATAATGAATAATTTAGCCGGCTTTTTTCCCCGCCCACCAGGTGAGGGTCTTTAGATTTTAACGAAGGTGCAACTCCTCCTCCTGCTTCTCCTCCTTCATCCTCTCCTCTTCCTCTTGCGCCTACTCCTGCTCCTTCTTGTCCTCATCTCCACCTGATGTCAGCTTTATGTTTCCAAGCCATTTAAAAATGGCAAGCTCTGGATGCACGCCTGGACCCACGCCAGAGACAATGCTGCAGAGAATGCCATACAGAATGTTAGAATGTATGTCAGATAGAATGCCAGAAAAAATGTCGAAAACAAAACATATATGCCATATATACTTCCAGACTATGTCAGAAACTACTGAGTCAAAATAGTATATATGTCAGGGTGGGGATCACTTGAAGTAAGGTATTTTAGGGGTTTTGCCCAGACACGATAGGAAACTAGGAGAAGTTCAGTCCCCATTCTGAATGGGTGGCTCACAAAAAGCAGGTGGCACCTTCCACTTCAGTTTAGTTTGCTAAACTTTATGTTCACTCATCAACCAGTTCGATATATTCATATATATATATATCATTTGTATATCTATCTATGATAAACCATTTGGAATTCATAGAAAATGACAACAAAACCAACTTTTTTTAGGTAGATCAACTCTAAGTCCCAATAGCTGAGCCCCCAATGACCCAATGCTTAAACAATGGCCCTGCGGAGGTTGGCTCTTTGTGCTTTCCTGGTACCTGGAAGGTCAAAGACGGTTGGGGTACCCAGTGGATCAAAACGACTGGATCAGTGGATTATCCGGAAATTTCAGATCACATGTTGGACGACTGATTGGTCAATCATGGTGATTTATTAATGTATACGACTGATAGTAGTGTGTATATACGTAGTATATATGTATATATCATTTTATACACATACAATCATAGAAGACATTGTACATGTATCTAAATATATTTATACATTAGTATCACAAGCATACATTGCAATTAACAACTAGTAGATAATACATTTGCAGTGAATATAACATCGGTATACGCATAGTACGTATATATATAGATACACATACAGACAATATATGATATAAATTTCCAGACGCTGTCCCCCTCTTCCACTCAAACCCACTTGCCTCACCACACCCCAAGACCAAGAGGTGTGAAGGCAACTGAAATCTGTTACTGTAATTGCTTGGCCGGACAACACCTTCCGCAGTTGTTTGAACTAATTCCCGTTCATTCCCTACTCAACTCCACATTACAACAAAAGGCTCGTATGCAGAATGCTAAATTATCAAGTATACCCCCATTTTTATCAATGGTTTCGGTAACCGCATTAAACCAATGGATTATCCCAATTATGGTTTCGGCAACTCCTTCCGCAGACCAAGGTCAGTTACTCCCAATTATTCCAATGATCTGCCAAATAATATGGTGACTACTACAGTTATGAACCCAGTTAGATGGGTTCATACACCAGCTTATAACAAAACAAAGGGGCACCCACGGCACAACTTTGGGAGGCTAAGGTTATCTCATGATACCACTTTCCCAGCGCCAGGCCAAACAAGAACCTTTGAAGGACGGGAGAAGCGACAACTGCATCACGTTTCACGGTGGAGGCATGACTCAGATGGAGGATTGTGCTAACATGGGAACTGAACCAACAAAATGGGCATGTGTTGATCTGGATGATTTTCATGTTGAATGTGGCATTTCTGCCGATTTCCAAAGAAGATGTTGGCGGCGGAGAACCTGCCATGCGATGCTGTCACTACGGTCCTCGTGCGCCCGACCTCGGCATACGCCCTTGCGGCATATGGGTGGAGACCTGGAGATGGCGCTCGAAGCATTCACTGAAGTGAATCTTCAGAGCAGCAGCTGAACAATTCATCCTTCATGACTGTGACTGTGTTCGGGGCATCATGGTCTGATGTGAAGTTTTTGAGCGCTTGTAGCTTATACTACCATGAAGATCTGACCATCAAACACAGGATTCTGAGCATACATGCATGGATATATAATTATATATATACACACAATTAAGGCATATCAAGGCAACAAAAAAAACACGATATGAACACAAGTACTTATGATACGACTACCAAACAAAGAATTCTAGGAAATGATTTGTTCCCATAGAGCGGCACTTCAACAACTCACTGGGCATGGCCTGTGAAATCGGGGATCCCTGGGGTGATGATTCAATGATTTTTCCACAGCGACAGATGTTGAATTTCCAGAGGGTACAGATACATCAGATTGCAAAGGGGCTGTGGAAATGGTGGAAATGGTTTGAATTTCCGAATTGCATTTCTAATATTTTCTAATGTTAGTGTACTGTAGATCTGTGATCCGTAGTCATTTAAGTGCCATGCTTAAAACTTGGGGATACTGTTTCTTGGATACTCATTGCCTCATTGCCCATATTGGGGCATGGTCATCAATCCATAGGGTCTGTAGTAGGCGCATCTTGGGGCGAGGTTGGCCCGGCTTGGACCAGTTGGGGCCATCTGGAGGCTATGTTGGGCCAGCTTGCGCGCGTTTTAGGGCTTATGTTGGGCCATGTTGACCCATCTTAATCGACAAGACCGAAAACATGGGAAAGCCACAAAACACTGTAAATTGCGGTATGTTTGTAGGGTCGGCGGCAGGGTGGGCAGCGCCTCTCTCCTACGGAGCGGAGAGAACTGCCGTACGGCAATGCCACGGCCACGGGGGTTTCCTGGCCGGATATATAAGGATTCCCACGGCACGGGATAGATGACCTGACCGGTAACCTTATATACAATATTTTGTGTGGCATATATGCATATATATAATAATTGTTTTCCAGAAGATGTACACACACACACATCCAAAAAAAACAACTAAAAGCACCTTGGTTTCCTGAGGAGTTTACATCAACTTTTTTTTTGGCGCCTTTTCAAACCTTACTGGGCCCATGCCACAGCACAGGAGCCACTGCTGACCGAGGCAATGGGACTCATTGGTGATGGTGAACCATTGGTTGCTCCATAGGGAAATGAGAACCACAAGGGGAGAAGAAGTATGGCTAATTGTGGGGTGTTAGGGGTGTTAAACCATCTTGTTAGCCAATCAGAACTTTTACCAAGTCATTTGCGCGGATCTTGTTCTCAATTGTACCCAATTTACGTAACGTATCTGCAGGAAACCCCCATATTTCATAGGAAAAAACATGCTGGTTGGTGGTTTCAAAAAAACATATTTTCCATAATATATTGGATAGTCCTTCCCATTGACTTTCATATTTTTCAAAATGGTTAAAACCACCAACCAGCATGGTTTCCTATAGACTTTCCCTTAAACCAGTCCAAACGTAGGGGTGTTGAGAGCAACCATGTCCTTACCGCGAAAGTGACCTCTGGGGAAGTTCCAGCACGAGCTCTCGGTTGCAGGGGGAAGAAATGGAGGTGTCCTAAAGTGGGGATGCCCCAAAACCTATTGAAAATGATGATTTGGGGGGTATACCCCTATTTTAGGACAGCTCCATTTCTGTGATCCTGTAGTGGGCGAATATTTTTGTAGCCATAAAGGAGGATATCACAACCTATCACATCCCCCTGAAAACTAAGTTTTCGAACGGACAGGCCAAACCTGAGACAGTCGTGTTCTGACGTTTCTTTTTGGGTTCAACCTGATCATCAACATAGGGGGTTTAACCCGTCAACATAGGTGTTTAACATTGAAAATCGGGTTTTAACCATGGCAAAGACATTTAACCTTTGAATAATATATGATGGGCCCCCTTGCTTAGCTAAGTTGCTTTGCTGTTGGGTTTCTTCCAGATGGATAACCAGAAACCAACGAACATAACTAGGGCTCACCACCTCATATGTACCTTGGCGATGGAGATGATACGACAGTTCTTGATGATAACTTTCAGGATTCAGCAACCATTGGATATATGGATGCTGTTATATCATTTCCAAGATGCTCTATCATTTACAATCGGAATCTGGAATGATCCAAGAGAATCCACGATTTTTAGGGGACTCTCAAGCAAGTTCAACGCGAAAATCACAGCGACTATTGTTCACACCAGGCCATGATAGACGTCAATACAGTGGAACGCCTAATACCTGATACTGGTTGGTGGTTTGGAGCATTTTTTATTTTCCATCATATATGGGATAATCCTTCCCATTGACTTTCATATTTTTCAAGACGGTTAAAACCACCAACCAGGGATAAGTCTGGTCGAAAAGATCAGGATTTTTATGTCGGAACCGTTGGGATATTCCTATGAATCTTCCAGTGTCTCATTTTACACACGTCGAGCCGCTGAGCAGTGACGTTTTTCTTGGATGAAACAAAATGATCTCAGGGGCAAATGGGGCCTATCATGAAGATTTGGAGGCCGATTCTATCATATCTCAGGGGCTGATTCATATCTTATATGATTTGGAGGCGAATGGGGCCTATCATAATGATTGCAGGATTAGTCCGAAATATTTTTGATGATGTTTGATGGCAGTGGGTCACCAACTTGCGTTAGTAAAGAAGCTATAGTTTTTTCCGCCAATGAACTGCATATACTGTATTTGTTACTGAGACATCAGACATCGTCAAATCCTCAAGTTTGCTTGTAACATCCGATATGATGTCGAGTCAATTCCAATTTGTACTCGTTAAATCACAATGTTTCTTGATTAAACATGTTAAAACCAACTTTTCCCCGAAATCAAATCAAGTAGCTTTGTGTTCACCCCTATAGCTTATTCTAATGATTTTTAAACTTGAAAAAAATGCAAAAAAAATGACAACACATGGAAAATCAAAAAGCAAAACTTCAAAACTGAAAAGCACAGGAAGCAAAATAAATGGGAAAAAATGGAAAGTCAAAATGGAAAAAAAAGGAAAAACATGGATTTGTCCATTTGTATTTTTTTTGCATTTATTTTGCTTTCTCGATTTTTTTTCCTTTTATTTTGTTTTTTTTTTGCTTTTTGCCTGGAAAAAAGCAAAATAAAAGCAAAAAAAAAAATCGAAAAAAAACAAAATAAATGCACACAAAATGCAAATGGACAAGTCCATTTTGTCCCCATTTTTTCCCTTTTTGACTTGTTTTTTGTTCACCTTTTTTCCCCTTTGATTTTGCTTTTGTGTTTTTTGGATTTTGCTGATTTGCTTTTTGTTTTTTCCTTTTTGTGCGTTTGTCGCGTTTTTTTTCAAGTTTCAAGAAAGTTAGAATAAGCTATGGTCTGGTTGACATATAAGTAGCTTCCTGTTTGTTTATCACCCGATCTTTTGGAAGGAACCAGACTGGGCTCGAGAATCTGGTGATGATGAACATTCAGCTGAGGATTGGATCGGATCTCTGGTTGACCTGGAGGATCATCCCATTACTATCAGATACCCGGCCTGGTAAACGTTTACATAACGAACTGGGAAAACACACAATTGTTAGGTCAATCAATGATTTCTATGGGGTCATTTTCCAGGTCGCTAATTATGTAAAAGTTTACCAGGCCGGGTATCTGGTTTTAACGGTTTTTGTGGGCCTTATTAAAGCAATGGGAGATGATCCTCCAAGGTGGTTTCAACGGGGGATCATGATGAAGCAACGGATGAACCAATGGTGGCAACCTATCTTTGGAGAACATCAGTTGATATCATATGATTTACCTAACAATAATTGATATAAATATATATACCTATGATAATTCCACCGATATTTACCTATAATTAATACGGTTGTATACGTTTGGTTGGGGAACCCTGTGTGGTGGGATTGGATTCCGGATTAACATGCAAAATCAGCATGTTTTGTTTTGATGGGGGATTTGATTTTTTTAATCGGGGATTTGACCCGCAAAAGATCGGAAGTTTGTTGGATTTGCACCCCTAAATGCAAGGCTTTATTATCATGATCACTATCAAGATGGTTATTTCATGGTTATTTCATGGGGTTTTTGGGGTATACCTCATTTCCTACCTGAAACTTTTTTTTGTTACGGGTTACTCCGTTTTCAGTTACACCCGAAGATTTCTGCAAATAGGTAGGCTTTGGATGGACGAACCTGTCACCACCTGATTCTTGAAGTTATCCCATGCAGGGAAGTTGGGAAACAAACCATCTACATGGAAGCTCTTGTGATATTGTGCAACATGCACTTGAGGTCTTGGAGGGGTCGGAGATTGAGAGATTGAGGATCATTTGCCCGCAAAGTGGTGCCTCCCCGTTACAAGTTGGCTTATCAACTCACTCAACATATGTAATATATATATAATATATGGTTGTAACATATCCACCAGAAATCCATCAGCTATGGGATATATGGACCTGCTGGACCTGACTCTTGGATGTCTTGGAGGAAACAAACCACTGATTTCCAAGGCTAGGCCTGTGTCAACTCCGCCCAAATAGGGTACCCTACAATGATATCCAGAGAATGTTCAAAGTAGTGGAATATATTGGAATATGGCCATGTTTATGGACAATATCTATTGATAACAGTTTTAACATATTGGAATATTCATGTCCAAATGCTAAGTTTCATGGGATTCATCACCATCAACTTGATGGGGATGCATCACCTATAAATGGGATTTTTCCATGGAAGATTAATGAGATATTAGCCGATATCCTTCACTATCATCAAACACAGCTGGAAAATCCCCCATTGCTATGTTTGATGATACCAGAGGGTCTAAACATACAAGTCGACTGGTTGGTGGTTACCCTCTGGTAAACTAACATAGCTATGGAAAACCACCATGTTTTCTGGGAAAATCAACTATTTCTATGGGCCATTTTCAATAGCTTTTTGTATGTTTACCAGGCCGGGTAAACAAAAACCCAGGTATGGATTCATCCATAGAGACAGTGGCTGTTCATTTTCTCCCCAATAAAGAGCCGATTAAAAAAAATAAATCCAGCTTCTCGCCTCCGCCTTGGCGCAGCCCAGTTTCTTCATCCAAAAAAGATTGGGTTTAGCTCGTTTAATCCTTTAGTTTCTTGATATGGCCATGAGTCAAAACCCTGGTGCTCGAATGGTACCCTTAAATAGCTGGTTTATAGATTTTCATTACCCAAATATGGTTTGACCCATTTCCATATAGAAAATAACCAGCCAACCAGCAAAAGATGACATGATTTCTTTTGACTACCAAAGATTATGACCATAGTTTGTTTGTGCCGCAGCTACTCGTTTTGGTTCATAGTTTTGCAAAGCCAAAGAGTTTGTACTGAACCGGATGCATGGCAACGTAGTGCTGCTACAAGTACGGGCTCCAAGCTGGAACGAAAGGCACTGAAGACCCAGTTGTGAGCCGCTCATGGAAATGTTAAACATGACACCTGGCAAAACCAGAAAAACCTGGCCTGGTAAAGGTGAACTCAGTTTGCGAACTGGAAAATCAGCATGTCGGTAAATCAACTATAAATGGGGATATAGTGGGATTATCATAGGAATATATAGGTATATAATAACCAATATCAACAATGTGGGGCCATTTTCCAGTTCGCAAACGGTTAGGTTAGTCACTACCAGAGGGTTTTTGGGGTCTCCTGGGTCTCCTGTTCGACAGGTATCCTTTCGGTAGCTGTCGCGATCTTCAAATGTACAGGATCTATATGGATCTATGACATCCTCAACATACATTTAGTTTGCAGAATTTTAGAATGTAAATAATGTAAAGCCATATGAATTTATAATTTTATTTTACATCCTCAACATACATCTATATGGATCAACATACATCAATAAATCAATAATTGCAGAATTTTATTGATTTCGTTTCATGCAGCGGATGATTCTGCCTGGTTGCAACGATTTCCTGCGGTATGCAGGTTGCACTTTGGTACTCGTACCAGCATTTTCTAGTGGGATATACCCTACCGTATGTCTGGGCAAAACCATGTCATGTCCTTCGTTCATATTGATTCTACATTCCCTTATTGGTTCTATATTCCATCACCATTCTTGATTGTAAATCCTCCTTGAAATTGCCAATGCACCATGTTGGGACAAAGCCAGCCAAAGAAACGCCAACCACCAACCCAGTCACAATATTCCAATGATTATTGACTACATCCTCAGTGTATACCCCATAAAATGATATGTTCTCGCTATTTGCCTCCAGTATATCTCCATCAAATGAACCTATCCCCAGAAAAAATCCCAATGTGCCATGTGCCATTTGCCACGTCCCCATAAAACGGCAGTCCTACCCATCTCCATAGACATGATATGTATTGATATCTGCCTTGTCATCCATCAGGATTTAGACGCCAGCATTCTGTTTGGATTCTGCAGATTCCGCACGTGGTCGTCATCCGACCCCGCAATCCGCCACCTGGATGAGGCGCTACTGGCGAGCGCAATCATTGCCAGATGCTTCGCTGTTTGCGTGCCGACGGCCAGCTCGACTTGCGAGGACGGTAGATGGACGGTAGATGGTAGGATGCTACGATGGTGGAGCCCTTTTAAATGGGTACTCTAAATTGACCTACTAAACCATGATTTCTGATGATTTCTGGGGGGTGTGTAGTATGATATTGGGAAAGGATTAGGCGGGAAAATGGTGATACTCTCCAGTAAACTAACATAGATACTATGGGAAATCCAGGAATTTCCAGAGCTATGTGAGTTTTTGGGACGCCATAGTGTGCCATGGTCAATAGATTGGATTGTACAGCCATATACTAGCGGAATGGTTATCAATTTTGATGGGGCTTTGTATACCCAGGACATCCCAGTACAAGGATTCATTATGGGATGGATGATGAATTTTGACACATTTCTGACTAATTCATTGTAGCAGTTTGCTTGCCACAATGGTAAAATCTTGGTTGGACAACCGGAACATATCCATTTATTGTAGATGATTTTCCGATGTCTAGATGCCCATTTGTAGAGGAATTTCATGGAATTTCCAGCTTGCCATGACTAACGACCTTGTCGCGACCTCACGACGTAAATCTTAAAAAAACCTTTCAGGTTGGTGTTTTCTTTACTTCAGCCAGATGCTGGAATACTTTGGTGACCCACAGAAGCAAAAGAAATCAACTGGTTGGGTTCTTATTTTTCCAGCATGTCTGGGTCAATCAACTGGATGGCTAGAAACTCATCCAAAATACCCTCTGGTAAACCAACATAGCCATGGAAAGTGGCTCATTTATAGATGGTTTACCTATTAAAAATAGTGATTTTCCATAGCTATGTTAGTTTACCAGAGGGTAGTCCTTTGGTATGGGATTATCTACTTACCAGCTAAGAATTTGTCATTTTTTGCAGAGTATCTAAGATTTGGCCTAGATTTGGCCATTCTGGGACCTGGCGAATTCATCATTTGCTCGTTGATTTCAGAGCAGTGTTGGTAAGTTAAGCAAGCGCATTGATTGGCGGTTAAAAATAATCCGGCAAACGGGATGATGATCCCAATTGACGGGTATATTGTTGACCAACTAGTTTGCCTTTGAAATCCTCATTTTCACCCATATTTTTCCTAGTTTTGGTGAGTAGATTCCAATTTTCCGAGTAAATCTTCCCAGTGAAGCTAGCAACGGCCCAACATTGTTGTCAGGAAGACGAGGTCACGCTCTTGCATGCCCGACAGGCGGACCACTGATGACCACTGGGTAGATTATTCTGGAGGTCATACTAGTTATATAAGGATACATGATCATACATGATTATTCTGTATATATCTGTATATTCCATTTATTTGCAGAGATATTACTGGTATTTTGTATGTCGCACATAGCAAATCGTGAAAATAAATTACGACCCATGGCACAGGCTCCTCCATAATTGTGGGGAGCGACCCGCAACTCGTATTTTGAGTCTGAAACAAGCCTAGTATTGATTGTCTGGTTGGCGGTTTGGAACATTGTTTATTTTCCATTTCATATATGGGATGTCATCCTTCCCATTGACGAACTCATATTTTTCAAGATGGTTAAAACCACCAACCAGTTGTGATGGTATAGGTTTATTGGCTATGATGGATTGAAAATGCTCATGTTGTACTGAATTGGTCTTCATTTATATAGATCTTGGAGCGGACTTGGTAATTTATTGTCCCTTTCTAAATAGCTTTCTGCATAGAACTTTCCTAGGCGGCCCAAACTTCGCAGACAAACTCAAATGTGGTAAGATCTTTGCCATGAAGCAACCATTTTTAAGGTGGATTATCACCGTCACCCCGTTGTCATGGCCGCCAGAGGTGTTACATCCACTGTGTGCCAATATATATATATGTATATAATATATTTATATAGTATATATGTATATAGTAATATATATATATATAATATTTTACATATATATATATATATGTATGATATATGAATATATGTATATATATAATATGGCTATAATATATTATTATTATATAATATTGTATAATATGATATAATATAACATGCTATAACATAATATAACATATTATGACATAATATAGTATAATACAATATAATATAATATAAGATAATATGATATATAATATAAGATAATTTGATATAATATAATATAAGATAATTTGATATAATATAATATAATATAATAAAATATAGTATAATATAAGATAATATAATATAATTAATATAATATAATACAATATAATATAATATGATATAATATAATACAATACAATACAATACAATATAATATAATATAATGATATATGTATATAATATACACATATATCATTTGCTTTGGTTCATTTTTGGTAATTGATGGCCATAAATCATCCATCAATGGTGATCTGGGATGAAAGTGGCTATGTCGACATCCCGTGCAGGCCAGTTTGCCGAAAGGAGAGGCTGTTTGGGATGACAGTCGGGCTCAGGTAGAATCCGCCATCCCTAGTTTTTGAGCAGAAACGGATGGTATAAACCATCAAACCATGGGTGGTTTATCAATGTTTACCCTCTGGTAATTTAACATAGCCATGGAAAATCACCATTTTTAATGGGAAAACTCGCTATAAATGGTCATTTTCAATAGCTATGTTAAATTACCAGAGGGTATCATGTTTAGTGCTTTACCAAAAAATTGGTATCATTAGTTAAGTTCATGAAACCCTTATTCAACTCATTTTCAGCAAGTAGGAGGCCACCGTAAGTAGGGGGGCCATTTTTGATCCATGGATATACCTCATAAAAGCTGGTTACATGCCTATGGATGTCGTCCAAATCCCAATTGCCGTTGGCGGAATTATCTTATTCCTGGACTTTAAACATGTTGAACCCCGATTTTGCATGCACAATTCATTGTTTAACATGGTTTCAAATTCAACATTCTCCAATAATTTTAGCTAAGAAGTATGCAACTATATGTTAAAAAGTGATTTTTGAAACTTGTTTTTCCCAATAAAAAGAATCGAAGCCTGGCTTGGTGACATCAAAAAATCATCGCTAGCGCTTTCGAAATCTATCCGGGATTGGGTCCAGTTTTGAAGCGTGGGTTAACTGTTTGTGATATCATGAAATGATAGGGTTTAGAGGGGATAGTCATGGACAATTGACAATTAATGGATATATCATGAAATGATATGATGCAACATGTCATCATTAATCATCTAGAATCTATCATGGAAAAGTGTTGTAATGATAGTGATGACATGATATGATACTATGATTAAAGGTCACCATATCATAACTGATTAATAGTGGGTGGTTGCGAAATCCGAATCACCAGTTGAAACCGGTGGTTTATCCCATTATCTATAGGGCATACTATAGGGTTTCAACCATCCAAAGTGGTGCAGGATTTCTTCCATCCACAGTATGGTATGTTATGATATGATATGATATGATTATATATATACCCTCATTACTGGCTAGGAATTGTAGGTGATTATATACAACTCGTATGGATATGATTATAATTGACTATATATAATGGTCTGGTGTTGCGGGTAACTATATAGAAATTACTAGTGATTATACAGTATACATATATAAAATACACACTTAGTAATTATGAATAGTTATAGTAATCAGGCATGTGGTACGCACACACACATATAAATATATATATATATATACTGGTTGGTGGTTTGGAACATGAATGGATGATTTTTCCCATCATATTGGGAATTTCATCATCCCAACTGTTACTCAAACTCCATCATACTTTTCAGAGGGGTAGGGCTCAACCCTGGAGTGGATAGAATATGGCCAGGCCAGGCCAGATTTGGTGAGGATCACCCCTTTGAAATCCATGCAGCTGCATTGATTGGGATTGCCTACTCACCACTCCATCCCTTGGGATTTCTGCGAAATCCAATTTGGGTCGATGAAATTGATGAAATCCCAGATTCTACTTAAGGATTCCCTCTATCAATGACCATCACATCATTTTTTAAATCCAGAAAAACCACTAACCCCATCTTTTGACCATGGCACATATGGCTTTGTCTATATAGGAGACCCCAAATTTTGCCCGGTATCGCCGCTCAAGCCGATCCCTTGACCTCGACCTGTGGTTGGCCCAATGTGAGGCCCCCCAGTTAGAAGTTGGTTTATAATGGTTTAGATTCGCCCCATGAATACGATAGTTATAGGCTATAGGTATCATAAACCATAGTTATTGAAGTTATGTTCGCCAGCTCAGCTATCGTTATTTTCGCCAACTATAGTTATTTGCGTACCATAAACCATAGTGAAATTGGATTTATAAACCAACTTAGCTATCAGTAACTATAGTTATTTGCGTACCATAAACCATAGTGAAATTGGATTTATGTTCACCAACTGAACGCTATCGAACGGGCGCCTCACATTGATGGGGGAACGCAGATTGCCCTCATCGCAGGGATACCATCGACACGTTCTACGGCGGGTTGAAAGGGACGGTCAGGATGTAGATGCCGTCTACGAATGGCTGGCTGCCGTACGGAGATCCATATGCCATAAACGCAATGTCAACGCGTACCCGCCCAGAGAACCGTTGGTGTTTCCTAGGCCGTGCACGGTTTTGTTTTTCCCACTGGCCCATCAAAACGCCAGTGGCTTCTTAGACCTGATTTTTCTATGGAAGCCATGGCCCATAGAAATAGATCATTTGATGATGATGTAGTTGTTAAGCCATGGTGACTTCCCAGTTCGCTACCTATTTTCCAGGGTGTATCAGATGTATTGAGAATTAGCCAAGCCACTAACCACTATGACCGACTGTCTACTTCATTATGATATATGCTGTAGCCATTCCCACGAAGCCACCAGGAGAGCACCACGAAGAGGTTCAGGCGGAGTCGCAGATGCTGGGACAGCGGGTCGATCCGTGGAAGGTCCAGGGGAAAATGGGCACTTTCGCAGGAACACATAGGATTCACCATCCCAATGATCATTGCGGATTTTTCTTTGGGGGTTGTTGAAATAGGGGGGTTAACAATGTATAAAACAATCATATTATATATATATGTATATAGAGAGGGATATCAATCTGATTGGATCAATAATGGTTGGTTCCAATATCATTCTATGAGCTAATTATAAAATGATTATGGGATATTGAAAATGATGGGATTTTTGGTCGTGAACCCATAACTAGGGGCCTTTGCATCGATGGAGTTTTCTTAATCAACGTGTTCCGCCTTCCCGGAAGCGATTCCTTAAAATCGATCCCTAAATGGGTCGTTCTAAATGGAGAAACCACTGATTTGGGGTACCACAATTAGAGAAACATCCATACGTATTTTCATCTTGTTCTTTATTTGAATCAGCCAAGATAGATGTATATACAAACTAGAAACATAGGGTCTCGCACCATATGCTTACCATATATTCCATCCACAACCCGTCCAGGGTGGACATCAGAAGGGCGAAGGGACTACCAACACTGGAGATTTGTATTGTAAGTTGATATCCGCCAAATTTTGTGTTAGTTAGATATTTACGGGGGTATAACCACTAACAGAAGTGGGAGTTGGTTGTTGGGAGCCCAATCCATTCTAGTCTGGGTGGACACTATAGCAACCAATGTCATGGCTGGGCTGTTTGAGTAGGAGGGCCAAGGCCAATGTGTTTCTGGATACGTTGAATTACAATGATTTGTATATTTCTCGCCAACATTTATGGAGAAAGACGTGTATACTATCTTGGTTGCAAAGCATTGTGTTTCCTGAGAATGAATGGTTGGCCGTTTTTTAATATCCGTTTATATAGTTTCACTTGGTGGTTTATTCTAGAGAACTGGAAGTTCACTCCCCAAAGCCCAGAATTGGTTCCGGGAAGATGTACACAGGGTTTACCTCGAGATTTCTGGGCAAAAACCTATGGTTTTTCTCTAGATGTACCCAGTTCGTGGATGATAATCTACGATAATCCCCAATGATATAATGATATTGGAACCAACCATCATTTATCAGTAGTTATATATCTTAATTGATATCCCCATATTTTTTTTTTACATTGTTAACCCCCTGTTACAACCCCCACAGAGATAGAACCGTGCTTCCAGGATGTTAAAAAATATGATGTTTTCTGACAATTTCCAGGTTGCCAACTTTTCTATCTACGACTGGGGCTTGCTGCAAATATTGGTTAACTTCCCCTTCATTTACGTAGCTTCGGATCGTCAATGGGATTGTCCACGCATAATATTCCATGTACTGTAATATTCCCATGGATGGTTCTTCCTATGTAAATACTGGTTATTCTATCAACGGATCATTAACTGGTAAATAGTATTAAATACTGGTTTTCTATCAGTATACGTAAAATACTGGTAAATACTGGTCTGGTTGGTGGTTTGGAACATGAATTTCATTTTCCATTTCTTATATGGGATAATCATTCCCATTGACGAACTCATATTTTTCAGAGGGGTAGGTATACCACCAACCAGATCAGTATTGGCCAGTTGACTCTTCATTTTTGCACCCATTGATTTTCGCCATGGACCTCCAGCACACCGAGGACGTCAGAATCGAACCATGCGCCAGGACCAGCCTCTAAGGAGCGGAAAGGATATCCTGATATCCTCTGGTTGTTTCCCATTTGATGTTTACCGGTACCCTCTTGTAATCATGGCAATGGAAAATCTTCTATAAATTGAGATTTGTTTTTGGAACATCATCTATAAATGGAGGATTTTCCAGCCACGTTTACCAGAGGCTAAACTGCTGTGCTGTGGGGATATCAAATCGAATATGCAGCGGGAGAGCTTTTCCGGTTGAATCTTGGATTCGCCGAGTCGATTTTCATGGGGATTTTCATGGGAAAATCATAGGAAAACAATGGGTTTTCCCATAGGAAATTGGAGGTTTACCCTCTGGTAAACTGTTAGATAACGATCTGGAAAATAACACCATGCTATTAATGGGAAAAATCACTATTTCGACTGGGCCATTTTCAATAGCGAACTGTAACAAATTACCAGAGGGTAATGGGGATAGTGGTGCATCCCAGTTTTATGGAATCTGACTTAGGGACTTAAAATTACGTTTTTTTTTCATGGCGATTATGATTGATATATCCCACTTATACAGATTGCAACTGGAAATAACCAGATACGTTTAAACGGTAAAGCCATCGAACTAACTGGGCCATGGCTTAACCATACTTGTAGCCCACGGAGAATCCCCCTGGCACTTGAAGAGGGTCGTGTTGGGTTCCTTTCTGGGGTGTTGCTGTTGGGAATTTAGGGTATGTTCCAAATGCGTCAAATCATCTTAGAATATTGGACACTCTATAATATATAATATATAGTATATAATATATAATATATAATATATAATTTATAATTTAAAATATATATATTAATATATAATATATTATATATATATTATATTATATATAATATTTTATATATTATATTTAATATATTATATATTATATTTTATATATTATATATTCTTGATCTAGTGCATAACTACAATCTGGTGGGTATCAGTTGACCATCCTAGAAACTGATCGGTGGCCATGGGCATCAAGGTGTCTGTGGGATATCGAGCCGGGGAAATCATTTTTTTCCCACAGATCCACAGTTGGTCCCTTGTTTTGACCAGAAAATGGTGGTTTTTTGAAGGCCTTGATTTTGAAAATCCATGCTATATTCTCCTGGGCCGCTGGCGGCCCAGTTGTCTTACTTTCACCTTTACACAGAAGCCCTGGAGGAGGAGATTTCCGTGACAAACGCTGAAGGCCGTGCGATGAATTTCACGGGAAAACAGAGATTCCACCATTGTTTCATGGGGGATTTTGATGGGATTCAACGAAGCCTGTTATTGGTGTACCAGACTGATGAAGATTTGGGCTCAACGCTGTAACTGGGATATTTCATGACATGAATCAAAGTCTTCGCTTGAAACGTCATAACACATCCAACATATATACATATATATACATACATATACATATACACATACAGACATATTATATGCTGCTTAAATCAGAATTTTTGCGGTGGACATATCCACGCGTTTGCAGTTTGTTGAAATCCATCCAAAATCTGGTGATTTTTCCACATTTTTGCTGGCTGGGCCAGGTGGTTTGGAACATTTTTTAAACTAACAGTTTGCTATTGAAAATGGCCCATTTAGAGTGGATTTACTCATAAAAAGTAGTGATTTTCCATTCAGTTGGGAATTTCATAATCCCAACTAACGGACTCCATCATTTTTCAGAGGGCTAGGGCGAAAAACCACCAACCAGCTGGTGAAATTCCAACTGGCGTTTTTGGAGGCGCTGGGCTGTCCGTCACGTCCAAAAGCTCGACAGCTGATGCGCTGTTGGACGCTGAAATGGCCACGTTGATGGGCACTGAACCGGGCTTTCCGTAGCTCGGACGGCCGGAGCATGCCGGAATTTCGGTGGATGTTCATCCCATTGGTTGGTAGGTTACATATTAGAGGGGTTTGAAACTACCCTTTTAAGAACAGGTAAATGATGATAGTATACCAAACCGGCCAATCTAAATTTTTACCAAAAGGACATTAATTATAGGTGCAGGATTTCTTCCGGTACTAACAAGCAATGACATAGAGAGGCTTTGTTTCGCATCGTTTCGGTAAAGAACAGGTTGACAACATTCCTAGGTGACCATCATGACCATCATGTGATCAGAGTTCTGGAGAATATGTCAGTTGCAATGTCAGTTTATATGTGTCAGATAGGATGTCAGTTTTTTCGACAGACTTAAAACATGAACAATTTTATACATGTCAATGTTCAAGATATTTGCCAGATAGAATGCCAAAAAAATATGCCGATCGAATGTCAGTTGGTTTTTTGGGTCACCCGAAGACAGTCATTTTGTTTTTCGCTTTTTTTCCATGTTTCAAAGGGATTTCCTGAATATTTTTCTGTGCCTTTTGGAGTTTACCATGAACAAAAAAGGAATTTCATGGGTTTATGATGGGACATAGGGGTCGAAATCAATGTAGGGATCATCTGGGAAACAGTTCAAGGACTTTTTTCCAAGGCTGTTGAGTTATTCAGCACTTGACATAAAGATACAATGGATGGTTGCGAAATGCGACACCAGTTGATAGGTGCTGGTTTACCCATTATTGTTTCCGGTTTTCAAGCATCCAAGGTGGTGCAGGATTTCTTCCAGAGATATTGTAACTGCCTGCTACCACCATTAGGGAGTTCTCCTGGAATGTTGCAGGATATATCAGACATATCAGAAACTAAGATCGGATATATCCCAATTGAAATTATGGTGGGGTGTTTGTAGGTGTAAGTGGGATTTTTGATGAGTTTTGTAAGGTTACTCCACTTATTTCTATGGGGTGAACTAATCAAATCAATATGAACTATGTTTCTTGGTGTTAGGGATGGCTTATTGATTGGGCTTACCACAGCAAAAAGAAATGCGGACATGCCCTGAGATGTTGGTTAGTTGTTGAGTCTCTATTTGTAGGCACATGCCAAGATATCCATTTTTTACAGCCAAGCATTTAAGCTAAAGCCGGTCCATTTGCACAGCTTTCCCACTGAAGATGCCATTACTGGAATCCCCTCGAGGCAGATAGATGATAGTACAGCCACGAAAAGATCATGGTGAGTTAGTAGAGGAATCATCCCACTTTTTTGGCCTTCCAAAAATGGAATGGGATTCATTGTAAGATATTGTCAGTGTTCATTATTATATATATATATATCTCTCTCTCTCTCCCTCTCTCTCTCTCCTGCCCTCTCTCTCTCTCCTGCCCTCTCTCTCTCCTGCCCTCTCTCTCTCTCCTGCCCTCTCTCTCTCCTGCCCTCTCTCTCTCTCTCCGCGGGCGGTGCCGACGAGGCGCCACGAAATGGCCACCTTTTCGCACGAAATGAGGTTCGATCGTCAAAAACTGCGGTAAAGTTGCGACTTAACATCTTCGGCGGTAACCCTTTCGCACGAAATGAGGTTCGATCGTCAAAACCTGAGGTAAAACCTCGATTAAGCTTCTGTGTGTAAAGCACCTGTGTGCAAAAGCTTCCGTACAAGTGCTTGTGTGTAAAAAGCTTCTGTGTGTAAAAGTGTCTGTGTGTAAGAGCATCTGTGTGTAAAAGTGTCTGTGTGTAAAAGCGTCTGTGTGTAAAAGCGTCTGTGTGTAAAAGCGTCTGTGTGTAAAAGCTTCTCTGTGTAAAGGCGTCTGTGTGCAAAAGTGTCTCTGTGTAAAGGCCTCTGTGTGTAAAAGCTTCTGTGTGTAAAAGTTTTTTTTGTGTAAAAGTGTCTGTGTTTAAAAACGTCTGTGTGTAAAAGCTTCTGTGTGTAAAAGTTTCTGTGCGTAAAGCATCTGCGTGTAAAAGCTTCTGTGTCTGTGTGTGAACGTGTACAAGTGCTTGTGTGTAATAGCTTCTGTGTGTAAAAGTGTCTGTGTGTAAAGGCGTCTGTGTGTAAAAGTGTTTGTGTGTAAAGGATTCTGTGTGTAAAGGTTTCTGCATGTAAAAACTTCTGTGCGCAAAAGCTTCTCCGCACTGCCGTGTGCCTTCTCAATTCTTCTTGTGTTTTCTTCGTTTCATCTTCCTGTGTCTTCTCAATTTTTCTTCTTGTGTCTTCTTCGTTTCATCTTCCTTTTCTTCCTCCTTCAATATCTTCTTCCTTTCTTCAATGTCTGCACCATGTTTCTTCATTTTTTAATATCACAGTATATTTCTATATTTAGGTTTTTCCATCGCATATTTCTATATTTATGTTTCATGCTATGAGATCTTCATACTTACACGTCTCACTATGTTTCTCTACGCTCTCGGGCCATCCGTCGTCTAGTTACTGTTTTTGCGCATTTTTCTTTGGGATTCATTGTAAAGCTGGTTGGTGGTTTGGAACATTTGGATTATTTTTCCATTCAGTTGGGAATTTCATTATTCCAACTGACGAATATTTTTCAGAGGGGTAGGTATACCACCAACCAGATAATTCACCATCATTAACCATCATTAATCACTATTAATCACCATTAACCACCATTAATCTTGGTTCCCCATGACCCTGGTTTTCATGGTGGATTTGAAACATCTTGGCCGCCAAGGGGTTGGATTGGAAGCAACGTCAGTAAGGCGCGTCACGGGTCGATGGGTCCTCGGTCAAAAAGTTGTGTTGCCGATCGAAAAGCTTAGCGTTGACCTAAGATAGCTATTGAACATGGCCATTATTTGCCATTTATATTTGATGTTGCATGATTTTGCGATGAACAAATGGTGATGTTCCAGTTCGCAAACTGAGTTTACCAGAGGGAAGAGATGTTTTTAGATCATTTTGGTACCTTAGCCCATGGGAAAACGATGCAAGAGGCTACATGCAACTGCTGCCAGGCCTATGCACCATGGGTAATGTATGCGACTTCAAAGATAATCCCATGTCATGGTGAAACAAATCACCAGCAAATGGGTACCAGTAGGAGTGTATGCCATTCTGGAGATAAATACCATGCTTTCGGATGTTTGGGTGGCTTTTGGGGGAAATATATGGACATATTATATAAATGGAACGTCTAGGGTCTAGTTTTTTTTGTGCATCTCTATATACTTGAGGTGTTAAGAATACCCTTGTTGGTTGTTAGAGTGGGCTATACCATCTGGTTTTGTAGGGATTGTGAACTAACCCATGGTACGAGTACGAATGATCCCCACCAGTCTTTTTAAAGTTGAATATCCATCTTTATGGTCATTAAATTCCATTATCCTTGAATCCGATGATCATGATAAACTCACACGTTTCATTGGTATTTTTAGTGGGTAAAACAATGCATACACACAACCACCCATTTTCCTGGGAATGGTGTGCACATCATACCACTTACAAAAATGGTGATGACTGGGGGATGGTAAACATGACATTGTCCCACATTACCCTCTGGTAAACTAACATAGCTATTGGAAATCACCATTTTTAATGGGAAAATCAACTATAAATGGCAATTTTCAATAGCTATTTTGGCATAACCAGAGGGTAATCCCCATGCTATTCCCATTGGAACTCTGATCCGTTTTTGATCGGTGATCGGTGCCGCCAGGCACTCTATAACTCATCAGCTGCTTGTCAAGAGACCTCGCAGGTTTCATGGGCCTCCGGATAGGTTTTTGTTGGTTCATGGCTCAACGAAAAAGACGGGTGCATATATTTTTCATAGCTAGATTTTTGTGTGGTTTGTCAATAGATAGTACTAGATTACAGTGATTTTATCAGTGTTACTTTTACTAATATGATATTGATATCATGTACTTTTATATTAGATACATATTAACCTCCTGGTATTTCATTACATAGGTGTGGAAAACCTATATAAATATATATATATACCAATTCTAGATGATTTTCGGAAACTATGGATTTTCTACATCTATGTTGGTTTACCCCGGGGTAGATTTTTGTTTAAACTAGGCTATCTAGGAATTATGATGGACATAATTGTGTATCTATAGTCAGATGGGGTTATAAATCAACAAAGACAACTGCAGGGGGCCTTCCTTTGCCCTCCAGACACCTCCTGTACTCAAATATGGCTGCAAAATTCCGAGAAAATCATCCATAACTATCCATAAATGATCATGGCCACGTGCATCATGGTTTTGTCCAAAGATGGGGTATAGCCGCAGATATGGCCTTGAAACAGCTCTTGGAACCTCATACTTGGGGTGAAACTGCCCAAGCAGCCGGTCTGCATATTTCACAAGATGATGCCTCATAGTTTGCAATTTTGGTTCATAACTGAACTGAGATTTTGGTGTATATATATATATATATTCATATAATACAACATAAATATATATACATTCATACACATACATACATACATGCATGCATGCATACATACATGCATACATACATACATGCATACATACATACATACATACATACATACATACATGCATATGACTACTGGGGTTTGCAAACCCAAATACTTATAAGACCACCCAGGAAAGCTTGCTACTCCAAGTGGGACATGCTGTACGTGCGTCAAGCTATTCGCAGCTTGGCGGAATGAAACCATAGCAGGGTTCTGGATCCATAACAGGATCGGATATACTGGATTTGATGATTTTGATGGGACATGATGTGATAAAACATGTGGGGATCTGATATGATAAGGTATATTATATACAGGATGGGGCCCCTTTTGGATAGCGAGCTAAGTTCCTTATTAAAGTGGCACCATCCTGTAGCAGGGGATGGTAAAATTAGGTGGTCAACTGGAGAATTGTTCTTTTTAAGAAAAAACATGATAAAACATCTAGAAGTGGGCAATTGTCTATAGCTATGTCAAATAACCAGAGGCTAAAAATAGTTTACCCTCTAGCAAATTAACATAACTATGGAAAATCACCATTTTCAATGGGTAAATCCAGTATAAATGGCCATTTTCAATAGCTATATTAAATTACCAGAGGGTATATTCCGACTATTCAGATGGGACGGTCACGTGTTTTGATGAAAAAAAACGTAGAGTTTTATGCGACATGAAAGGTGACAATCCAAAAACCTATGCAGTTAATGGTATGTGAATGGATTTTGATTTCATGTGGTTAAAACAGTGCCATAAACCACCCATGACTGGGAATGGTGTGCACATACCACCTAAAAAAATGGTGATTTTGGGGATGGTTTATGACATTGTTTCAACCACATTAAGTGATTTGATGAACCTATTGACATAGCCTTTGGTAATGGAAAGGGAGAGGATCGAGAACACAATGGATATTAATGGTGGAGGTCTTCCATCTCCGAAATTTCTTGAAGCCATGTTTGTTAGTGAACAAATGTCGTTTCTAGTGGCCATATATTGTCCCAATGTCTGATCAGGGATTTCATATATATATACATGTATATATATGTATATATATATACATATGTATATGTATACATATATATATGTATATATATATGTATGTATATGTATACATACATATATATATGTATGTATATGTATGTATCCATATATATGTATATTTCTGGTTTCCATTCTTAGTCCTTCCAACACATTTTCCGACTGATATATTCGGGATGGTTGAAACTGCCAGCCAGATTTCTATAGAAATCCCCTCCCCCCACCCCTTGATGCCTGAAAATGAAACCACATTGGATCCAGTTCCATTAAGGAAATGTGAGACGTACCCTGCCCATAGGCCCTATGAGAAGTAGCTTCACAGAACCATCAATTGTCGTCCCTTGTTGTCACCATTTTCTGTTGGGTGATTTCTTTGCAAACATATGGATTTAAGCAGCAAAATTGCGGATTCCACCAGCAAAACTGGTGCAGACGGAATTGTGATTTTACCAGCACAAATTGCGATTTTACCAGCAAACATATGAATTTGAGTTAACGACATCTGGATTTAAACGGCATCCATGTGGGGAAGGCTCCCCATATTTTGGTGGGTTCCATCTTCATGTTGTGTTTTCATGCCACTTGTCAACTTTGTTTCCAGCCCTCAGAAGCCCCTTCCACGCGACCCTTCACTCCGAATGTTGGTATGGCGATTTTTTTTAAATCACCAGCACCTGATACATGTGATCTATATGATTTTACAATGCAATATTTTTTCCCTGCATACATACGAATACAAAAAAACACATAGGAAAGATCTTAGAACATTCTACATACGATCATGCGCTTCAACACATCATCAAAAACATATATCATATATCTACCTACCACATCTCCATGTCGAAAAAAAACACAAAAATATCCACCCTTCATTATGGGCAATGCTGGGACAATCAAGAACTTGGAAATTTTTGACGAACTTCATTTCGGAAATTCGTCAGGGGTGCCATGGGGATGTTCATGGCCTTCACCTTCTTCGCCTTTCTCTGCAGCTGCTGTGCGGTGACGGTCACCCGAGCCTTCATTCAGGACTTGGGGAGACTTCATGGGGAAGTAGCAAACTATATTTGATAGATTGAACCATGGGATTTATCGTTGATTTATGATAAATTGATATTTTTATTGCGGCTTCTGTTGGTTTGTAACTTTCTCAGCTGTTGGATTGTGGTTGTATCTATGGTTAGAATAGGGGTTACAAACCAAGGTGACGACTAAAAAAAAATACTTTACTTCGTGTGATCCCCACCATGACATTTATACATTTTGTTACTGGCAAATCTTCTGACATTCTATTAGACATTCTTCTGGCATTCTATCTGGCATTGTATCTGGCTATCTGGCATATCTTCTGGCATTCTACCTGGCATATCTTCTGGCATTCTATCTGGCATATCTTCTGGCATATTATCTGGCATATCTTCTGGCATATTATCAGGCAAATCTTCTGGCATTCTATCTGGCAAACATTCTGGCACTTTATCTGGCATATCTTCTGGCATTCTATCTGACATTTTATCTGGCATTCTATCTGGCATACCTTCTGGCACTTTATCTGGCACTCTATCTGGCATATCTTATGGCATTTTATCTGGCATATCTTCTGGCAATCTATCTGGCATCTCTTCTGGCATTCTATCTGGCCGTTGAGGTCCAGCGGTGCACACTGAGCTGGGCAGGTCCCAGGTTGAGGTCCAGCGGTGCACACTGAGCTGGGAAGGTCCCAGGTTGAGGTCCAGCGGTGCACACTGAGCTGGTTTGGTCCCAGGTTGAGGTCCAGCGGTGCACACTGAGCTGGGAAGTTGGCAAAGAGCTTGGCGAAGAGTTGGCAAGGCGGAAGTTGAGGTGGAAGTTGATGCAGACATGGTCGAGGAGAAACTGGAGGAGGAGGCAGAGGAGGAGGAGGAGAAGGAGGAGGACGAGGAGGAGGAGGAAGAGGAGGAGGAGGACGAGGAGGACAGCTAGCCGAGGAGGAGAACAACTCTGATAAAATCTAACAACCCTCACCTGGCAGGTGGGGAGCCATTTGCGCAGGTCAAAGCCAGATTTGTGACAGTAAACAGTGAAAACCATGCTTTTCAAGGTGAATCATGTTAATCATCATGTTTGCATAGATGTTTTGCAGCTTTCGAGACTTTTGTTTTTCTATAGCTTAAATTAATTTAAATGCCCATGGATTTTCTCATATGTTCCATGGAATTTTCAATGGGTTTCTAATATTTTCCCATCGGCTTTTCCATATATACCATAGAAAACTATAGAACACTAAAGAAAAGCATAGAAAACCATGGAAAAGATGAAAACAACATAGAACACCCATAGATTTCTCTATTTAATCTCCGGGCAAAACATCCCATTTGTTCCCTCGCCAGGATCAACGTCAGACCAGCGAGACCTTGGCGCAACATGAGCGGCGACAGCGCTTACTTCAGACGCCCGGTGAGATGCATTTGGTATGATGACCTCAATGGCCATTGTAATGAACTCATTTCGAATTAATTAGATTATATACCCTTTGGTTATTCACCATTTTCAATAGATAAATCATCATCTGTAAATGGGCCATTTTCCATAGCTATGTTAAATAACCAAAGGGTAAGTCATTTCGAATTACCCTCTTGTTTTGACTAACATAGCCATGGAAGCCATGGCCCATAAAAATAGATGGTTTACCGATTAATAGCATGGTGATTTTCCATGGCTATGTTAAATAACCATATGGGAATTAGATTATATAGGTCTTAAGTTCCCACTGTTAGTAAAGATATAAATCTTAAGTCCCCACTCTTAGTAAAGCAATAATAATCCATGGTAATCCATCCCCTTACCATATCCATCACCCCAGATTTACACTAATAATCCATCCCTGATGACCTCGGCCATGCAACAGGAACCGATTGAGGACGGAGGTACCTATCATTTTTTTAAGGCCTATATAAGGCCTATTTTTTAGGCCTAAATTTCAGGGGATATCCCCACAAAATATGGCCTTATATGGTGCAGTACCTACATTTTAGGATCCTGAAATTCCCATTGATGACCGGTCATTCTAACTGCCGTCATTCTAACTTTTCCACTATTTCTAGTTTTTCTAGTGGTTAGATTAGATTAGATAGATTTCTACTATTTCTAGTTTTTCTAGAAGATAGATAGATAGATAGATAGATAGATAATTAGATTAGATTAGATTACATTAGATTAGATTAGATTAGATCAAATTCGATTCGATTCGATTCGATCCATTCGATTCGATTCGATAGATAGAGATAGATAGATAGATATACTAGATAGATGAATGGATGGATGGATGGCAGCAACAATTTAGCAGGATCAGCGATTTCCACCATCTGGTCGGCAGCCAACGACCCAAGTCCACCGACACGGTCGAGTTGTCAGAGAAAACAAAGATCTGGCGGCGGGGTGTCATGAAGGTGCTGAGCGCCGCCCTGCTGAACAAAGAGCTTGGAGAGTTGATTGAACAATACATCTACGGCACACGCGCCACTCCTGCGGGCGCTTTCAATTGCTTGTGGTCTGCTCTGCTGGACTTTCTTGTTGCAGCAGGGGAGCAAGGTTGTGTGGATGCAATCCTGGCCTACTATCTGGAAAAGCAACCGAACGGCGCATTAGAAGCCACATGGAGGTCCGGAGTGGATAGATTGGTGCCAGGCCTGGTGGGGGCCAGCCAGGCGCAAGAGGCTTGGCACCACAATAGACTTCGGGTAGCGCTGGGTCCAAGACAGCAACAATTGGAGTCAGTTTTCAATAACTTGCAAAATCTCCAAAATTTTCTCGCTTGTACCTCCGTTTTTTTCTCGCTTCTGCCTCGCTTATAGTTACCACTACTACTACTACTACCACCACTACTATACTACTGCTACTACTACTACTACGACGACGACTACTACTACTTCTACTACTGGTACTACTACTACTACTACTGCTGCTGCTGCTACTACTACTACTACTAGTACTACTACTACTAATACTAATACTAATACTACGACGACTACTACTACTACTACTACTACGACTACTACTACCACTACGACTACTACTATTACTACTAGTAGTAGTACTACTACTACTACTTCGACTACTACTACTACTACTAGTAGTAGTAGTAGTAGTAGTAGTAGTAGTAGTAGTAGTAGTACTTCTACTACTACTACGACGACGACGATGACGACGACGACGACGACACGACGACGACGACGACTACTACTGCTAATATTATTACTACTACTACGACTGCGATTCCGACTACGACTACGACTACGACTACGACTACGACTACGACGACGCCGTCGACGACGACGACGACGTCGACGACGACGACGACGACGACGAGGACGAGGACGAGGACGAGGACGAGGACGACGACGATTACTATATACTACTACTACTACTAATACTACTACTACTACTGCTACTACTACTGCTATCTACTTCTACTTCTACTTCTACTTCTACTTCTACTTCTACTTCTACTTCTACTTCTACTTCTACTACTTACTACTAAGCCTACTACTATTACAACAACAACCGCTACTACTACTACAACCATGTACCAGACTAATTACCTTAGTATCAATATATATCTATATATGTATATATATATATATTTATATCTATCTATATATATATAAAATATTATAAAATTATTTATTTATATATACATACATATAGTTAAGAAATACATCTGTATCTATATATATATATATCTATATATATATAATTATATATATAATTATATATATATGCATACATATATAGTTAAGAAATACATATGTATATATATATATATTGTCGGTATATAGTTAATTGTTTTTGTAGACACAACTTTGATTTGGGGGTCACCTTGGCATAGCGGTTGCATTAGAAGTAAAAAAAGAGGCGGAACTTGATAAAATCTTAGAAAGATTGGGATTGCACAAGAACAGAACAACATATTTGAAGAGAAATCAGAAGGCATCGAGCGCAATGCTTGAAGGTTTATCCCAGCGCGAAAGAATATCCAGTCCGTTCAAGGCATCGTGTGAAAATGATGGAAGAAAAAAATAATCGGTGTATCATCATTTTACTAGTTTTTGAAGTTAGAATGACGGAAACCCGACCATTAAACATATTTCAGTCCGTAACGATATGGGGTTTTAGTATGGTTTTACATATGGTTTTAGTATCTAAGATTCAACCATGATATGGAATGTAAATGCCTTTCATGTGGGTTTTAGTATGGTTTTAGTGGTTTTGTGTTTTATAAATGGCCACTAACAATCATGAACATTCAATGAATCCTCTTTGCTGGGTCAACCGACTGGTTGGAGACGAACTAGTACTTGAACCTTTTGCGATTTCAATGGTATAATTAGTCCTGACCAGCAACCAATTATCTGGTATGATAAGGGATGGATAATTAGTGTAAATCTGGGGTGATGGCCAGTGATAAGGGGATGGATTACCATATATATTATATACATATATAATATGTATTATATCTGGTTGGTGGTTTGGAACATGAATGGATTATGACTTTTCATTCAGTTGGGAACGTCATAATCCCAACTGAGGAACTCCATCATTTTTCAGAGGGGTAGGTATACCACCAACCATATATATATATATTTCATGACAGGTATCTTAGTGGGTGTGTTCTTTTGAAATACGGAGTTGAATCCCATTCATTCCGATCTATGGATGTAGAGACAACATACTGTAAGACAACTTGGTGTAGCCATCTATTATGGGTAACTACTTGTATAATAAAATGGTTGCAATGGAAAATATATCTTGTTAAATCGATTTAAATTGCATATAAAGGAAATAGCTTAACCTAACGTCAAGGAACGATGATAAATAAAAAACGTACACTGGGATGTAGTGGGATATAATAGTGTATGAATTCCGGATACTATGGCCATTGACTTGATCATTGGATAATTTAGTGAGTTAACTGGATATACCCTCTGCTAATTTAACGGTTTGCTATTGAAAATTGCCCAGTCGAAATAGTGGATTTTCCCATGAACAATGGTGATTTTCCATAGTTATGTAAACGTTTACCAAAGGGTAAACCTCCAATTTCCTATGGTTTTCCCATTGTTTTCCTGTGATTTCCCATGAAAACCTCAGTTACCCCAGAGGGTAATTGACATTGATGTGGGGCTATGGGAAATGGTGAAAAATTGCATCATTTTTCACGGGAACATCCCACTGACAACAGGGGTGTACAGGAACCATCTATAAATGGTGTTCATGATAACATCTAAAATGTTTATAGTAAGATACATATATACATACAAACATACACACATACATACATACATACATACATACATATATATATATATATACATGTATATTAGCGCTTGATACAGTATCTGGATTGAACGCCGCCGGCCTTTCAATTAGTCCTTGGTTCGAGAAAAAAATCGGTCACATCCCAACACAGATTTCACCCTGATTTCAGCTGTTCGATGGGGGGCCAAATGGCGATTTAGTTCGTTGATTTACCCATTAAAAACTGTGATTTTCCATAGCTATGTCAGTTTTCCAGAGGCTGGAAATTCCAAACACAAAGGATGGATGGTATCATCCAAATATGATTGGAATACCCTCTCGTGATTATCCAGTTCGCAAACTGTTAAAATTTACCAGAGGGTAGTTTCAAACCGATGTAAAAATTGGTCAATTCCCAAGATTTCTTCGCGGTTCGGCTAAGGAGTTTTGCAAGCAGCGTGCGCACACCGAAGAAGGGACCGGAAGGCCTGCAATCCTTTTGGAGATCAAGACATTGGGGATACAATATATAGGATGTAATATGGGATATAGCTAATATACAAGGTATATATGTATATATCTCATCTTCATATTGATTTCCCCCTTGTCGGTTACAAGATATGGTACGGTAGCCAGTTTAAATCCAAGGTTCACTATTTCATTCTTGATTCACTTTAGAAATTCTTATTTGTTGTATGTAAATTAATACACCTATAGTTCCTCTTCTCGGTTTTGCAAAAAAATTGGCGAATTAACGGACGGCTTACTTCAGCCTGAACTATTTCCCGATGCCCAGGTGTCATCAGCTCCATTTAGCTAGCGAACGTGAACGTTGATTCTCCATCAGCGGATTTGCGAAACATCCATGGTATTTAGCACACAAGGGGATTTTCCAGCTATCTCCTCTCCCATAGGATCCATGGTGCTGGTATATATGCTAACATTGGGGGGTATATGGATGGTAAATGTTACCATATATAACATACATGGATCCTATGGGTCTGGGAATTTTGGATGTTTTTGGGTGTTCGTAAAACTGCAACCACGAACCACAAGATTTGGGATCATATTCAGAGCGATTACGAGCCAGGCAGGGCAGGCCCTACGCTTTTTCATTGTTCGTATACGAATTGATTTGTTAAGTCCCTATATATTTACTGAATAAAGGATCACAATTAGTTTCAGTGCTTAAGTCCCTATATATTTACTGGTTTAAGTCACCATCTTTACTGAAATCTAGTCAATTACACTTCAAATCACCATGTTGGTTGCCTTCTAAACTCCCATTTTCATCCATTTTTCACATGGGTTTTACAAAAAATCTCATCTTTGGCTTCGTTGGTTCCCCAGAGCTCCGTTGTTCAGGCATGCCCAGCCCCACACCGGGCTCGGCAGTGGCAGTGCCACCCACCACGCCCACACGCCGCGCGGGGGTGGGGCTGCGATCTCCCTGGAGACGTGTCGTAACTCGGCGATGATTTGTCGGCTGCCAACCCTGATGAGTTCAGCATCGAAATCATCTAATAGATGGATTTAACCATCAAGAACCATCAATCATCAAAAACGATGGTTCATCGAAATCATCAATCATGGTTAATCTCACTGATGAGTTGTTTAACCATCAAACATCATCAATTTAGCTGGAGATAGTTTTTCTGACATTTGATGATGATGTTTTTTTTGATCTGAACTATCAACAGATGGGGATATATATAATTAATGAATGATGGTTGGTTGATGATTCTAATTTATAATCATCTAATAGGGGTCTTAACCATCAAAAGATGGAGAGCTAATAGTTGATCATTGATGATTGGTTGAGTATGATTTTGAGGATATTACGTGAGATAACTCGAACATACTGAGGCTACGCATCAAACATATGGGAGATAGTTTCAGATGGTCAATGATTTGATGGTATGTAGGTTAGATTACCAGACGTGAATCAAGCTGCCGATTTCGATGGATATCGTATGATATAGACTATCATATAGTTCCATGGCGAATGATTAGTTAAATTGGACGTCAATGCGTTTAATTAGTGGGTCACTGGGTTTATTCAACGGAACCATTTTTTTGTTTGCTGAGAGTTGCGCCGTTCACAGGGGATTCTTCTACAACGCAGTTCGTTTTGCTAGGCTTCTGAAATGTTCAACAACTGAGTGAAGCTCATTTTCTTGGAACTCAGGTGGTGGATACGCCTTTGGAAGGAGCACAGTTCTGTCAGTTCTGTGTGGGTCGAACTTTGATACCTCTCAAGACTCTCAAATATATCTATACATGGAATGGGTGCTTGGTGTGCTTGGTTCATCCTACTTAGCAGCTGGTGCCCAGTGAAACCTTGTGACATCAGTGGATGAACCCCTTGAGTTGATCCGCAGATCAGTGCGAGATGTTCCATGGAATCCTTGGGATTGTCTAGGTTGCATCTTTGATTTTGGAATATTGAACCAATTCAGATTTAAAATGTTGGAATGTTGGAATTGGAATGTTGGAATTTTGATTTTGGACCAATTTTGATTTTGTAAATTTATTCAGAGAACTCCAGAAGATGGTGCCATCTTCACTGAGATATTTTTTTTCAGCATGAAGTCGTTGTCTGTTTGCTGCATGAAAATTCAGGCTGTATTCCGCTATATAATTCACATAGTTGCATTCAATTCATAGTATTTTTTTCTCTGGCAACTGGAATTCCCATTTTATTTTTGTTAAAACGCTTCACATTTGAACTTGCCGATGGCTTCAAATGTAGCTCCTATTTTGGGCATGATGATCACATACCCTCCGGTGATCAAACATGGCTTGCTGGAAATTCACGACTTTGATGATTTCCCAGGTAGAAAGGCTAGACATGTGTGATTATCAGATTGTATTGACTAGTATTCCATTGATAATCCCTTATTATGCCATTATTCTCCCATTAATCTGGGTAAATTATAACAACCTCACTGCGACCTCACTGGAATCATGGTTAATAAGGGAAATGGCCTTAATTCAGGTTAGTGAAATATCATAATTTACCCAGATTAATGGATTATTAGTCCCCATGAAATCCCTCTCTTATATATAATCCCTACTCTTGATGCTTACATCCTGTGATTCTAGGGTACAGTCATCATGTGCCACTGATATTCCATTCATATTCCAATGATAGTACATTAATATTCCACAAATTAAATCCCATTATTATAGGTTTAAGTCACATTTTTTCACTAATATTATAATATTCCAGTGAGATTCCAATGATAGTGCACTAATATTCCATTCATCGGTTAAATCCCTATAATCCATTAGTATTTCTATAAATCCCTATAATCATTAGTATCCCTATGATCAGTTAAATTCCTATTAAATCCCTATAATACTATAGTATACTATAGTTATCATCCCTACTTAAGTAATATAGTTATATTTATATTAAATCCCTATCAAATCCCTATTAAATCCCTATATACTATAGCTATTATTATCCCTATAACTATAACTATATATAGTATTATTATTATAGGACTATAACTATACTATTATCCTATACTATATTATCCCTATATATTATTATTATTATTATTATACTATAGTCTTTATACTTCATTCTCCTATTCTTCTCCCAGCATTTCTGACGAATCGTCGACGCTCATCAGGAGACCGTCTCGGGGTGAATTTGACGGAGGTGGCGTGGTTTTGCGCGCCGCTAGCGCCGGGATGATCGATGTCATGACATGTGGCAAAACTATGATGAAACCTGGTAAACGTTTACATAACTATGGAAAATCATAGGAAAAAAATGGGAAAACCATAGGAAATTGGAGGTTTACCCTAGCTGGTGAGTATAGTATCCCATCTGCAGCTTATATTCCACATATCACTGGGTTATTTTAGATGGTTATTAAATACTAATGTTATTTCCCACTGACTTACCCTCTGGTAAACTAACATAATTATGGAAAATCACCATGCTATTAATGGGAAAATCAATTATTTCGACTTGGCCATTTTCAATAGCGAACTGTTAAATTACCAGAGGGTAGGTAACACCTGTTTTTTTTGAATGGGATGATGATGGAATATTCATGGGATATTACGTAATTAGATATAGTAACAAAAAATCATGGGATATAGTTACTACACTTCGTATACAATCTCGTCATTAACTTAACTGGGATTGGAACATGACCTAAAAGGGATGATCATCAAACAATTGGGATTGCGGAGTCAACAAACACGTTACATGTTGATTTGACTAACGGAAAATTTGGATGTAACAAACATATAGTAGGACGAAAACAAGTTTGTCATATGGTTTAAAGCCCACATATATATATATATATACGTACATACATATCACATGATTATACATAAGTGGGGATATTATATATATATTTTGTATATATATTATTTTTATCTAGTATATGTTGTAGCTCAATCCAGTATATATAATTCTCCGCCATGGCTATTCTGGTCTTCAATCGCCAGGATACACTGATTATCATTGACTACACCGATCCACGTGCTGAGAGTTTGGGCTTCAAGGCAGGAAATCCGAGCCGAAATGTTCGGTGTTAGTAATGGATTTGGGGTTGAGTTTGGGGGCGCATTTCAACTGGTGACTATAGTATCCCATCTGCAGCTTATATTCCACATATCACTGGGTTATTTTACTAATGTTCCACATATCACTGGGTTATTTTACTAATGTTCCACATATCACTGGGTTATTTTAGATGGTTATATTACTAATCTTATTTCCCACTGACTTAGGATGTACACGCGTTCGTATTTTGGGTTCTAATGACCCGATGGATTTTTTCTGGAGGTCCAGGGCTTTCAGTTGCAGAGGATAGCCTCTGCCAAACATGGCAAGCTGGGAAATCCACGAACTAAAATGAACTACATGGGCATTTAAATGGGGAAATCATCTATCAATGGGGGATTGTCCTAATATGTTTGATTACTAGAGGAATTTTATGAGATTGATGTTCTCCATCAAAGCCAATTCGGCAAGTGAATACCCTCTGGTAATTTAACATAGCTATTGAAAATGGCCATTGAAATAGTGAGTTTTCCCATTAAAAATGGTGATTTTCAATAGTTTTTTGTATGTTTACCAGAGGGTATATCGTACGATTGAAGCGAAGCTGTACACAGATTTTTCCCGTTCAATTCGCCTTGAAGCTGCGGATTTCAGGCGAGGATTGAAGTCAGAAATCAGCAAGCCTTCCGAACTTGCCCTCGCTATGCTTGATGAAGCCAACTACTCTCTATGCTATGTTAATAGTGAATTAATGGTGGTTAATGGAGGTTAATGGAGTTTATTAATGGCAAATAGTGAATTAATGGTGGTTTACCCTCTGGTAATGACTAACAGTTCGCTATTGAACATGGCCATAGAAATAGTTGATTTACCCACTAAAAATGGTCATTTTCTACAGCTATGTTAGTTTACCAGAGGGTACTTGTATGTAACTACGCAATAACTATGCAATAGTCCAATTTGCAGAGTGGTTTTCGTTCATGCTTTGCATACCTTTGTTGCATTTGAATGATTTGAATGATTCTTGATTCGCTGAGTGGTTTGTCATATAATTTTGGTTCATGTTTATCCGGGCGTAATAAGACGATAATAAGTAACGACTTACATTATTCAGTTCTCAGTGAAACGTGCCCATTCAAATGAAAATCCAACAGTTATTGGAGTTAGATTCTTCAACCAAAAGAAATCATGAGTCTTTAAATAACTATAAATACAGTATCAACCTCAATCCGCATTTTGACTGATGATCTCCAATTTTTGGTGACCAAATCCAAATTTCCACTCTTACATCATTGAAATCCACCGTGATTTTTTTCGTGTTTTTCCCCGATGTTCAGTTTGCAAAAAATCCCCGCAGACGCGGCTTGCCAGGTGGGAGAGCGTGTGGTTCATATCAATGGGGTGCCAGCAGCTTTTCAGCAGGATGATGGCCAAGGTTGAAGCACACAATGAATTTGCGGTGTTTTTTTAATGGGGAAAAGTATGGGGATATAACCTGGGATATAAACTGGATATATAATGGTTACCTTATGTTATTGATATGGTTCATGACATTAGGAATGACAACCAATATTAAGAACATTTTCCGTTTTTTTTATTATTACCCTTTGGTTATTTAACGTAGCGAACTGGAGAATCACCATTTTCAATAGGTCAATCATCCAAAAACATCTATAAATGGGTCATTTTCCATAGCTATGTTATGTTAAATAACCAGAGGGTATTTGGCCATGAAAAATCGGATTTTCGTTAAAGACACATCAATAAGTTAAGCTAAATCAAATTATTGAAATTATATTGAGACACAGCAAAAATTGGGATTTCATTATATTTGGCCATCAACAGTTGATGATATATCCAGAAGTTAAGCTTAATCATCAAACCGTAGAAGTTGGCCGACTGAGCAGTGTTTAAAACCTTGGTTGATGACTGGCAAACTCCCAAGTTTTGTTGGTAAAAAATCACCGTTTGGGAGAGTCGCAATGGGATCTCATGTGTGGTGATATGGGTAAAATCCTGCCAATAAAATAATGGTAAATGTAGACTTAACTAGGACAAATGGTGATATAATGGGATGAGAATATACCACCAATATGGAACATGATGAACATGGGGACCTGAACAAGGGGGTGTTTTCACCCACACTTTATGGCAAAAAAAAACTTGATTTGCTCAGCCAGTGGATGGACTGGGATAGATTTTTTTTCAATCAAGTCCCACTATTCATAGCTTTGATCCCTATTTCTGATGGTAAAATCCCCGTGAATTGGTTGGTTTTAGCCCCATTCAAAGCCCAATTGTTGATGTTAAATCCCATTAGAATCCAGTTGTGGATGGTTACCCTCTGGTAATTTGACAGTTCGCTATTGAAAATGGCCATAGTTGAGCCATGAACAATTCGGATGTTTTTCCATGGCTATGTTAGTTTACCAGAGGGTAAATCATATAAAATCATATAAAATCCTATGAGAATCATATAAAATCATATAAAATCCTATGAAAATCATATAAAATCCTATGAGAATCATATAAAATCATATAAAATCCTATGAGAATCATATAAAATCATATAAAATCCTATGAAAATCATATAAAATCATATAAAATCCTATGAGAATCATATAAAATCATATAAAATCCTATGAAAATCATATAAAATCATATAAAATCCCCAAACAAATCCCTTCAAAAAGTCCCAAGTCGCTCCCGAGTCCCAAGTCAATGCTCCCGCTTCGCCACTCGTGGCTCCGAGTTCCGACTGAGGTCTTCCAACAGCTCGATTTCCAAAAGGTCCTGTCAGGAGAAGTGGCTGGAGATCTTGGTGGCGTTCTGCTGGAGATTTCACATGGGGCTGGATAGGTTTATGGGATATTCATTTCGATGATAATGGGATAATAAATTTGGATGGATGATCATGCATATCCCATTCACTGATTTTTTGATCATGATAGTAAATTGGATGATAATAATGGATGATAATGGGATATAATGGGATAATAACGGATGATAATAATTTGGATGATTTACCCAATTTCGGTATCTATCACTGGATTGGTTTACGGGACAATTTCAACCGGAACCCCCCATGTTTATCCATATATTTAATGGTAAAAACCATGGTTTCCGGTTAAGATATTCCCAACAAAACCAATCCAATGAGATTTAAAGACTAGGGATCATAAGTGTGATGGAGATCTAACATCAATTGCAGGGATAGTAACGGGATATTAATTAGTGGTCCTCATGGACTGTTTAACCCGCAGATTCTGTTGTGGGCCAAAAAAAATGGCCTGGAACAAAGCGGCATCACATTGAACGAGAAAGTGCATTTCACCCTAATTGGAACTATTTCGAACTATTTTGAACTAGTCCCAAACGATTTTGGGGGTTGATTTATAAATGGTTCGGAAGCGTTCGGAACCGTTCTGAAGCGTTCGGAACTATGACTGGAAGTCAGTGTGTTTTTTTGATACGAAATAATCGCAGGAAATCCCGTTCTGAGTTGACATCAGCTTTTTGTAATTCAAGCTGGCCTGGCTCCAACTTCCAATAGGTCACTGGAAATCATCGTACCAACTAGGCATGTTTCTTTGCCAAGGGTGGGGAGTGCACCATAAATAATTGGTGGCTGGTTTGGTGGTTGTGATGTAGACCTAGTGCTTCAATTAAGATTATGAACCAATTCAATATATATTATATAATTATATATAGAGGTTTCCTAAAATAGGGCTACCCCCAAATCATCCATTTTAATAGGATTTTCAATTACAAAACCGTCCGTTTTGGGGTACCCCCATTTAAGGAAACCCCCGTATCTGGATATATCTGGATGAATTATAACGACCTGACAGTAGATGATCGGTAGGGGTAACTATCTCCAAATGGCATTGGCGTCTAATTGTTCACTACACCCTCTATATTAACATGGAAGTCAAACCATTTCCATATCCCATAGAACTAGCCTTTGGATGCCTTTGGTAATCAAACATGGCAATGGAAAACCACTATTTATAGACGGAACTTCTATAAAAACCTCCATTTCGTGCAGGGACCATGGATTTCCCATCCATGTTTGCCACCGTAGGTTAGTTCACCGCAATCATAAGTGGATTACCCCTACAAAAGTCCCACCAAACTACTTACGATTTGTGGGATGAATCAAGTCTTTATGGAAAAAACCCATAGAAATCCCCCAAACATCATTTTTTTTGCTAGTTGAGAATTAAAAAAAAATATATATATAATTCTTATTCTAATCCCACACAATTCCCAAAACAGAAAACAAAAACAACAACAAAGACGACGACGACAACAACAACAGCAACAGCAACAACAACAACAAAAATAATCAATTTCCCAGATCTCTTTGTCTTCCGCAGGAGCCTTCCGTGAGTTTCACCGTGCTAGGCAGCCCATTGTCATCAGCACCGTCGAACCTGCGTGGGGGTTCCCCAGTTTCGCCAGGACAGTTCGACGGAACGGTCGCCTCACTGGAATCATGGTTTTTATAGGGGAATCATCCCCAAACGGCCTCAAGATTCAGGTTGGTGAAATATTATAATTTACCCAGATATATGTGGGTTTCTCAGAACAGTGGATGGAGGTACTTGTCCTTCCATTTTAGGAAACCTCCGTATGGTGACGATGAATATCCCTACACTGCAGGTGGTATAGCCAAAGCTCCGGACCTGACAGCCTCTCCATTCTACGATGGGAACTACATATCTCTGAGAAGAAGAATGGAGGGGAGGAACCCTCATGCTGTAGCAACCATCGACATAGAGAAGTTTTACGACAGAAATCTGATGGACCGTGATGAGTACACCTTCATACTCTCTATCGCTGTCAAAGATCAGGGACAACGTCACTGTGTTTCACAACTGCAATGCTAACCCCAAGGACATTATAGATGACGGTGTGACCATTCGATGCCAATCTCTACATTAGGCTGGTGCTACAAGGATTGTCACATAAAAAGTGGCCTGCAGTTTGACATCCTACAGCATGACCTGGATCACCTGGCGAAGGAGCTCCGTAAGATTTTGATAGCACGTCTTGGGATATCTCTATGTGTTTTTTCCTATTTATATAAACCAAAGCAGTGCCATCAAACTGATTTAGCTTGCAAAAATGGTGCTATCATGGGATATAGCCTAATAGCGGTGGAGATAACCCCAATGTGTATTACAGTATACAGTATACATGTGTACAGTTATGGAACAGTATGTATAGCGCAAGTGTATATATGTATATATAATATAATATATAATTACAGATATAGTGCAACATATATTTACTCCGTGAAGGCCATGAGTGACTATTGATGTAGTCATCCTAGAGTAGAATATCAAATTTAAACATCCATAGACTAAAAGTATGGACATATGTTTGAACATACCATACTCTATTTACCCTCTGGTAAACGTTTACATAACTATGGAAAGATCCACCCATTTTTCATGGGAAAATCCACTATTTCAATAGCCATGTTCAATAGCTATGTTTGACATAACCAGGCCGGGTACTTCAGGATGAAAATCGGCCAAGATGTTGTTGGGGGCAGGGAATATCCCCAGAAAATATGGCCTAAAATATGGTACTAACGTACCTCCATCTGTTGGATCCTGAAGATCTCCCATTGATACAATGTGGGCTTTTCCAGTGATGTGAATGTTGGTTAACAAAAACCCTATGAATACTATAGTTGGTCATGGAATGTCATGGAAAATCACCACAACCAGCAAAAGATGACCATTTTGTGTGGACGACCAACGATTGACCATGAAATCAGAACCTCTTCAGCGTGGCTGTTTTCAGAGCCCTCTTGACTCGTCACCTTCAACAAGAATGGTTCCCTACACATGCACGGCAAATGACAAGATTCCTAGCCTACACATACTTAAACGCAGTTATGACTGTAAAGTTAATTTAAACATACTATACGTTTAATTCCTAGTCAATGAATAGTTTAACATATTTAAACTGTTGATGGGGGGAACCTCTTATTTGCATAGAATCATCAAACCAATTTGATGAATTGGTAGTTATAGTGTGTATTTGCACCACTCCAGCCATGGATATTTTGAGATGCTGCAGGATGGGGCCCCCAATTGATAGCGTTCAGTTGCCGAACATAAGTGGTTTAACTATGGTTTATAGTAGATATAAATATCATGATATAACTATAGTTAATGAGGGTTATTTCATGGTTTATAAACCACCCCAGTCTTGAAACATCTTTAAACATCGCCCAAGCTGGTCCCGGATACCCACGGATTTCCGTGTGGATTACGGACGGCCCAATTTCAGGTCCAGCTATCCGAACAACCTGAACTTATTGCCCGAGATGGAAGATGCCACTGAGCTGCAGAGTCGACGAATCGGGTTGGTCAGGGCGGTGAATATCTTGGGGTTCCTGAAATGGTACCCCCAATTGGATGGTTTACAATGGAACATCTTATTCAAGTGGATGATGACTGGGGGTACCCTCATTTCAGGAAACCTCCATATTTTTTTGGGGGTATCTATAGCTGGGCTTGGATGATTCGGCTTGTTTTCCCAATGGAAAATCAACCATTTGGGGAATCTATATATAGGGCATATGGATGCGTATGGTTTAATTTTATAGGGACCCTTTAATCCAAGTATACTACCCCCGAAAAAAAGACCCCGAAAAGATCCGAATGATAGTTCGAAGTTCGATGATGTTTTCCTCATAGTTTCCATTTGCCCAACTTTTGGGCATTCATTTTTTTTTGCTATGTGTACATATGATTCCAGTATATATTAATGTATATAAATTTATGTATATCCTCATGAACCCCCATTAAGTTTGGGTGTCTCCCCAAACTTTTAATGTGCCGATTCTTGTCCAGGTGACGGGACTTTTTTTCAACCCCCAAAAGAGGATAGATCAAACAACAAAAAGAAACGAGTTCTGGTTGGTGGTTTGGAACATGAATGGATTATTTTTCACATCATATTGGGAATTTCATCATCCCAAATGTTACTCACTCCATCATTTTTCAGAGGGGTAGGGCGAAAAACCACCAACCAGAGTTTGTGGGACCCTTGGTGCCCCAATTTTGACCGTCCAGAGCAGTCCGATGCAGCAGATTTAAGCGTGAATCACCTTAAAGGATGGTCCTTGGTAAAGTAACATGACGACTCTGGCAACCATCTTTTTGTAGGGGGTCGGTTTCAGGGTCTATGTTGGTTTCAGGGTCTATGTAATAAATGTATCTCTAATTTTCGGCTGGAAGAACTCAAGTCTATTCACAATCAACCTGCAAAAAACCATAAAAAACCCGCTCTCTCAGTCGCCCACACGTCCCATCCGCAGATTTGTGGACGTTGGCAAATGACCAATGGCGAGGTCTTCGTGATCAGCGCCATGGCTGGAAGATCAACGGTATTTTTGCACGAAAGGATCGGTTAAAATCATTGAACGACATGGAGATGTTCCATGGGTTTTAATATGGTCCGAAGGTGTTTTCCCATGGTTTATTTATGATTGTTTATGCAAATATGGAGGTTTCAATGCTGGTACCCCCAGTCATCCAGTCGTCAGAGCATTTTAGTATTGACAACAATCATGGTGACGACTGATATGACTGGCCATCGGAGCCATCCATTTACCCTCCGGGAAACTATGGGTTTTGCAGATCTATGTTGTTTACCCTGGGGGTACCTACATTAGCCTACATTCAAACGTTGTGTGTTGTCCAAAGATATACCCTCTGGTAAACGTTTACAGTTTGCTATTGAACATGGCCATAGAAATAGTGGATTTACCCATTAAAAATATATAGTGATTTTCCATAGTTATGTTAGTTTACTAGAGGGTAAGTCCATATAAAATCATATAAAATCACATCCCAGATTTCCATCATTGAAAAAATCACATCCCAGATTTCCATCATTGAAAGCCCCATTTCTCCCATGATTTATCCACCATTTGTTGGGTGAGATCCTTGGAGAATTTTGAATTTTGGATTCCCAGGGACTGGGCTGACATAGATGGCTAGGAGTCTAGGGGACCCCAAGATTTCATTTATCCATGTTTATCCTGGTCAAACAACCTCATTTTTATATGTTTTTCCACATTCGCCAGCTTTTTTTTCGAAGTTGCTTTGATCCAACTGTTGGCAGCCCCTTGCCTTGATAGGGATGGTGTCCAAGAAACGGAGGGAGACAGCCAGGATTTCGTTAAACACGCAGCGTGACCATTGTTTCTCAGTGGAAATGTTGCTCATGACTTGCCAAAATGGTTTCCGACGGATTGCAGCCCGGTTCAGAGATGTCCAGTCATAGAATTCCTGTTGGCGTTCGCCGAAATTGGATCCAAAAAGGTGCCTCTAAGAGGTGGCCGAAAAAACTGCACTATCAACTAATCTATGGTCCCAAACGACCAACAAAATCTTCGCACAACGACCAAGATCATCCGCAGTGTTCAGTGGCCATAGACCTATATTCTGATGTTCCGAAGGAACTTTCCACATTTTTTCCGGTGCAGTCACCATTTCTTTGCCGCTTCACTCCCGAATTTCGCCAGTTCCTTCTTGGAGAAGTCACAAACTCTTTCGAGTGCAAAAGTCACCATCTGAGGATTTGTTGAAGTGATTTAAGTGGTTTGTTCGTGATTTGTTCGTGATTTCTCGTGATGTTTGGGGATTTGGTGATGTCATCGAGATGTTTGGGTTTTCGGGATATTTCGGGATACTCATCAGCATTTTGATGGGCCTTCCAGGTCGTCTACCTGGGCTCCAATATCTGCTGATGACCATGTTGGCAGGTGGTCAACCCTCCGCCTCAGGCGCCGGCCGGGCCGGCCGGGCCGGCCGGGCCTGAGCCGCAAGGGAGAAGTTCTTCAAATTTCACATCCCAATGCAGAAAAACACGGATGATGATTGATACAGCGCCATGAAACTGGTGATTTTTCTTCTTGGCTTACGATTTATAAAGATTGATGAGTGGGTGTACTATGAGTTTACCTCTAGATTTAGGGGTCTTCCATGGTTTTGCCCCAGTTTTCAGAGGCCTATGCGGCAGCAGATTTGGGGACCAAAGTTCTGACCATTTCAACGTAAAGATATCTGCACCATATGTGAACGACTTGGATGTTGTAAGTGTGAATCAGTACTCCTCAAATAGTCATTTCATCTACTTCAATGGTACCCTCCCAATTAAACAGCCTAGGGGTTTATTAATCCAGGGTTGACATTATGAACGACTTGGATTTTGTAAGTGTGAATCAGTGTGCATATAAATAAAATTTGAACTAGATATTGCTGCAACAACAACGGGGATTTATGATCAAATGGTAGATAAGATTGACAAGTCGTTTGAAATCATATGAACTAGGCTAACGATTGGACTTATCATAGCTATACAGTTATATAGATGGGGTATAAACATTCACAAATATTCATGTAGGGGAGCCCCGCTTCTCAGGTTTGATGATGGTGCACAGTGCTGAGGACAGGAGTTGTTTCAAGATCGGAACTGAGCGAAGGGCATCAGGTGGGGCCGGAAAGACAATGATCCGATCAGAATACTTGATGATGATTGACCTGGCTTTGCTGAAGATTACAGTATTCTTTCTTTTCCCAAGTTGGGGGAATCTATAGGTTTATCTTTTAAGGACCCATATTAAGCAAACAAAGTCTAGATATTGCAAAATGATGTCCTTTACATTTTTCAACATCTTCCCATCACATCCCCAAGTTTCCTTGTTCCTGCTTCCTACCAAAGATTAATGCGCGTCTTCTGTCCAATTTCCAAACCAGCTTTTACAGATGATATATGTTTTTTTTACTACCAATGTAAACATGCAAAACAACCTTAGCCCGCTTGAAACCTAAGTCCCCACGCAGCCATAGCAGCCCCCAACAAAGATAGATTACTAAGTGCTGTTGAAGGGACCCCTGTAGTACTTCTTATTGGGCCCGCTTTCAACTTTTCTACCAACAATCGGAACTACAGATTCCATCTTAGTCTTCACAAAAAGGTCTTTTTCAGCCTTGTGAAACCGGTTGACTGGGTTGACAGCTACCACAATCTTTAGTTTTCGCAGGTTAAATACCCATTATCCTCTTCATTGTTCGTTTCATAATGTTTCATATCCCATAAAAGTCCAAGATCTGAATGCTTCTTAGTAACTGGGAAGCATGGAAAAATCAAACCATCGAATCAGGAAATAACAACAAACATACACAAGAACTTTTAGGGAAAACATAGGAAAACCATAGGAAAATGGTGATTTAACCAGCAACAATGGAGATTTATAGAATTCTGGTTGGTGGTTTGGAACATGTTTTATTTTTCCATTCAGTTGGGAAGAATCATCCCAACCGACGAACTCCATCATTTTTCAAAGGGGTAGGTATACCACCAACCAGATTATTAATCAAAATTTACAATCATTAACCATCATTAACCATCATTAGCCACAATCACCATTAACCACCATTAACCACCAACCAGATCATGTTTCACTTAGCACTGGATGATCTTTTTCATGCCAGTTGATCATGTGAAACATCCCCAGCGTAGCTCCTGGTGCCTGAAAACCACCAGGAGCTCCGTTGCCAACTTCTTCGTACCGATGGCAGCAACTTGGGAGACGTGCGCATCTGTCGGGCAGCCCAAAAAAAAGAGCTATGGCAGCTATTTTTCGCTGAAGAAGTTGGCTTTTTCTTCATGAAAAGTGGGAGTTAGCCATAGTTACCCTAGGGTAAACAGTAACGTAGAGGACGATTTTCCTATAGGGAAACCATAGGGTTTTCCACATCTTTTCCACATGTGAAAACTCTGGGATTGAACTGGGAAAATTTGTTGGGGGTTAAACATCTAAAATCCACGAAAATAATATATATATATGGGTAAATTTGATCACGACCTCACTGCGACCTCACTGGAAATCATGGTTAATAAGGGAAATCATCCCCAAATGGCCTTAATTCAGGTTAGTGAAATATTATAATTTACCCAGATATATAACCATCATTTTGCTGGGAAGGGTATGGGTTTCCCTACTTAGCTAAATTGGATGAGGATAGAATGGGCCAAGCAAAATGGATATAGACGATACAAATTTACACAACAAATAGACAGCAACAATCAATAAAACATTATTTCAATCAAGGATCAGCATGAGTCAACATGAATCAACATGAATCATAAATGATAAAATGCGTGGTTGTATTGACATGAATCAATAACAATCAACAAAACATTGTTTATAAAATATGTCAATGTACACTTACGTATGTGTGTATACTGTGTATATATATATTATATATATATATGCATGTATATATATATAAAATCATACACATTGAGCTAATAAAAGCTTTGAACTTGGGTCTATAGCCTCTGGTAATCAGACCCATCTTTGAAGAACTGTCATTGTTGCACCTCATGCTACGGGGTTTCGGTTGCCAACCATTTAGATGTATACACAACTACATGCACATGATACTGTACGTTATATATACATGAATTAAACTGAATTACATATATTTGCATATATACATATATTATTATATATATATATTCAATGGGAAATCCAGGATCCTCAAATCGAGGTACTGTACCATATAAGGCCATATTCTAGGGGACATCCCCTTACATAGCCCTTATATAAGCCTTATCCGGGGTTGACATTATAGATATATATATATGTAGGTGAGATGCACGGGGATACCAGTTGCGAAGGATAGCTTGCCAGCTCTGCCAATTTGTTGCATTGGAGCAGAAGATGGTAACATCATCAACCGATATGGCTATTAACTCAGCTATCGACGGAAACATCACAGATATGTTGCGACTGTCCTTCGGACGGCAAGAAGGAAAAATCAAATTGTTGATACTTGGTGGCTCATCCCACTGAGTAAGTATGTTCTATCCCCCTGTAAGTGGGATGAGAAGGGTTAGTCCACTTACAACTGGGTTCATAATCTGACTGAGTGGGATGAACCACCAAGTAGGACCAAGAAGGAAAAACAGAAAATTTACCCTCTGGTAATTTAACATAGCTATGGAAAATCACCATTTTTAATGGGAAAACTCACTATAAATGGCCATTTTCAATAGCAAACCGTTAGTCATTACCAGAGGGTATATCGATGTCAATGGCTCTACCTGGAGAATCTTCCATGGTGAAACTACCAGCCTGGGATAGTAACATTACGCGCTGGCAAGCACCCCGTTTCGCCCACACTCTGACTTTGGGACGATCAATAAGGGTAGTAGTGGGGAATATATAAGCCCCACCCCCACGGCACTTTACATTCAATTGGGAAGATCAACAAAGGTATTAGGGAATATAAAAGTCCCAGCCCCGTTTAAATTTTGCATTCAGTTGGGTCATGTTACAGCCAAACACATCCAAACACCTTGCCCGCGCAAAAGAAGGCCCGCCTTCTTCGTTAACTTGATGTTCTAGATCAGAGCGCACAGCATAGGGACCTGTGCGGCTTCCTTCCGCATCATCATGATCATCATCAGCAACTTCATCATGATCATGATCATGATCATGATCATGATCATGATCATCATCATCATCATAATCATAATCATCATCATCATCATCATCATCAACTAACATGATCATCATGATTCATCATCATCATCATCATCATCACTACCTTTGTTGATCTTCCAAATTGAATGTAAAGTTTAACGGGGGTGTGCTTATTGTATTCCCTAATACCTTTGTTGATCTTCCCAACTGAATGTAAAATTTAAACGGGGCTGGGACTTTTATATTCCCCAATACCTTTGTTGATCTTCCCATATGGTGAACAGTTGAAAACCTGGAATCATATGGTGAACATATCAATACATCTCATCCCACCATCCTGGAAACAGTGTTTTTTCAACATTTTTGTGGGTTACTACTTTAGTGAGTTTTTCAGGCCATGGCACTTTGCGGTGCCCAGTTTTAACACATCACCATGACTACTTTCTAGTTAAATATTAAACATCAATTTTCAAAGGTGATACGATGGATGGTTACGAAATCCTGCACCAGTTGGGAACTATTAGGTACCTTTTTTTTAAAGACTGTAAAATTTGGGAAAAACCATCTACCTGGTGCAGGAATTCTTCCACAGTATCATCACTTTTGATGGTCAAATCACCTTTGCCAGCCATCCCATTGTTTGGGAGAGATTTGGGTGTGGGGAAAGCATTGTTGGCATTCTTTCCACTGGGATTTTCCCTTAAAAAAGTACTCTATGAATTTCAATCAACATAGAGTACATAAGTATTAATATACTCAAAAAATGTATGGTCAGGTAGATGCACTTTTTTAAAATATGGTTTATATTCGAGAGGTGCCAAAACTGCTATAGACTTAGAATATACTTAAAAACCATATTTGTTTAAAACATATTCTAAGTGCTGGTCCATAACTGTAAATATGTAAAAATTATGCTTTAAGTCCACTGGGACCGTCACTTTTTTTTAATGGATGCATTTTCTCCTTGTGTTTTTTTGTGTCAACACCGATCAAAAACACCTCCAAAAAAACACTCGGCTACAGTATCTGATGGTAAATTCATGTATATACCCATGTTTAATTCATGTATATATGAATTCACAACCTTTGAATTCATGTATATACCCTGGTTTACCATCTATTTGGCAACATAGATGCCGAACACCCAGCATGTGATCCGATCGTTTTCCCCTTCGGGCCATGCGCTGAGGTTACAGGGAGAATATGATGGAAGTGACCTTCAGTTCTGCTCAGGGGGGTACCTGGGGTCAACCCTTAGCAGCCTGGCGTGCCACAGGCGGGACGGGACGACGGGACGGCCGTCCAAGAAACTGAACGGGCAATTTTTAGTCTCTAAATTTTACTGGTTAATAATGGTTAATAATGGTTAATAATGGTTAATAATCTATAATAGGGATATTTTCCTGGTGATTTAATGGTGATTAAGCCTTTGGTAATGGAATATTCATAGAAAACTGATTGATGGTTTGGAACATTTTTTTATTTTTCCATATATTGGGAAGAATAATCCCAACAGACTCATATTTTTCAGAGGGGTTGAAACCACCAACCAGATTTATATGATTGAAATATCTTCTGCAACTATGGTTTATACCTCTTCATTCAGCGGCAACTTGCCGCTTTGTAAATTGGGAGCAAACCTGTTTCTGGTTTCGTATACAAAATCCCTTGGGTTTATCCCCCCATGCCAGCGGATAGTTCGAAGGGGTGACATGCGGGGGGTGTTCAAACCGAAGGTATTAGTTAACACACAGCCACAAGTTTATGGTTGATAATAGTTGATGATAGTTGATGATAGTTGATGACAATTGATGATAGTTGATGATAATTGATGATAGTTGATAATAGTTGTTAATAGTTGATGATAGTCGATGCTAGTCGATGATAGTTGCTGGTAGTTACCTGGTAGTTGATGAGCATCCAAACAGAATGGCAATGCTTTTTGTGTGTGAACTATATATATATATCGGTTTTTATAGGGGAATAATCCCCATTCATGGCCTTAATTCAGGTTGGTGAAATATTATTTCATTTACCCATATATATATACACATATATATTTATATATTTAGGGGTAACAAGGATACGGTACGGCTTTAGTTTCGAGACGAGATTCGCGTCTTTTTTTGGATGAGCTTCTCATTTTGTCAAGTTTCTGGGTTCTACCCTCTGGTAATTTAACGGTTAGCTATTGAAAATGGCCATAGAAATAGTGGATTTTCCCATTGATAGCATGATGATTTTCCATAGTTATGTAAACGTTTACCAGAGGGTAAATCCTCTACAGAAAAGATGTCAAAGTATGAAGCCATGAGAACAGGACAACAATCTCTCAGAATTTGAGTTATTGGGAGCCCGAAGCCCAAGAGATGTGCCAATGGCCCCACTTGATGGTCTACTTTGCTTTGGTGGTTTATCCTATGTGGAAAGTAGGCGCTCAATTGACACTACTGATGGTGATGCAGCCCCCAGGATGTGCTTTGGTTCTGTGTTACTGGTTTGGATCCCCTATGAACCTGCTTTCATCCTGCTTTCACTCATTTTCAATTCTGGGATTCTCTGGTCAAGTTGCACTGAAAACCTTTTGGGAGCTTTAATTCCTGAAATGGGCCCTAAATCATCCATTCTAATGGGATCTTCCATTGTAAACCATCCATTTGGGGGTACAGTACCCTATTTGGGGATCATGAAATTGGACCCCCACCCATCCGTTGACACCGTTGACAGGGGATGCACCGTCGCCACAACAAACGGGTGTGTCGCTCCCGAGACGCTCGGTTTCGATTTACGTTTTGGGGGGACCCCGTTTACGAAAGTAAGGAAACTATAGGAAAATGGTGACTAAAGCAACAGAACATGGGATTTCATGGGATTAATGATGATATATGTCTGACTTATGATAGTTGAGTTGGTGCACATAACTTCTATAACTATGGTTTAAAATACCTGGGGTTGTTGTTAACCGATTGATAACCGGGGGGCCCCACATTTTATGCATCTGTAATGTTATTGGAATATCATTGGAATATTATTGGAATATTATCAACCTAAGATTATTCCAATAATTATAGATTATCTTTTGGAATATTGTATGACATTATTGGAATATTCTGTTATAGAATGGGGAATTGTCATGCTTACATTCGTAGGAGTTAAACAGAGCGTCCCCAGGCGACTGCCAGTCGTGGCTGAATCCTTGAGTAAATAACCAGCCAAGCAGCGATGAGCATTTTTTGTGGCCTACCAACGATTGACTATGGAAAAATATCGGGATTATGATTTTTAGCATCAAACAGTTTTAGGGAATGAAAGGTAAGGCTGATACCAAGAGAACTGAGTGTGTTTAGCAGTTGAGCAATTTTCATAGGTTCTTTAAGGGTCAATGTGGCTGCTTGCATGTTTTTTTCCATAGAAATGGCTGGAAATTCAGCCCTGGGAGCACTCCAGAAGCTGGGAGAAGGGGCCCCTACAACTCTGGTTATACAATGGTTATACTATGGATATAGAACTATGGTTATTACCATTTGGTTATTTAACATAGCCATGGAAAATGGCTCATCTATAGATGATTTTCCCAGCTAGAAACCTCCATTTATAAGGAATTTTCCATGGCTATGTTAAATAAGCAGATGGTATACAATTATTTTATACCATTTAGAAGTGTACCTGCAGTCCCAAGGATGGTGACCTGACAGTGTCAGTGGACCAAGCTTAACCGCTTCTGTGTGTCTATTCTCACCCCACATCTCAGTTGATATGTGGTTGAGAACATGATAAACATCTATGCTTATACTATAATTACTATACTTGTACTTATGTGATTTATGTAATATATATATACTGTACTAAAAAAACTATACTTATACTATGCTTATATTATACTTATAATTATGGGATTTCACAGATTGTGTAGCCGATGTTCAGCCCATAAACGATGTCCCATCCCATGGTTGAGCGAGCTGGTTGAGCTGAGGACCAACGGTGCAATCCTCCCCACCAGAATCCTTGCCACCCAGCACCCTGCACTGAAATAATATGAGAAAGTCCGCAGTTAGTTGTTGTGCCGATGACGGCAGCCTGACATGCCCCAATTTTGTGGCCAAACCTGTGACAGAAAAAACGGCTGGTAGCACGATGTGTGTTGTTCGGACATGTTTGGTGATTAAAACGACAAAGCGACAAACTTAAGACCGATCGTCAGAAAGTGAACTAGTCCAGGTAAAGACAATGATCAGATACTATGGTTATCTTACCACTGGTTTAAGAATGGCTTCCAGTCGCATCCTAAGCTGGGCTTTCAACACTTGACGTGTCGCTCCATGCTGTGGAGAGACCTCGCCGGCATCCAACGGCCAACGGGCTGTGAAGCGGAGGGACGAAGAGATGTGGTGAAATGATGCTATGATATTATAGTGATTGAAAAAACATCAAATATATTCAAATATGTTGGTTTAACCATCAAAACATGACATCAAAGCCTATGTTTGATGGTTTAAGCATCCAATTTGAAAAGATTTGGTAGACATATAGTAGTTTGATGAAGTTTAACCATGTTTAACCATCAAAAGAAGGGAACTCATGATTGGGGTACCCCATGCTGAGATACACCCATATGATTGATGAATAATCCATATCGGAACTCAGTGCTATATAATTAAGGGATATTAAATCAATCGCCTTCATGTACCTAAATCGGAGGTACCTAGGGCTGGGTAAGGTCATATACACCCAATTTCTATGGCTTTAAATGGTACTAACGTACCTCCATTTTAGGATCCTGGAGATCTCCCATTGATTAACGGAGACTAATCCTTGCTAAGCACTTGCTGGCGATGCGGGAATCCTCAGTGCCACCAATCAGCAATCACCAATGATGAAGGGGGAAACACTCCAGATCCCTATTCAGTCAGATCAACCCTAAATCCATGAGTTTGAATCATATTTGATCATCATGTTCGGTGTTGAACCACCCATTTACCCTCTGGTAATGACTAACATAGCTATTGAAAATGGTCATTTATAGTGGATGTTCATTGGATTTTCCCATTAAAAATGGTGATTTTCCATAGTTTTTTGTACGTTTACCAGAGGGTAAGTCATCCGTTTAAACAATTTTCGATGGTGAAATCGCCATGTTCCGCCTGCTTCAAAACCAAAAACGCTCCTGGCCTCGGCTCTGTGACAAACATCGGTCATCGGTCCGCCCCTCAGTGACACATGGCCTACGACATCGCTATAAGTAAAATGAATATATATCCCACTAGTTACTACTTATTATCATGGAACCGCGTTAGAATTGCTCAACTTATAGTAGAATTGCTAGTAGAATTATATACCATTCTCATTCTCTAAGTCATCTAATTTATGGAATGATAAGCCCTAATTTATAACCATTGGTAAAGGGCTTTGTAGATCTTTTTGGCAGCCACATTCTTCCGTGCAGGGGCCATAGATAGCCTCTGGTAGACGAAGCCATTATCACCATATGACTGGAGGAATAAACATCCATTGACCATTTTTTTTATAAGGATTTATAAGCTACCTAGGGCCTCCTAGGGTACCAGGGTTTTGACTGCCACATAGATGTATATTCTCGGGTAAATTAACATAGCTATGGAAAATCATAATTTTTAATGGGTAAACAAACCATGTCTATGGCCATTTTCGAGTTCGTAAACTGTTAGTCATTACCAGAGGGTACTTATATGTACTTATTGTGGTCGGTTGACACTTGGCTGCTGATGATCATAGACAGCATACTTAGATGGGGAGACCCACGAATTGCATGATTACTCCAACCTATTGTATTGTAATCCTAAGTAAATCCCAAGTTTTCATAGTACAATTCCTATATTAGCTCCTATAGATCCTATTGTAATCCCAATCTTCGTGGCAGAATCAGTAAGCTCACCATTCAAATCCATGTTTGTTGGTAAAGTCATTATTTTTGAGGGTTACTCCAGTTAATTATATTATTTTTGATGCTTTTTCCAATTATATACTTATATAACACCAGTAAAATCTGATCTCCGCATTATTTTGGGAAGCCTGGGTTGACCTGCGTACAATCAGGGCTGCTTTGGCCTATCAAACATGATCACAAACATTTAGGGAAAATAGGGCCGGATTCATGGGATTACTCATGGCTGTAGGTTCACCGATTTGAGTGTGTCTGAAAATGGGGGATGCACCCCAAAAAACGGCAAACTATTTTTTTTCTGTTAGGGAAACTATGATGAATTTCTAGTGGATCGGACGGACAATTTCAGGGCACCCTAGTTTCAGACACAACCCATATTGTGGCCCCTCGGGCCCCTCGGGTATCCTTACATGTCCGTCACCTGTGATTTACATGGCCCATTTTTGAGCTGTAAATGGCCCCATATGACTGGGTGGTCATTATCATACAGGTAGATTGCTGGTTTGTTGGAGATAGGATGGATTATGACAATAACATGACATGTGTTTGTGTTTTCTTTTTTTGGGGGACTTGATTTTATGATGTTTAGATATTTTTTAGTTCTCTTTGGGCTCAGACAGTATGGATGATGTTTTGATTTATTGGTGATAAATGCACCACGAAAATCTAGACTATCAGCATGGGATCAACTGAGAAGGGGCCCCGGATGACACCAAGCTCCGCATTTTGCGGACAGCGCACGTTCAAATGATGTGCTCCTGAAACTAGGTTGTGCGAAAAAGAAGGGCTGGGCCTGGGCGAAGCCTGTGATTCAGGTTGAGTCCTGCACACCAAAGGCGTTTGGTAATGTTTGACATGCATTGCTTTGTCTGAAAATGGTGTATCCGAAAATCCCTATTGTTTATCATCATGTTTGCCATTAGACGATTCATATTGGGGTTTATGGAAACCCCAAAGCCAGGTATATGGGAAAGCCAAGGCCCCACTACCTTGGTGAACATACCTGCATTTTTCCATAGTTTCTATAAAAGGTGTTTAACTGGTTTTCAAGCATGCCTTTTATTTTCCATTTCATATTTTGGGAATGTCATCATCCCAACTGACGAACTCATATTTTTCCAGGGGTAGGTATACCACCAACCAGTGTTTACCCTCTGGTAAACATACAAAAAACTATGGAAAATCACCATTTTTAATCGGAAAATCCACTATTCATGGCCATTTTCAATAGCTAGGTTAGTCATTACCAGAGGGTAAAATGAACGGTGGAAGGGGTAAAATTGTGTCTCCAATTTTCGGGATGTCGTAGCCATATGTTTAAAAACCTTTGACCCAGTTATATCAATGGGAGATCTCCAGGATCCGATTTAATGGAGGTACGCTAGTACCATATAAGGCCATATTTTCTGGGATATTTACTTACATAGGCCTGAAAAATGGGCCTTTCATCTATGGTAGGTACCTCCATTTTAGGATCCTGTTGCATGGCCATTGATGCAAATTCCTTTGTTCATGGGAAGATCCCCATCAATGTTCACCAGTTTTGCTGTGGCTTATATTACATACTGTGTATACTAATGATAACAATAACATACAATAACACTGTTAATATTGCAATATATATATGTACATATAACATAATATATATATATATATAAATACATATGACATATGACATAAGATATTAAATCCCACTGACATCCCCATTATATCATGATTAACAAAAATATATTTCATCATTTTAACCAATTCTCTCTCCATCTCTCTCTCTATCTATATATATATGTATATATATATGTATATATATATATTATATAAGTACATAGATAAATACACATAAATAGATAACAATATATCATTTAACCAAAGGTTCATGGTAATATCCCATTATATGCCAATGATGAAAACTGGTGCCTCTCTAGGAGTGGAAACAGCGCGCCATGGCGGCCTTGGAAAGGAGTCACTTGGAGAAAAAATGCTGGGAAAACATGCTGATTTTATGGGAAAAGATGGTGAAGAACTCCTGATTTTATGGGAAAACCGGTGGAAACAAAGGTGATTCTATGGTGATTGTATTTCATAGGGGATTTTTTATGGCAATAAATGTGAACAGTTTTTCGTTTTTCTAGGGATTTGATAAGATGAATCTATGGAATTGATGGATTACAGTAAATATGATTACCATGGGATTATAATACGATGAATATTGCATTTTTATACTGTTTTTTTGATTATTTTATGGTGATATAATCAACAATAGGAAGAATTTATGGTGGTTTGTTTTGAGATGGGATATAGGATGATCTGCTGAAACAAGGGGGGACAAATTGGGAAAACATGTGGGAAATTATGGCTGAACAACCGTGATAGCATCTGGGTAAATTATAACGACCTCACTGCGACCTCACTGGAAATCATAGTTAGTAAGGGGAATCATCCCAAAATGGCCTTAATTCAGGTTAGTGAAATATTATAATTTACCCAGATAGCATGTGATAGCGGTGAACAACTCTGGCACAATGGTGAAACATATGGGAACGATTGTTGGCAATAGTGAGAAACTCAAACCAGGCCAACCAGGATTTATGGTGAATATATTTGAGAATTTTATAGAGTTGACTATTCTTTATTTATTCACCACAAATATAATTATATATATATAGTACCTATATCCACCTGATATTCGCCAACTATTGATTACATATATATATATATATCTATATATATATATATATCTATATGTATATATATATATATTTATTTTTATTTTTTTCCGGCTGGGATTTGGTGTGGATCACTGGCCCAATGGAACCTTGGAGGCCTATCTTAAGTTGGTGGCGATGAAAAAGTTATGTCAGTTGTATCCCAATTTACTAGGCTTGGAACCATGGTTCTACCATTATACCATATTATACCATTATTTTTCCACCCCAACCGTGGTGAAACTCCATCTTTATTCCATTAGAATCGCATTAGCCTCTGGTAAACTAACATAGCTATTGAAAATGGCACATTTATAATTTATTTCCCTATGAAACATTGTGATTTTCCAGTTCGCAAACTCTTAGTTTACCAGAGGGTATCTCGTTAAAATTCATTTTTTGAACGGTACACTCGACCTAAGCGTCGTGCCAGGTAGGAAGAGCCAAGAAGAGATGGTCACTTGGATACACGACAGTTGATGATTTTCAGATGATTTCCGTTGGTTTTTTTTTTGCATCATTTATAAGTTGAAGGTTCCATGGAAAAATACCATCTGGATATACCATCTATTATAGGATATTTTAGGATCTATGAAAAATTAATCTCTATAAGGATCTGATATTTTTTTGGATATACCATCTGGTTATCTAACAGTTCGCCATGGAAAGATCCACCATGCAAAAAAAAGAACGGTGTTTACCATCTATTTCGATTAGGGCCATCGAAATCCCATGGCGAACTGTTAGTCAGAACCAGGTGGGGTAACTAGAACGATTGGTTATTGGTGCAGTGATGAAAGATAGGGCGTTTTTGTTCACCATCAAACTATGAGGAGACAAGTGATACCCTCTGGTAGACTAACGGTTTGCGAACTGGAAAATGGCCCAGTCGAAATCGTGGGTTTACCCATTAAAAATTGTGATTTTCCATAGCTATGTTAGTTTACCAGAGGGTAAATGATGGCTGGTTGATGATTTTTTCTTGGATTGTACTACCCTTCACATCTCGGGAATTCTCAGATCATAATTGGTGAACTGGTGAACTGGGAATGCCATGGAATGCCCCTGCCGAGAAACCAGGCAGTATCAAGGGACGATGTCTGTAAATGGTCTGTGATTTCAGGCCTGTTCGCATTCATCATGCCACAAGCTTTAATGCATAATGACCGTGGTTGCCAGTTGTCAAGATTGGTCCATCTGGCTCTTCTTCGATATGGTATACTGTATGTACAATGGGCAACGTCAAAGCATGGCCACCCATTTACAATTTAATATATATATATATATTTAATATGTTTTAATTCTTTTAATACACATCTGGAGGAATCAGCCAACCAAGCAAACTAACCTGGTTGGTGGTTTGGAACATTTTTTATTTTTCCATATATTGGGAATAATCATCCCAACTGACTAATATTTTTCAGATGGGTAGGTATACCACCAACCAGTAGTTGATGATTACCCTCTGGTTATGACTAACAGTTAGCCATGGAAGCCATGGCCCATTTATAGATGGTTTATCTATTAAAAATGGTGATTTTCCATGGCGAACTGTTAGTCATAACCAGGTGGTATATCCAAAAATATCAGATCCTCATATTTTTCATGGATATAATGGATACCTGGCTGGTTACCCACAGACAAATTCTTCCCATAGCTGGTTACCTTCATCTCCAGGCCGGAGTCAAGGCGGACGCCGAGGTCACAAAGCCCGAGAGCCCTGCGGAGTTGATGAATTTTTTGAATGCATTGAGAATCCATTGGTTCATGTAAGGGGTATCCATGTTCAGACAAATATATATATATATTGTGTGTATATATAATTATATATATAATTATATAATTATATATATATAATTATTTAATTATCTATATACAGTACATATATACATACACATATGGTCACCCCCCCATAGATATTTCATACGTATGTTTGACGAAAGTCAACTAGAAATCAGATATGATGGGAATGGGATGTATAGAACGACCCCGGTGATGAAATCTATCATCTGACGGTATTTTCAGATAGGGAAATTGGTACCATTTTCAGATATCAGGTATTTTCATTTCAGGGTGGATAAATCAACCAGAGCTGGACATAGAGACATGAACTGATAAATCGAGCTCGCCAGCAACTTGCAGTCCGAAGATTTTTGGAAAATACCCAGGAAGGTCATTGAAAACATATTTTTGTTCGTGTCAGGTTGGATGAAACACACGAAAAACATCATTTTGATATAGTATTTTCCCCCTATACTTTCCAACTTTTCGAAGAATTCCTATAATCAGAGTCCGAAAACAGTCTGAAAATCCCTAATTTTTGGAGATATTCCCATGAAATTTCCATGATATCCCCATGAAAATTCCTATATTCCTAATGTGAAAATTCCCCAAAAAGGTCCTCAATTCCATTCTGAACGCCACAGCCGCGACATAGCCACGGTTCACCGTGTCTCCGAGGGCGCAGCATGCCGAGCAGGTGGCCGCTTTGGAGGCGGAGAAATGTCAGGGTTTTTGGGGAAAACCTGGAGTTTTTTGGGGACGATGCTTGGAATTTCAAGATTTACAATGGCTTTCTGTTGTTTTTGAATAGATTCTGGGGAATATGATGAATATATGGAATTGACTTAAGTTAAGTTTTTTGACCTATATTTTTTTACAATGGCTTTCGTTTTTGAGGTGTTTTTGGTTGATTTGATGAACTCGACTAGCCACTGAGGCCGGTGACTAAAATTTTGGCCTCCTGCGTCGAGGTTTGTGATCCAATGTCGACCTGAACAATAGTTCCGGTGAATACAGTACGTTGATATACGTTGATATTATTTCAAGAATATCCACCAATATTCACCAATTGTGGATAATTATCTGGTTGGTGGTTTCAAACATGAATTTTATTTTCCATTTCATATATGGGATAATCCTTCCCATTCACTAATATTTTTCGGAGGGGTTGAAACCACCAACCAGTATTGTTCTGGCTAAATTATAGTAACCAGTATAGTAACCCTGCAATCGTGACCGAAGGGAATCACGGTGAAGGTATAGAGGTTTCCTAAAATGTGGGTACCCCTAAATCATTCATTTTCGATTGGGATTTTCCATTATACACCATCCATTTTGGGATCCCCATTTATGGAAACTCCTATATTATATATATACACATAATTATAATATTGTTGGTATTACTGTAAATATCAAGATATCATTCAAGATTGTTGATAATTCCACTTAATTCAACAAAGTTTGATATATTTGTCCCAGATTGTTGGTATGCTTGATATTGTGAACAGAGGCAAACATGACCTATTGTTGAGAAAAAATGTCAGGGCGGTGTATCTGACTCAGAGTTGATCAAGTTGATCAAGGTGGGCATCCCATCAATTCTCTACCCTCTGGTAATGACTAACAGTTCGCTATTGAAAAAGGCCCATAGAAATAGTGAATTTTACCATTAAACATGGTGATTTCCCATATATAGTTATGTTAGTTGGTAAATAAACATGGACCCTGAAAATCACCAATTTTTAATGGAAACTAGTCTTCCAACCCCTATCTGCCAGGGTCTACGTTAGTTTACCAGAGGGTAATTCACACGATTCACGCCCACAGACATCCTATGTAGAACCCCATACAGTACTTCGCTAAGTGGGCAGTACAAAGTCCTGGGATCCCCAGCGGAGGAGGAAAAACGAAATAAATACGTACTGTGTGCCATCCACCGTTTGATCTCCGGCAACCAAACATTGATGGCTAGAAGCCATGGCCCATTTACCATCTGGTTATGACATTCACAGTTCGCCATGGGATTTCGATGGCCCTAATCGAAATAGATGGTAAACACCGTTCTTAATAGCATGGTGGATCTTTCCATGGCGAACTGTTAGTCATAACCAGATGGTAGATCCAATTTCCCAATGATTTTCCCATGAAAAGCTGCGTTTTTTAAAGTTTTTTCTCCAGCCATCATTGAAATTCGATGAAGCCCCATGAAATCCCGCGAAATTAAATCCTATTATGTCCCCGTGGAATGGTTGGTTCATTGATGATTACCCAAATATCATCAAATAGCAAATCAAGTTGGTTAGTTGTAAGAGTTATATCATGTTATATCCGATTACAACCCCCATGATTTCTACAATGTCTACAATGTATCACCATCATTCATGATATTTATAGATATTTATAGAATATATGAGGGTTTCCTAAAAGGGGGGTACCACATGGTACCACCAATCCAAATCAAACCACTTTTAGTATTTACTGTAAACCTAGACTTGGGGCCCATTTAAGAAACCACCATATCATCCCTGTAATTCATTCATATTCACGAAATATCTATAGTATATATATATATATGAATATATCATCCCTATTGTCTCTATAAACATATCCCCGTTAGAATGACGCTGCTGTCACGTTCCAAACATTGCGGGGGCACTGGCTGAAATCGACGCCAGGCAAAGTTGAAAGCTGAAGCCGGGACGACGCAGTGCGACACCGAGCCGGGCAACGGTTGGAGACCTTTGTTGGTGGGATTTACCCTCTGGTAAACATACAAAAAACTATGGAAAATCACCATTTTTGATGGGAAAACTCACTATTTCTATGGCCATTTTCAATAGCAAACCGTTAGTCATTACCAGAGGGTACCAGGAAAATCCCATGAAAGATGGAAGGGTAACCAGGAAATACCAGGAAATACCAGGAGGAATGGGCTCCAATGAAGGTCCTGTCATGACGCAGTGCAGAACCGAGGGGTAATTCGGATTCACTTTCACCGCCAGGGACGATTTCAGGATATCAATCAGGTGTTGAGGCACGCGTCATCTCAACTGGTGCCACGCGCCTTTCCTTCTGCGTTTTGGGGTGTGCCTCCACACCACTCGGTCGATTGAGCCTCAATTGCACATTCGCTGAAAGTACGGTTGTCCTTGAGCAAGAATGCAATCAGGAACTTCAAGCTCACTCAATTTGTCAAGCTCTTCTAGTGGTAATCAACAGATGGTGGTCTAGTGCCAATGCCGAAGCTGAGATGTAATGTCAAATCAGATGCACGGGCCAGCGTGCAAAGGAAACCCGGGTATTGCCCATCAAATTGCAGATAGCTCGATGAGGATAGTGAAGATGCTCGCAATTGAAGAGCTGATGGACGGCGAACTAGCCACGAATTGTACCAGTAGGTGGGATATCCCTGGTTGTGTTAGTGGGATTGTTGTAAGATTGATCCAGTTCAAAGTGGGATTACAAGCTACTTACTAAGTAGGATGAACCGTCGAGTGCAGATGGATCTGAAGCGAACAGTGAGGACTTAGCAAGGGACTTTAGGATTTAAGCAGCTGCAAGATTGAATTATCTGGAGATTAAGGGACAAGACTTATAATTCAATCAAGAATAATGGGGGTTTGAGCAAAAGGACACATTATATAAGAGGGGCCAGTGATGGGTGTTTTTCAGCAATACAAAAGGGACTACTTTGTACCTGCAAGATGGGGCCATCAGAATTTAGAGCCTACGAACAAAAGGCTCACAGCACTTGAAAACAAAAGCCAGGAGAGGTTCTAGAACAAGCTCCCCAACCATACATCCATCATTACATCCCTTCCCCGGGGATTTTTTTCCTCGATCATCCTTTCACAATGAAGGCAGCAGGCAAGCAAGCCAGGCAGGCAGGTAGGCAGGCAGGCCAAGCAAGCCAGCCAGCTAGCAAGCAAGCAAGCCAGGCAAGGAAGCAAGCAAGCAACTGAGCAACTTAGCAACCGAGCAAGGCAGCGAGCAAGCGAGCAAGCAAGCAAGCAAGGAAGCAAGCAGGCAGGCAAGGCAGGCAAGGCAGGCAGGCAGGCACGCCAGCCAGCCAGCCAAGCCAGCCAAGCCAGCTAAGCCAGCCAAGCCAGCCAAGCCAGCCAAGCCAGCCAACCAGCAAGCAAGGAAGCAAGCCAGCCAGCAAGCAAGGGAGAAAGGGGGCAAGCAAGCCAGCCAGCAAGCAAGCCAGCCAGCCATGCAGGTAAGCCAAAGCAAGCAACCACTTTGCATGCAGGCAATCAAGCCAGCAAGGCAGCAAGCAAGCAAGTGAGGAAGCAAGTAAGGAAGTAAGCAAGCGAGCCAGCCAGCCAGCCAACCAGCAAGCAAGCAAGCCAGCCAGCCACCATAAGTAAAATGTTGAGCCAATCGTAGATAAACCTTTGAGCCAGTCCTTCTGAAAAACTATAAACCAACTTTCAATAAAACAAAGCAACCCTGAACCAACCCTAAATAAAGTTCTGAACCAACTGCAACCCAAATCCAACCTTACTTATCCAAACCCTAAGCGAATTTTTAACTGTAAGCTAATTGGCAATAAACAGTGAATAAAGCTTTAAACCAATCTTTGACCAACCCTAAAGAAAATTCAAAATGCAAACAACACCAAAGCTTAGATCTATTTTTCACCAACCATAAATAAATGTTGAACCAACTCTAAAGAAAAACCTTGACCAATCTGAAATAGAATGATAAACTGACCCTTAGTAAAGCACCAACAATTTTGAAATACAACCTGAAACCACCCCAAATAAACTTTCATTAAACCTTGAATCAATCCTCAATAAGCCACAATTCAACCCTAAATAGATCTCTAACCAGCCCCAAACAAATTCTAAACCGAACCGTAGACGAATTTAAAACATAAAGTGCACCGGCACTACATTGACCCTAAACCAGCTTGAACTAGCCATTATTACAACTTTAACAAAACCCTCAACAACCTCAAATAAATTTCCGAACTACATTCAATAAAATTTTAAACCAAAATTCTATAGTCCCCAAACCAGCTCTTATCAAACCTTAAACCAACCTCAAATCAATCCTAAACCAACCTTAAACCGATTATAAAGAACCCCTTAATCCAACCCCAAAGAAAACCTCAAAGCAAACTATAGATTTTAAAGAAATCCTAAAACCCTCACGAAGGAAACTGCACGCGCACCTTAAAGTCAACCCCCAAGCCAACTTTAAATTTTCAACCAACCTCAAACAAACCTTGAAACAAATGCCAAATAAAGGGTTAACCCAACCCAAAACAAACCCAAATCCAGACCTAAAAGACAAACGAATTTTCGACAAATTCCGAATCAAACCCTGAACCGATTTTAGATAAAACTTTGTACCAACCTTAAGCCAACCAGCAATAAACCACTACTGACCTAACCCTGAATCAACCCTAAACCAAACCGAAAGAAAACTTAAAGACATCTTAAACCAAACACTAAGCACGCTAGAAATAAAATCTGAAAAAAATGCTAAATAAGCGTTACGCCAACATTAAATAAACCCAGAGTAAACTTTAAGCTAACACTAAGCCCGCCCAAATTAAACCCTACATCAATTTTAACTACAATTTCAAAGCGGCCTGGAACACAATCCTAATCCAAATCTAAACAAAACCTTACACCAAACCTAAACCAACCCTGAACATATCTTAAAAGATCAGAACATTCCAAAATACCTTCACCCAAGCCGAAACAAATCCTACAGCAACCCTAATACCATGCTCTTTGAACCAACCCTAAAACTAAGCGGACTCCTAGCTAAACTGCAAACTAACCCTAAACAACATATTGCCAAACAGGCGCTACACAAACACCATTTCTAAACCAACTTTAAACTGGAATAACTAACCCAACCCGGGATACCAATACCTTTAACCAACCCCAAGCACACACCACAGCAGCCTCAACAACACTTCTAGATACTTCTAGCGGAACCAGCCCCAGATTGCTGCTAGCTCCAAAAAATTCCGATTCCGGCAGAAATAGGAGTTTCTGGCTCCAAAAATGCTGCAATTACAGTAGAAGTGGTTCCAAAATGTTGCAAATATTATTGGGAAAAAAATCCCCGGGAATGGCCAAAAAAAATCCTTGGGGCAAACCGGTTCCTCCAACTTTAAGGTAATTGCAATCCAGTGAATGCCAATCCTTCCAGGATCTTCCAAGTACTTTTTCTTTTCAAAAGACAACTATACAGCTAGACATCTTTATCTCAGCATTTCGAGGGATATCCCAAATGCGAAATGGCGAAATATTGCGAAATGGGATTTTTACGATTGTCGCAATCATAAGCACAATAACACATTGGGAAAGAAATAACAAGACAAAATGACGATGTATCAAACCGATCGAGACCTTCGTTTAGTCTTCGATTTCTTCATGACTTGGGAGCCCATGGGTGTTTAAGATGAGGTTAGACTCGGTTAGACATTAAAATCAACAGTACTCTTTTTGGAAAAACAATGTCATACACCACCAAAAAGGGGAATGGTGTGCCCACATTAAACAAGGACACGCCGCCCGCAATGACCCCGCGCAATTTCACCTTTTTTCCAGCAGCTCAGTCTTCAGTTTTGCAACCCTTCCAGGGTTTTGTGACATTCGCATTTTGACATGACTTGCATTTCCATTGGTATTTGCATGACTTTGTAGTCGTTTTCATGAATTTACAGTGGTCGAAGCATTCAATTTTTGTCCCCATACATAAAAAAAAAAACGAAGTTTTTGTATTTTTCACTTGCAAGTCTTTGCCAACGTGCCAAATTCTTTCAATCTTGCAAGTCTTTCAATCCCCACAACATCAGCAACGTAACAACATGTGACGTAGCAACGATCCCAGAGATCTCTACAGCGTAGCAACATGAAATGTACGAAGTGCAAGGAACGTTAACATCCCACCCCACCCCACCCCACACCACCCCACACCATCAGCAACGTAACAACATGTGACGTAGCAACGATCCCAGAGATCTCTACAGCGTAGCAACATGAAATGTACGAAGTGCAAGGAACGTAAACATCCCACCCCACCCCCCCACACCACCCCACACCATCAGCAACGTAACAACATGTGACGTAGCAACGATCCCAGAGATCTCTACAGCGTAGCAACATGAAATGTACGAAGTGCAAGGAACGTAAACATCCCACCCCACCCCACACCACCCCACACCATCAGCAACGTAACAACATGTGACGTAGCAACGATCCCAGAGATCTCTACAGCGTAGCAACATGTAATGTACGAAGTGCAAGGAACGTTAACATCCCACCCCACCCCACCCACCCCCCCACACCATCAGCAACGTAACAACATGTGACGTAGCAACGATCCCAGAGATCTCTACAGCGTAGCAACACCAAGGAACGTTAACATCCCACCCCACCCCCCACCCCCCCCACACCATCAGCAACGTAACAACATGTGACGTAGCAACGATCCCAGAGATCTCTACAGCGTAGCAACATGTAATGTACGAAGTGCAAGGAACGTTAACATCCCACCCCACCCACCCCCCCCACCCCCCCCAAAAGAAACACAACACGCACATGGCACATCAAAACACGCAAACCGCCTGGGGTCGTTAGAGGCGGCGTGAGCTTAAACAAAACATAGAAACTATCCAGTACTTAACAGCAATTCTCCAGCAACCATATTTGACCGTTTAACTGAGTCCAATGAGACCAAACTGAATCCCATAAAATCCCATAAAAAGTCATTCCATCAAACCACCATTTTTCCAATTCTTGGTGATTAACATCATGTTAGAATCCCTAAAGTTTCCAATTTTTGGTAGTTAAATTAGTTAAGATATAATCCCATTACTATCCATGATTAATCAACCATTAACCATTAGTCCTCATACCATTATTATAATCCACCCATATTAATCAACCATTAACCATTCTGAACCCGGCCTATTCGGTCCCGTTTTCGGTTCAGGTCAGCATTGAACCAAAAAGTCACTGCCCTGGAGCAGTGGGGCATCTCAGCCGGGCTGTGACTGTCGGATGGGACAAGGATTGCATCAACAAATAGGTTGTCTCATGGAAAATCATGAGATTATTGTTGTGAAAACCCGTGGCTGGTTGGCCGTGAACCATGAAAAAACACCTGGGATTGACCTAGATTCTGGTTGGTGGTTTGGAACATGAATGGATGATTTTTCCATGTATTGGGAATAATGATCCCAATTGAGCAATATTTTTCTGTGAAACCACCAACCAGCTATAGGGGTCTGTAGTTGTTAACTAGCCAAAATTTGAAACTTCCAGGTTTTTTTCATTGGATTTAAGCGTCAACACTTGGCAACATCATATGAATCATGGGAACCCATGGGTTTTTTCAATGGGTCATTGGGACATTGGGATGATAATGGGAGTAATTATTTTCCACATCGGCAAAGATTTTGCGAGTTTTCCTATGATTTAACCGAGAAAAATGGGTGCCGGACCATCCCCAAGGACAAAACATGGAGGTTGTGATGGCGGGTTCCACCAGAAAATCACATTACAATGGGATTAAAACAATGTCATAAACCATGCCCAAGTACCATTTTTATAGGTGGGATAATCTAACCATTCCCAGTCATGGTGGTTTAGTTTCTGGCATTGTTTTAACCACATTGATGGGATTACCCTCTGGTAAACATACAAAAAACTATGGAAAATCACCATTTTTCATGGGTAAATCCACTATAAATGTGCCATTTTCAATAGCTTTTTGTATGTTTACCAGAGGGTAAATGATGCATAAAATGGGGATATTCTCTGGGAGAATTTGCGATCCAATGAGATCATCATGGGAGATATCTAACCGTTGTGCTTTTTGTTGGCCGTATTCAGATTTCAGTCACCAAAACATTACCCTCTGGTTATGTCCAAATAGCTATTGAAAATGACCATTTATAGTGGGTTTACCCATTAAGAATGGTGATTGTCATAGTTATGTTAGTTTACCAGAGGGTATTTTTTGTTTTTTCGTTTTTGTTGGTTTATAGCAACCACCGCAAGGATAGATTTTAGTACATTCCAATCTTGAAAGAGCTATCTATTGGAATTTAACTGCTTCTACTGTAGAGATTGGAAATAGCTATCCATTGGAATCGAGCTCCAACACATTTAACTGTTAACCAACCGGCTTTGTGGTCCGCAAAAAACGCATCTGAAAATTCCCAGAACTGCGGCTCAGCCATTTTTGGTTATAGCAAGCTCCAAAAGATAGATCTGGGTAAATTATAACGAGCTCACTGCGACCTCACTGGAATCATGGTTTATTTTAGGGAAATCATCCCCAAATGGCCTTAATTCAGGTTAGTGAAATATTATAATTTACCCAGATGGTAGTGTATAACATTTTATTGCATGAAACAAGTTATTTACTGAGCAAAAAAACAGTATGCATGCACTAGCAAATATCCATTTGGGCGTTGCTTGAAATAATTATAGGTACCCCCAAATCACCCAAGCCAGCCTATTTTGCTATATATTGTCAACCATTTTGGGAAACACCTTTGATGGGTGTGCATCCCAAATTGTAGATGTTTTTTGAACCTTAGCCCAGATAAAATCCTTATATAATCCATATTTACAGCCTTAGCGCAGATACAATCCATATAATCCATAGATATCCTTATATAATCCATAGATATCCATAGATACCCATAGATAACCTATTGGTAACCCATGCACTTTCCAGGAAGGTGGAAGAATCCCAGATGGCCTTGCAAGCCAAGAGTGATGAGGCAGGTTTCTGGTGCAAGCCAAGAAGAATTGGTCAACAAAATCTACAATGTGGGCCCCCCGTAGGAAAAACCATAGGAAAACCATAGGAAAATGGGGATTTCATGGGATTTATAGCCGATTTATGATAGCTAAGTTGGTGAATATCACCTCAATAAGTATGGTTTCTGATACCTATTAAACTATAGTATTCATGGGGTTTATAAACCAACAAAGATCACTGGGGGGCCCCACATTGAAGGAAAATCAATAGGGAAAGGTGAACGGTACCATTAATTATTCATATGATAGAATTCACTAATATACTGATTAATATATCAATCATGAAGTTAATAGGACAATATCTAGATAATTATTGAATCATTAAGCATATGGAATCATTAATAACTGATGGGCTATCACCGGATTTTTTTGTGGGAAAAAAACACCTGTGAAAGCATCCCATTAGTCACATGGTCTAGTAAAAAAAACATAGAATTGGAAGTCATGGTGATTTTGACGTTTTTCAATGGATGAATCATGGGAAAATACCATGGGAATGCTATGGGAATATTACCCTCTGGTAAACTAATAGTTTGCTATTGAAAATGGCCATTTGTAGATGATTTACCTGTTATAAATGGTGATTTTTCATAGTTATGTTAGTTTACCAGAGGGTATAGGAAAATGGGATTTCACTAGCAACTATGGGAATATACCATGGGATTATCATTTCTATAGATTCTGGATAAATTTGATCACGACCGAACCCTGTTCTCCCTGGAATCATGGTTTATTTTAGGGAAATCATCTCCATTCATGGCCTTAAGATTCAGGTTAGTGATATATTGTAATTTACCCAGATTAATCATACTATCCACAACAAATTGGGGCTCAATATGATGAATGGTCATAGGATATATGTAATTATAATATTAATAATATACATAAAGCCAACAGCATGAGTTTGGTATGTCGAACAATGGTTGGAGACCACTTTAAAATAGGGCCAATGCAGATCATTTGTCAAATTTAATTTGCCCAGGTGGTTTTGGGGACGCACTATGTAATTTCCCGTCACCTGTGGTAAGTTTTCCCATGTGGTGAAAATCAACTACGACCAAATTTGTGACAATAAATCACTATCTTCAAATTGTGATCATTCCCATTTTGTTTTTATACGCATCAGTGACTTGTACCTATGTTATATCTGATATTGGTGATATCATTCCAAGCAATGGTTGGTGAGTTAGCTGGTGATGAATCAATTGGTGGCTGTTGACAACCTCACAACGACTTCTCCTAAACATTCGAAGCCCAAAATCACATGATTTCCGCTTGATGCTACAATACAGCCAGATATACGTATAAATGTAGGTATTTGCATTTAGTTATTGTACGCATAGAAATAGGTTACAATAAAGCACTGAGCAGATGTGATCAACACTCATGTCAGGCATTGAGGGTCTAGCTGTATGTTTATTTTGTTTTTTGAGCCCAATTCCTAACCATCCAAACTTACCTTGGGGTCCTCTGCAAATGTGAAGGTAGATCATGTATGTACAGTATCTACTTCAGGATATATATATACACATGTTATATAATATAGATATTAAATTATATAATACTATATTATATATATATGCGAATATGATATTATACTACAGTATTATATATTATGTTTTATTATATTTGAAAATATATTATGTTATATTGTATTTGAAAATATATTATAGTATATTATATTTTACTATATATATATATATTATACACATGTTACATAATATAGATATTAAATTATATAATACTATATTATTATATATATGCGAATATGATATTATATTACAGTATTATATATTATAGTATATATTATATTTGAAAATATATTATGTTATATTATATGATAGTATATATACCCAGATTGTGGGATGGTCAATCCATTTTTCTCCCAGTCTCCCAGGCCGCAGCTGCCAAGCAGAGCCTGGAGGATTTCAAATCTCAGATGGCCCAGGTGCAGCGTTTTGTGTTTTTTTTTTTGCGGGGCAGGGAGTGAGAAGAGAGGGACTGAAATCTGCAGGTGATTTTTTTAACGTTTTTAAATTACATATCGTTAGTACTATATGATAGATAATGGTTAATGATGGTTAACAATATAATATTAGTATGGTTGATGATGATTAATCAATATAGGAATGATGAATGTTGATAAATGATGAAATATGAATGGATGAATCTGGTAAATTATAACGACCTCACTGTTCTCCCTCACTGGAATCATGGTAAATAAGAGAAATCATTCCCAAATGGCCGCAAGATTCAGGTTAGTGAAATGTTATCATTTACCCAGATGAATGGATGAATGGATTAGTGGATTATAATGGATGAACGGATGACTGGATTAATTGGAAAAATGAATGACATATAGTGATAAATGGACTAATGATGAAATATGATAAATGGATGAATGTATTCATAGATTCCGAACTTTATTCATGGATTAATGGCTTCTAATGATGGAATTCTACCCTCCAAAAATAGGAGAAATGGTGGTTTAATGGATTATAGTGGGTTTTTTGTCCAACAAGATGTATTGATTCATCGCATGAAATGTACGCAGATTATATCCTTGTTTTGTCAGGGGTATTAGTAGGCTTAATCCACTTATAAGTGGGTTGAGTTGAAGCGGATTGAACTAACCTACTTGCTAAGTTTGATTTACCCTCCAGTAAATTAACATAGACCCTGCCAGATAGGATTTGGAAGATTAGTTTCCACTAAAAATTGGTGATTTTCAGGCTCTATGTTAATTTACCAGAGGGTATTAGCAAGAAACAACAATATTAGGAGGTTTCCGAAGTCATGGGGATACCCCCAGTTCTCATCCAAATCATTTTTCAGAATTTTAGGTCATTGACACCGGCTCGGTTTTGGGGATTCACTTGTGGTTGGGAAGCAATTTATCCCAATTTCTACTGGTATCTAGGGTGACACAAAGGTGCCCCTCACCTCATCAACTTGATCCTCCAAAGCTCCACTAATTTCTGTTGATGAGACAACAGCTTTTGCTTTTTTCTTCAACATGGGTATGGGTCAATACCTATAGATACATTTTTAGTGGGATGAACATCCATTTACCAGCAATTTTGGGGTTCACTAGGTACCAGGGTTTTGACCCATCCCCACATCAATCCCAAATAATCCCAAATAATCCCAAATAATCCCAAATAATCCCAAATCAAATCGTCAGGCGGACTCGCACAGTGCTGGGATGGTGGCCCCTTGGCTCCAGGGATCTCCAGGGTCCAGGGGAGTGGCAGCTGGTGAAGCCGGTGGCAGGATCCGGTGTGTGGATATTGGTTACCCTCTGGTAAACTAACATAGCAATGGAAAATGGCCATTAATAGTGGATTTTCCCATTAAAAATGGTGATTTTCAATAGCTATGTTAAATTACCAGAGGGTATAATATTAGGAACTTCCAATAAAATATGGGGTTATCATAAAATTTATGGAATAGTGATACTATGGCATAATATTTATGATATCAACTTTATTTTACGGGTGGTGTTTGTGATAATAATGCTCAAACGTGGCTGGAAAAGCCACCATTCGCTTCGTTGATTTTCCCAGTGCCCGGAACTGATGCTTTTCCTGCCGGTCATCCAACCCTCTAGCTGGAAAATCCCGCAGGGAACATCATCTACAGGGGAACTGTCCACTGCGACATTTGATTGTCAGAGTAAAAACGCCCTAGCCAGTTATGGCCCTTATGGCTGTTGGTTTATAAGATTTTATAAGATTTTATAAGCCTCTGGTATTTTTTCTACCACTTCGCTATTTTTCAGCCATGGCACCAGTCGGTGGTGATTTCAGCCCCAAGGATTTGGCCCACCATGAGGTAGCAGCCAATGGAGGATATGCCTACTGTCATGGGAAAATCATCTACAAAGAGACATACTGTCTGCAGATATAGCAAGATTTGGGTTGCACCATTTGGTCAAACATGGTGAGTTCTGAATCGGTGGAAAAGCATCAAAAGATTTTTGGGAGTTCACTGAGGAACAGGGGAGTATCATTGGGATCTTTGGAATAACCAACCATATCTCTGGGTCTATTATAACGACCTTACTGTTCTCCCGAACATGACAACACGTTGGTTACCAAGAACATGTGACTAACCATCCTGTGATTAATTATTTTTATGATGTCAATTATCCATTGACTAAATTGAAAATTCTAAGATAGGCCCCACCTAGGATAGGATAAGTGAGATAATGACAGTTTATAATGGATATAAAACTGTCATTAAGAAAAATAACTGATGATAATCCTATGATAATCCTATGATAATCCTATAATGGATATAAAACTGTCATCAAAGGTTATGGATGCCTATGATGGCCGTTTATGGCGCCCAGCATCCCCCAGGATGCCTTGCGCGAACGTGAAGAGAAGCTTGCGGCGGCGCATGCGGAGACCGCCCTGCTGACGGAACGTTTGGGGAACCCAGCAGATGCGGGAGGGAATTCAGCGGGGAACCATGGGAATCATGGCCTAAAAATGGTGGATTGTCATGGATTTGACATGATTTAACCATGGAAAGTGGTGAAAAATGGTGATTTCACCAATTTCACCATGATTTAACCATAAGACATGGTGAAAAGTGGTAATTTACCCTCTGGTTGTGGCCTTTTTTGTGGACTTCCAAAGATTGACCATGAGTAGTTGTTAATCACCCAACAAACATCCCGGGGGAAAAAAAACTGATACTCACGCCGCCCTTATGATTCGCGGGATGAATCAAGTCTTTATGGTATGATGGGTACGATCCCATCCCATTACATCAATTTTCAAGCTTTTTGCTGGTAAAAATACAAATCTTATTAAATAATCCCATTTATAGATGGTTAGTCCCCACTATCCCTATGATAATCCCTAAATCCCATTATTGTAGGCTTAAGTCACCATGTTTCACTAATATTCCAAGCATATTCCAATGATAGTCCATTCTCTATTGACATTCCGTTGATCTTCAAGAAAAGCCAGGTCTTCAATTGGCACAAGAGAACTTGGACCGCACCAAAAAGGAATGCCTCTCCGCACAGGCCCGCCGTGCACGAAATAGAGGTACACTACCCCAAAAATCATCGAACCTATGGTGACTTGGGGATCTCCCAATTTAAGAACCCCCCAACAAAAAGATCCACCAAAAGCTCCGCGAAAAAAAAAAAACAACTATAGCTTAACCAGTTGATCAAGTGTTTTCGAACACGGCTCATACAGTAGATGGACAAATTATTCAAACCCCTATCCATGAGTTGTAGGCCACCCCCTACCTCCCCCGAATTTCAATGTTATGGTTTCGTAGCGCTGTTCCTGCTCTGGGGGTTTGATTTATTTCGTCCATTCGAAGGAACGAACCAAACAAGAAAATAACATTGATATTTGCGGTGCGAGGGGTTGCTCTATGTATAAGGGTTTGAATAATTCGTCCATCTACGGGATGTAATTGTAAGGTCAGCTATGGTGAGAAGAAAATGCACTTGGAGGTGATTGATTTTGAGTGTTGCCAAGTAGCATTCCCTCTTGAGAGAAGGCTTCGTAGTACAACCTGGCAATAGGAAATCCCTTCCATCAAAGTGTCATCAGCTCCGTTAACATTCGAATCCCCTTTTATAAAGCCATCATGGTCCCAGTTGTCAAATTTCCCACAGTTATGGCCCGAAATACCACTTATAAGTACTTATAACCCCATTTATAGAATGTATAATCCCATAGAAATCACCAGTTTTAATTAATAACCATGGCCACAACAGCACAGAAATTCAGCCTGAGATGTCTCGATCGTGGTGTCACTATTATTATCATATGGAGTATTATCTGGAATAATATGGAGTATTATCTGGAATCATTGTTATACCAGAATAAATATACACCATATTATTAATACTCCAGAAGATTAATATTATTGATAATATACACCTTCTGGCGATACGAATGGAGTATTTATGGTATATTAATGGAATATTGATGGAATATTAACGGGATACGTATGGGGAATGTATGAGATATCAATGGCATATTTTTGGAATATCAGTTACTGCAATAAATTCTGGTAATCAAACATGGCTAGCTGGGAAATCTCCGAACGAAATGTGCATCTATAATCATCTATATATAAATGGGAACGACATCTATAAATAGGGTATAAAGGGGAATTGTCCATTACCATGTTTCATTGCAGTCCTTTTTGTTGGTCCATTGCCATTTCAATATTTTCAATGAAACATGATCATGAAATCATATGAAATCCACTGATAATCCATTTCAAAGATGTTTCATTGCAGTCCATTTCAATCCATTATCTCACTGATTATCCGTTGATAGTCCATTTCAATTCGTTATTCCGTTGTCATAATCATTTCATTTCCACTGATACTCCATTTCAAAGATATGATTTCTATGGGATTATTTCACCAGTTAATCCACTGATAATGAAATCCACTGATAAGTCAGTAATATGTCATTATCAGTCATCAGTGGATTTTATTTCATTAATCCCATATATCAGTTAATCCACTTTCTCATAGTCCATTTCAATCCAGACATCAATGATATGAACCACTGATCCATCTCCATCATCTCCATCTCCCTTGGATTCATGTGAGGTCTGAAATGATCTCGCGAGTTGCTGGGGGACTATCCAACATGGGGATATGATATACCCAACCTGGTAAACTAACAAAAAACTATTGGAAATGGCCCAGTCGAAATAGTTGATTTACCCATAAAAAATGGTGATTTTCAATGGCTATGTTAGTTGAAAAGCTATTGCAAAGCTATGGAAAAGCAACATGACCATCGTTCCAGATATCAATTAACATTACAGGTGACCATCGTTCCATGTTACTTTTGAAAAGCTATTGAACATGGCCATAGAAATAGTTGAATTACCCATTAAACATGGTGATTTTCAACAGCTATGTTAGTTTACCAGAGGGTATTCCTAACTAAAGCCCATCAAAGGCCGATGAAAAACACCAATAAACTTGAGAATCTACCAATCATCTACATGATTCTACCATTCTGTTTGGCCCACTTTGCAGACTTTGCACTGAAAATATGTGCCATGACAAAATCCAATGGAATAATCCCATGATATTTGAGAAGTTTTGACAAGTGAAGTTCCAGTCTTGTGGCATCAGCTAACATCGATAAACTATGAACCACAATTTCATAGAATTGGATGATGGGAAAATTTTAACCGGAAAGCCCGATCAATTTGATGGTAAAAACCCATGGGTTTCCGGTGTAGATTTTCCCGTGAAAACCAATCCAGTGACAATTGTATCCCAATTTTTAGTGATAGCGATGAATTGATTTGTTTATCCTGGTCAAATCTGCATAATTCCCAATCTGGCAGGGATTGCAAGCCATTTGTTGCTTGCACATATTCCCATTTAATTGTTGACTTATTATAGCCCCATGAAGTTCAGTTTAAATCACCTGATTTGTTGTTGGTTTATGTTCCCTTTTCCAGCTAACATCAATCAACTGTAAATCATATTTGTTGATGGCCTCCCTATGAGTGGTTCAGTTTCGATTTGTTCATTTTATTAAATCCAGATGTCTAGTTCTTATTTTACTTACTGGTGCTTAGTAAGGAATGGATGGGACTGGGGGAATGGGATGATTATTCATAGTTATTATGGATCATTACCTCATTCCCTACTAAGCACCAGTAAGTTTAAATCCGATTGTAATCCAGCGACATGTATGTGTCCTCCAATGTTTGTTGGTTAAACTCCCATGAACATGGAAAAAATCATGCTTAAACCCACATTTTTTGTTGCTTAAACCGTTATGTCCTTAAACCTCAATGAAACCCCAATGAGAATTTCAAGACAATCCATGACAGCCATCCATAGTGGCATCCGACACAGGCAGCGGCTGAGGAGGCCCAGAACATGTACCAGCACGCTTTATCCAAGGCGAGGTCACCTGCAAAAAATGAGCAAATTTGATCAGTGATTCACATTGATTCACTATGTTATCTGGTTGGTGGTTTGGAACACTTGGATTCTTTTTCCATCCAGTTGGGAATTTCATCATCCCAACTGACTTGAAGTCCATGATTTTTCAGAGGAAAAGGGGCGAAAAACCAGCAACCAGCTATGACTGGAGGAGGAAGGATCCAGTTCTCATCTCGAAAAATCGATGACCATGACTTTTATAAAAACCCAATGGTGACTTGTGGATCCCCCATTTTAAGAAACCCTTATACGTTTTAAGCATGAAACATATGGGGGTATATTTGATTTGATGAGTAGTTCGAGGGTAAAACTGTAAAACAAACTCTCAAATGATTGAAGATTATGATAATATATGATAATTATAAATTGAGAATCCTTAATACCAAATCAGTATTTCATGGAATGACAAGAGAAGTTTGATCAGCCCAAATGGGCATGAGGGAATTCCTGGATCAACCACTGTTGGATAGGCATTTATCCATAAAAAATGATGGTTCAAGCAGCAACATATGGGGAAATCATAAGCAGTTGTTTTCTCGAAACGGATTCCGGGTCTGCCCGCCTCCTATTTTATCCAACAATGCCCACACTGGTTTGGTGCAGTTATGGCGCTTTACCAGTTAGAAGTACTTATAACCCCATTGATAGAATGTATAATCCCATAGAAATAACCAGTTATAACTAATAAATGGCCATAACTGTAGGCCACTGGCTAAACTATTTCAGCCAGAGACGGAGGAACTTGACTTTTTGCGATCTGTGGTCACAAATCTAAAGAAGCCCTGTGATAAAGTGTATCTATCGATTTGGGTGAACTATAACTACCCCACCACGACGTAAGTCAGGGGAAACATCCCCATTTTTTTTAAAGTGGCCATTCGTGAACGATGATTAATGACTACTAATGACTTCTGATAATCTCAAACCATCAGACACGAATAGTCACAACCATTACTAGTAATGTTGGATGATTGACCATCATGCTTAACTTGCACAACTCCAAAGTTTCCTGCAAAGTGCGGAACCCCCCATGTATATGATGCTATGTGATCTATATATTGCTTGATGTTCATTCATGCCAGTATTAAATTAGCCTCTAGAGTAATTTTTCACGTAGCTATGGAAAATGCTATGCCTGCCATTTTTTTCATTAGGGTAACTATCAACTATTTCTATGGCCAGAAATGACAATTTTTCATGGGTAAATCAAGTATAAATTGGCCCATTACATGCTCTGGTAAACTAACGTAATTAGCTATGGACAATCACCCATTTTTAATGGATAAATCAACTATTTCTGAAGGATGGGGTTTGAGTTCGTTAACTAAGTTGGTAAACATAACTATAATAACAATAGTGTATGTTCAGATACTTATAATTGGTGTATGATACTTATAACTATATTTAGCTAGCTAAGTTGGTGTATGATACTTAACTACCCTCTGGTACATAAACATAGACCCTGAAAATAACATTTTTTTAATGGAAACTAATCTTCCAAACCCCACCTGGCAGGGTCTATGTTAATTTACCAAAGGGTATATGATATGCAAATTACTATATTTCGATTGGCCCCCACGTTCACCAACATTTTTTCATCACTGGGGGGCCCCATCCGTTAGAGGGCCATTTTTCCGTTACAAGGTGGGCTGAACGCAGCGGAGGTTTATTGCAAGACATGGGAAATTCTTGATACTCTCTGGTTATTTAACATAGCTATGGAAAATGGTCCATAGAAATAGATGTGCCTGATTTTCCTATTAGGATACTTCCATTTATAGGGGATTTTCCATGGCTATGTTAAATAATCAGAGGGTAGATTTCATCCAACGGAATACTATGGATATATATATATATATATAGATATGGATATATGATGATATATCAAAGATTAACAATTAACATACATACTTTAAACAATAGTATATAAACCTAGCGATAAACCAACATTTTTCCAGCTCTTCCCCATCTCTGCGAGCTGGCAGGTGGATCTGAATGCCGAGGCAACAAAATTTCCGTAGCAGTGGGGAAGCTGGTGAGAAATGGCTATGGATCAATACCTATTAATACCATTTTTAGGGGGATGAACATCCATTTACCAGTTATTTTGATGTTCACCAGGGGTACAAGGTTTTGACACACTGCCATTTATGCTTTGTAAATAGGTTAGATAAAAAAAACATGTAGAATACCATTTACTAACTAGAATCCACCCCATGCCAGAAACCATTCCACTAAACAACAACGAAATGTGTCATTTTGCATCATTCCAAATGGACCTATACAATTGGGAATGGTTTTTGATTGGGTGTGTTTTAATGATTTTTATTGGGGAAAATGAAGAATCCTAACATGATGATCGAGGATTTCTGTTTGGTGGTTTGGAACATGAATTTTATTTTTCCATAAGATATGGGATGTCATCCTTCCCAACTAACGAACTCATATTTTTCAAGATGGTTAAAACATGTTAAAACCACCAACCAGCTTGATTCAACATGTATTTACACCTATATATAGTGTATATACGCCGCATCAATTGGTGATCATTTTTGGGAGCTGAATGGTTCGCCCAAGGTGGACAATATTGGACAATTCGACGCAGTCACATCGACACTTATTTCATTGTCCATACCACTTAGCCCTGTATATGTTTACATGGGTATGGATCAATACCTATTAATGCCATTTTTAGGGGGATGAACATCCATTTACCAGCTATTTTGATGTTCACCAGGGGTACAAGGTTTTGACACACTGCCACATGTGGAAACACTCAATCATAGAAATCATCTTTCTGACCATGGTTTATGTGACCATGCTAGCAAAAAGCGGCCACAAACTCTTGGTGTTTACATCCAAATGTTGTTTTTTTCATAGTTTTCCATTTGTCAAAAATCATCATTTCTAGTGGTCAAATGTCAATTTTTGCCAGGTAAGTCACCATGTTTTGCTGCTCAAATCACCATCATTTTCGCTGGGATCCTGCAGGAGGAAAAGGCTCGTGCGGATCTCAAACAAAAATCCCTGTCTGCAGCTGAGCAGGACATTCCGTTTTTTCACGCGGAGGGACGTGTGGAGAAGGAGTTTGTTGATTTTGTTGAGTAGTAACATCAGGGTGATGTGTGGTATATATGTGCTACATATGTGGTGTATATATAATCTATTGATATATACATAATGATATTATATAAGTATATTCAAAGAATTGGATGATGGGAAAAATTACAGGAAAGCCCTATATTTGATGGTAAAAACCATGGTTTCCTGTAGATTTTCCCTCAAACCAACCCAATGATATATGGTATACACATCCACAAAGGTGATATCATGTGGGAGACTGATTTTCTCCTAAGATCTGGTGGAATGCCATCCGTGTCCATTGAGTCTCCTGTTTTTCTTGTTCAGTAAGCCAATGATACATTTGAATGTCTTAATATGAAGAATAAACTTAGAACTGTAATCGCACTCCACTACAAACCCCATGTATACTAGCATGTTACCACAGCTGTTGCGGCTCAGTAAAAAGCGCTGCTGCCGCAGGTGCTTAACGGTTTCTAGTTTTGCCCCATAGGTTTATCAGTCTATTTGGGATTATAAGATAACCCCAGCTGAAACCTGAAAATACAGGTTATCAGCCGTAGTCTCTAAAGCCATGGACAAGACACACGACGCTACAGGTGGCGGTGCCCTCGTGCCCTCGACAGGAACAGTAGCTGCTGCATCAACTGGTTCTCAGCAAAGCTTGCCGGCTGGGACAAACCCCACGCCCATGTCAGTGGATGAAGGTTTCTTCACACAGCCCGTGCAAGCCTATTTCCAGTTCGTGCAAAACAATCTTACCTACATCAACGAAGGTAACATTGATGCTTTCAGGCAAGAGGCAGAGGAGAGGCACACACATCTCATGGAACAAAAGGTCCAGCAACTGTACCAAGAGTTTGAGGGAATTTGCCTTAGCGAAATCGCCCATCAACGTGCAGAAGCTGATCGCAGACATGAACACCTAGTGTCAGAGTATTCAATGTCCCAAACGGCAACTGAGCATGAGGTAGCAAAACTGAGACAGGAACTTAGCGATGCAAACGCAAAGCTGAAAAACGCTGCAAATGCAGTTGCACTGGAAGCTGAGCAAAGAGCCAACCAAAAGGTAGCCCATGTTACAGCCCAGTACGAACAAAGGTTTTCTGAACTCAGAGGTAGCCTCGAGGCAGACTGTAAACGAATCGTGGACGAAACAGTGGAGTATGCAAAGAATGGCATGGAAGGTTTCAAGAAGGAGGAACAAGCTGTAATCCAGGAGATTAGAGAGGAATGCAGTAGGCAGGAAAACCAAGCTGCTGAACTCAACTTTCAATTGCAGGGACAAGTGGAGGATTTGATGGAGAAGCTCAACAAGTACAGCGCCCCAGAAATTAATGTCGACAGGGCCGTCGAAGTTGATGATGCACAAGGCGGGAACAATGTCGATTTGTACTTGACCCCAAAATCAGCGGTCGGTACCAAGGCTGGAGCAGAACCCATGCCAAACACTGGTATGAGCAGCTTAGCCATGGACGCCAAGGAAAGGTTGAGCAACTTGTTCTCAACAACCCCTGCCGGATCAGCAGCCCCTCCAAAACTGCCACCATTGCCAGTTCAAAGACAAAATGATGATGATGCAAATCAAGAGCATAGTGTGCCCAGTCCTACAGCAATAGCAAGCGACACCGGCAAGAAAGCTGCTGATGCAGGCTTAGGTCTTTCAGGTCAACAATTGCTAGATCTCATCACTAGACTGACTTCAAAGGATTCAGATGGTGAAAAGCCCCGAACAAAAGAGGCAGAGACTATCAAACTGAACGACATGCCTGCCCCAGAAGCGTATCGTCACTGGCGTAATCATGAAGTCAAGTCGTGCTCCGACAAACCCGATGAGGCTTGGCTTTGGCTCAATGAAGTCTTTGACAACAAAACCCCTAGGGAAAAGTTGGAGGAAAAGCTGCAGGAACCTGGGAAGTTCATCACACTTGACACCAAATTGTCGGCAGCGTTAACTCGCTCGGCCAAAGGTGATTTAGCAACGAAGATCCATAACTTCAAAGATGAGAAGTCAAAGAAAGGGATCCAAGTCAGAGGTAGGAGAGTCCTTTTGATGTTTGAAGATTACTTCAGGACGTCTGAGGAAGCTGGCAGTCTCTACCGCGTCGAGGACCTACTTGGAGTCGTTCGCACTGGAGAATCTGTGGAGGACCTTAGAAGGTTTCTGAACCGATGGGACGCCACAATTGCCGGCATGGAAACCCCGCCAGATGATTTGGTTCTCAGAGACATCTTACTCAGACAAATCCGAAAATGCCAATTGATGAAGTATGACATTGAAGCATTTGACAGAGCTCCTGAAAAGTCAGAACAAAAGTCTTATGCATTCTTGTTGAGAAACATTCGTGATCTTTTGGATAGAGAAAGACTCCGTTCAAACAGAAACAGAATCGTTGAAAAGAACAAACAGACCGAAAAGCCTCAGCCCGCTGCACGCGCTCAGGGGGGCAAAGATCGCGGCAAAGGAAAGGGTGATCGAGGTCGATCCCGTGGTCGTAGCCAGAGTGGAAAAGGGGATAAGATATGCTACAAATTCAGGGATGGCAAGTGCGAAAAGGGTAAAGACTGTCCCTACAAGCATGTCAAGGATTCCTCAAGATCTGGCACTCCCAAAAAGAAGGGTAAGGGCAAAGGCGGTAGCAGAAGTGGTTCCCCCAACAGAAAGTCAAGGGAAGAGATGGCCAAGATCCCATGCACTTACTTCCAACAGGGCAAATGTCGTCGTGGTGACAAGTGTTTTTACAAACACGAAGTTGCAGCTGCACCCACAAAAGATCCAAAACGCACCAATAGCCCTGCACCAAAGAAGAAGGCCAGTGCAAAAGCTGCGCCATGCATTACTCAAAGGTATGCATGCATAGCAAAGGGAAAAGGGTTGCCGAAAGCTACAAAGGCCATGAAAGAACAATGCCATTATAGAGCTGTTGTGTTTTCATCAAAAGTGGAATACATCAAAGTCCCAGCAACAGGTGAACAGAGAAAGGTAGCGCACAGACCCCGAATCTATGAGAAGACGTTCCCTGATTCAGAGTCAGTGCCAAAACCCGACAAACTCATCGCTCACCGTGCTCAGGTTTCGGCCCGACAGTTGCAGGAACTTGTGAAGCTCTTCGGCAGTGAGACGCAGCCCAAATGCCGATTCCGATGCAATGACCCAGAAGGGGGAGTGTCATGCAACCACTGTAGAGCAATGATCGGTCCCAAGAATAAAGTCAGTAACACTCATTTGCCCACTGTTGCTACACCGGCATCAAAAGATGGATGTGTTTGGTTGGTTGACACGGGCAGTGAACAGGATTTGATCAGTGAGGGTATGCTGAAGACCGCAAAGGCGACAAACCGCCGTGTCAGCGATACTCCGATCAGCCTTGCTGCAGCAAACGGTTCGACACGAGCGGATGAGGTGGCCGACGTAAAGGTCGATGCCCTACATCAGCCGTTTTCACCATACATTCTTCAGGAAACTCCTGCTGTTCTTTCGGTTGGGGTCAGATGTATGGAACAGGGTTACAGTTTTGTGTGGCCAGCTGATGGTAGGCCTTACTTCATTCGTCCGGATATGGGAGTCATCGAGCTCAATGTGGACGGCCGTGTGCCGGTTATTGATAGCTCTTGTCGTGTTTTGAACAGTGGACAGTTCAAGAAAGATTGTGATTTGTTACGTCTTTTTGCAATGGTTGCTGCAAAAGCAGAAGGTGCCGATGAAGAAGGCGTGGATGAGGGAGTAGCTCATGATAGCGAAACCGAGTACATCAGGTCTAGAAAGGCATCTGACCTTGAGCAAGAGGCATGCAGCAAATCTCACCAGTTTTGCCATTACCCCAAGAATCCATTTTGCAAGATCTGTCAGAAGGCGCGCATGATGGCGCCACCCGCAAAGAAGAAAGGGGGACAGAAAAGATTGGAAACCAAAAGTTTTGGGGATCACATTGTCGCTGACCATACTGTAATCAAATCCAATGTGGAAGAAGGCGTCAAAGGTGAAACAGTGGCATTGGTGATGAAGGACATTCACACTCAGTTCAGGCACGTCTATCCAAGTCAGACCAAATCGAGTGAGTCATGTGTTAATGCTTTCAACCACTTCTTATCTCACAAGGATGAAGTTGGGGCAGTTTACACTGACAATTCACGAGAACTTATTGCTACAATTTCAGAGTTGGGGTACAGACATCAAACGTCAACAGAGTATGTGGACAGTTCAAAGTCGTTTGTGGAGAGGGAGATCAGGCACATGCTTGAAGGCACGCGCACAAACCTCGTGCAGTCAGGTCTTCCATTGCAGTACTGGCCAATGGCTATGCAGCATTTCTCCATGGCAGTGAATGCCACGCCACAGCTCAACGGTGATGATGCCCCATGGAAACTCAGATTCGAAGAAGATTTTCCAGGTCAGTTGATTCCTTTCGGTGCAAAGATACTGTTTTGGAACAATCCAAAAAGGGTTGACAACACATCTGGAAAGACATCACCAACTGCAAATGATGGAATCTTTTTGGGATACCACATTCAACCCGGTTTTGCATGGAAGGGTGAGTATCTCGTTGCCAAGTTAGAAGCATTGGATTACCATGCAGAAACGGGCAGCATCACAGTGCAGCGAGCACGACGTGTTGAGCTCATCGCGGGAGGTTTTGTCTTCCCACTCCGTGCATTGAAAGAGGCCAAAGAGCCCAAGCCGGACCGCCTTGCTGACAATGTCATTGCTGATCCTCGTCCGATTCCGTTTCAATCCGAACTGCAAACAGAGGAACATGCAGAAGCAAGTGAAGAAGCAATTGACAAGTCAACGGAGGCAGTGCTTGACGCACTTGCCAGTGATGAAAGGCCGGCTGAGGAACCAGTTTTTCCTGATATCAAGTACACTCCAACTGGAACACCAATCCCGGATGGTTATCATTGGGACGGCACACGCCTTGTGAAAACGTACAAAGGGTCAAAACGCCCTGAGTCGATCCCATCGG